TAAGACAAAAGAGTAGGTACTGGACCATCAAAAGTCAAGAGGTTGCCAAGTTTCAAATCTTAACATGCCAAATTCTTTTCACAGGTAAATATCAAAGCACTCCCACTGTGAGTTCCTCTCTTGAGCAGTTCCCCAATCTAACATGCAAAATTCTTTTCACAGTTTTCCCACTGAGCTTGTCTTTTATCTGGTTTGGTTTTGTGAGTACTATATACCTATGCATTATAGGAACAGCATTCCTGACAGAGATTTTCACAGGAAATAAAAAATTTCCCTTTCAAACAGGATAGTGAAGAGAATTCGGACCCACATAAGCAAAATGTTTAACAATTTGCCAATTGTGTTCAAATTAACAAAGGTTTTGTCCCTTCGTTTCTTCCACAGCCAAACTAAGTGAAGGAAATTAAATGTAAATGATTATAATATTCAAATGGATAAAATGCTTAACTATGAGTTTGTATTTACAGCCTCCCAAGAAGAAAATTTTAGAATATTCTCTCCTTTCTTGACTATTATCTTCCTCCTTAAAAGAAAAGAAAGAAAAAACAACAACTAATTATGTCTTCAGATCCTACAGGCCTATTTCCAAAGGATGCCTTGCGGGAGACCAAAATACTAAGACCATCTCCTCACCAGCTAAGCAGCCTGCCAATGCATCACAGTGGCCACAACAATTTCTTCCCATAAAAGACTTGAGAAACTGACTAATTGGATTTTGAAGGAAATGCCCTTGTGCCAAGTTTGGAAATACATGTAAAAGCAGCAAGAATTGCCTCAAGATCACATTATTGCCTCAAGATATAGTGTAGAATTAATAATTTGTACGTTTTGTGTATTATGTGTTATTATGTAGGAATGCTGAAGTGTGTCTGATAATGTGTTATCTCCACAAAGGAAAAAATTTCTGTGTGTAATTGTTTCTGTATAATGTAGGATACATAACTATGAACAGCAGAAGGATATGGCTTACACCCCAAGTTTTTCATGGAGGATTCCCATATATTACAATGCTTTCCAATAGAGCAGACTATATTTAGATTAAGTCAACTGATGATCATATTTCCTTGTCCCACCTGGCACTCTGCAGAGTCCAACCTTCCCTACCTATTTATTTATTTATGTATTTAATGTTTTCTATACATGAAGTTCCCAGATTTTTACTATTTCTTTCTTTCTCTTCCAGAAAACTATTTCAAATCTTTTCTATGACTTCTCTGCATCTCTTGCAGATTCAGTACTGTCTTCAAGTAGCAATTGTTCTGTATTTATTTACTTATTAATCTTGGTTTTCCCGTATAGCTGTGAAATTAATCGAACCACAACCAAGTATTATTATCGGAACCATATTTTATCAGGTAGATTTGAAGCAACACTCCTTATTATTATTTGAGATGTTTTGATTAGGATGCCAGATGAAAATGGGTGTAGATCATGTCCCAAATTTTATTTATTTATTTGAGGACACGACTACCATATGTTATATTATTATTGATAACAAGAAACGTGTATATGCCTTGATGTAGCAAGAATGGTCCCTTATAGAGTTAAATTGACTCATTTGGACAAATGCCCCCTTAAAGAATGGCTTTGGTTTTAACATATTGGTTTTGAAAAGTTGAGAACCATGGGGCAAGATAAATTCAAATTGGACTCAGTTTGAATTGGGCAAGTGTATCCAGGCTGCAATTAGCTTTTTGGTCCTTTAAGTGCAAGTGAGCAACTTCCCATGAGTGCAAGACCACAGCCTATAATAAAATCCCATAGCTAAAGGCCAAGGCAAAGATATCTCTCTCACGAGATGTCCAAACCTGTGCCAGCTATGGTGAATGCCAGGCGACATGGTTAAATGAAAGCCCCGAGGGGATTCAACAGACAGGATGTGTTGCTGTAGCACTATGCCGGTGTGAGACCACAGAAGAGCTAGCTTGGCACCTGAGAACACAAAAACGGTGGGGCTAAAAAGCAAACTGCATTTTTCAGTCAGTAGTGGACCTTCCTGCTAAATGTAAAGCATACACCACTATTGAAAATGTTTCTCTCAAGAGCTAGGATGCCACGAGTAATTTAGCAACAAAATACAACAGGTTTTTTTTATGTAATACCCTATATGCAGCTACCTGCACTGCTATACTTGCAAATGACCGTAAGAGGCATGGCTTGCAAGTCCCTTTCAGGTTTGCATAAACCCACACATCTGGTATTATTTAGCGCATATCTATATAACACGCGCGTACATTGTATTCGTCCGTGTTGCTCCCTCTTTTGCTGCCCTGCTCAACCCACCTCCTTTTCCATTGGAGCCTATTCCCACTCACAGGGAACCCCTACATTCACAGAGATTTAGGGTGCGGAGAAAAGATTTGCAAGTTCTTACAGAACTTTAATGCAAATCTATCTCCGAATGGGGGACTGATACGGAAGGGGGGGGCATGTCTTCTTCACCTTCTTCTTCGCTACAATATATCCATTTATTTCCAATTGTCAATGTCAAAAGGGACTAAAATCTATAACATTCATAGAAAATCAACGTGCCAGTTTGCTCAATTTCTCTAGGACCCCATGACACCTCCCCTGTCCTCCATAATCCCTCAAGTAAGGTGTCAAGACCCTAATCTGGTCAAATCGCTCTGCCAAGCCCTTCCTCCGGGCAATGCCAGGTGACAAACTATGCATACATGGACCATTGTCTTCTCAGGATGTGCTTATCTGCGCATATCTCCAGCTCTCTGCATATTCCCCCCTCCCTCCTCCATATCTCCAGCTCTCTGCATATTCCCCCCTCCCTCCTCCATATGTTAATCCGGTGTAACCCAACCTCTTCCTAATGTATTCATGATGTAATCTGTGTAACCCAACCTCTTCTTAATGTATTCATGATGTAACTGGGATGTATTTTGCACTGTATTCTGGGATATGGAGGGAAATTTCAAAAGTTCATGTCACCCCTTTCTCGCTGTTCAATCTCGCCTTGAACCTGTTGCGCAATAAACTTGGATCTTCTGCAGTTTGCTCCTGCTTCTGGCTGAGCTCATTTTCTTCCGCATGGACCCGCGGACCTAGTCCGACGAGCTGGGTGGCAGAGTAGCCCTGCACCCAGATTTTAGCCGTAACAACAGCATCCTAAAAAGCAAAGACATCACCTTGCCAACAAGTTAAAGCTATGGTTTTCCCAGTAGTGATGTCTGTAAGTGAGAGCTGGACCATAAAGAAGGCTGATCGCCGAAGAATTGATACTTTTGAATTATGGTGCTGGAGGAGACTCTTTAGAGTCCCATGGTCTGCAAAAAGGTCAAACCTATCCATTTTGAAGGAAATCAGCCCTGAGTGCTCACTGGAAGGACAGGTCGTGAAGCGGAGGATCCAATACTTTGGCCACCTCATGAGAAGAGAAGACTCCCTGGAAAAGACCCTGATGTTGGGAAAGATGGAGGGAACAAGGAGAAGGGGACGACAGAGGACAAGATGGTTGGACAGTGTTCTCGAAGCTACCAGCATGAGTTTGACCAAGCTGTGGGTGGAAGTGGAAGAGAGGAGTGCCTGGCATGCTCTGGTCCATGGGGTCACGAAGAGTCGGACATGACTAAATAACTAAACAACAACAATCTTGCCAAATGAACCTTATATTGGCCCGTTTGACAAGACCAGCTGCCATGTTTGAGTTGTTGTTTTTTTGGGGGGAGGCTTAAGCATCATTTTGGGAGGCAGCAAATGGTCACATTTAAGAACTGTGGAATCGGTTATATGTCACATGAGAAACAAGGCCTGATTCCCGCCACCGCCCCTTAATCCTCTCCAGCTATTTGCTGATCCATCAACCTTGATGGAGCTAAAAATATTCCCAGTTCCCCAAATTCCTGTCAAAACTGTCCCAAGGTGGTGTCAACCATAAATTTTCCCTACTATTTTGAACACATCTGGCAAATTGATTCAAATCAACATTCATGAGCATGGAATCAAAAATGTTGTTGCTCCCCTAAGTTTCCCTGGTTGTCCACTTCCAATCTCAGCTCTTGGCAGACTGTTTCTGAACTGGGAGGCATTGGCTGGTTCCTGTCACCTGACAGCTGGAGGTTTTCAGAGAGAGTGCAGAGTGCTGAGGAACCAGATGCTGAGACTTCAGCTAGAGTTCAACAACACAGGTGCTTGCTATATGCAACTTGGAGACAAAGAATCCTTAATTTTCAGTCAGATTCAGAACTATTTCCTGTCTTCTTACCTATGAATTACATTTATGTTCCACACTTCCCTCATCAAGCCCACCACAAGATATAGTGCTTTCACGCACACAGCAACCCTGCGAGGGAGGTTTCGCATAAAGATGGTGACCAGCTTTAAGTCGCCCAATCAGCTTCACGACTGAGGAGGGATTTGAATTGTCCCCGGCATTTGTGGACCTAGATCCTTGGACTCCAGCTCCCATGAGCCCCAGCCAGCGTGGCCAGCGGCTAAAGAAGACGTGAGTTGCAATTTGACATCATCTGGAGGGGCCACAGGTTACCCAACAGGTCCGTTTTCAGAGCCTTGACCTTCTCCTGGCACAGCTGCCCTTGGAACTCCTCGTACTGGATGTGCTTCGTCCTGCAGTGTGTCTGCAGGTGGGCCTTCTTCAGGACGGAGAGGGCCTCACCACAAATGAGGCTCAGCTCCACAAAGAAATAGTCATGGGTCCATTTCTTATTAAAAATGCTGCACTCCAAATCTATCTTCCTCTTCTTGTGGAAACATTGATTGTGTTCAGAAACAGACAATTAGGCAGACAAAGCTGTTCCAATAAGGGAGTCCTATACTGCTCTTTGAGCCATTGAAGCTTCTGAGCTCTTTTCAAAGGCAGCCCCAGGTAGAGTTTGTTAAAGTAACTGCTACGAAATGTGGCACAGGACTGCTTTCTTTTGACACCAAGGGGAGCTCCTCTTCTGGGGCTGAAAGCATTGGCATGGTTTGATTTTGTCAGTATTGCAAGGAAGCATAGAAGGAAAGGTAAAAAACACCTATGCAGTTTATTAAAGTATCTGTGGTTTTTGCCCTGTATGAGTTCGTTGATGTCTTCTAAGTGCTCCATATTGGCTGTAGCTCTTTCCATATTCAATACATTTAATTGATTTCTCCCCCGTGTGAGTTCGCTGATGTCTTCTAAGTGTCCCACTTCGACTGAAGCTCTTTCCACAATCCACACATTCAAATGGTTTCTCCATTGTGTGAGTTCGTTGGTGTATTCTAAGTGATCCACTATCACTGTAGCTCTTTCCACATTCCATACATTTAAATGGTTTTTCCCCTGTGTGAGTTCGTTGGTGTATTCTAAGTTCTCCACTTCGACTGTAGCTCTTTCCACATTCAATACACTTAAATGGTTTCTCCCCTGTGTGAGTTCGTTCATGTCTTCTAAGTGTCCCACTTCGACTGAAGCTCTTTCCACAATCCACACATTCAAATGGTTTCTCCCCTGTGTGAGTTTGTTGATGTCTTCTAAGTGCTCCACTTTCATGGAAGCTCTTTCCACACTGCATACATTTAAATGGTTTCTCCCCTGTGTGAGTTCGTTGGTGTATTCTAAGTGATCCACTATCCCTGTAGCTCTTTCCACATTCCATACATTTAAATGGTTTTTCCCCTGTGTGAGTTCGTTGGTGTATTCCAAGTTCTCCACTTCGACTGTAGCTTTTTCCACATTCAATACATTCAAATAGTTTCTCTCCTTTGTGAGTTTGTTGATGTCTTCTAAGTGCTCCACTTTCATGGAAGCTCTTTCCACACTGCATACATTTAAATGGTTTCTCCCCTGTGTGAGTTCGTTGGTGTATTCTAAGTGATCCACTATCACTGTAGCTCTTTCCACATTCCATACATTTAAATGGTTTTTCCCCTGTGTGAGTTCGTTGGTGTATTCTAAGTTCTCCGCTTCGACTGTAGCTTTTTCCACATTCAATACATTCAAATGGTTTCTCCCCTGTGTGAGTTTGTTGATGTCTTCTAAGTGCTCCACTTTCATGGAAGCTCTTTCCACACTGCATACATTTAAATGGTTTGTCCCCTGTGTGAGTTCGTTGGTGTATTCTAAGGCCTCCACTTTGACTGTAGCTCTTTCCACATTCAATACATTTAAATGGTTTCTCCCCTGTGTGAGTTCGTTGGTGTCTTCTAAGATGTCCACTTTGACTGTAGCTCTTTCCACATTCAATACATTTAAATGGTTTCTCCCCTGTGTGAGTTCGTTGGTGTCTTCTAAGATGTCCACTTTGACTGTAGCTCTTTCCACATTCAATACATTTAAATGGTTTCTCCCCTGTGTGAGTTCGTTGGTGTCTTCTAAGATGTCCACTTTCACTGAAGCTCTTTCCACATTCAATACATTTAAATGGTTTCTCTCCCGTGTGAGTACGTTGGTGTATTCTAAGTGATCCACTATCATTGAAGCTCTTACCGCACTCCATACATTTAAATGGTTTCTCACCTGTGTGAATTCGTTGGTGTATTCTAAGTGCTCCACTTTCACTGAAGCTCTTTCCACATTCAATACATTTCAATGGTTTAGCCTCCGTGTGAATTCGTTGGTGTAATTTAAGTTTCCCACTTTCACTGAAGCTCTTTCCACACTCAAAACATTTAAATGGTTTCTCCCCTGTGTGAGTTCGCTGATGTATTCGAAGTTTCCCAGTGGTACTGAAGCTCTTTTCACATTCAATACATTCAAATGGTTTCTCCCCTGTGTGAGTACGTTGGTGTATTCTAAGATGTCCACTTCCACTGAAGCTCTTACCGCACTCCATACATTTAAATGGTTTCTCACCCGTGTGAGTTCGTTGATGTATTCTAAGTGCTTGACTATGACTAAAGTTCGTTCCACACTTCATACATTCAAATAGTTTCTCTCCTTTGTGAGTTTGTTGTTGTATCCTCAGTTTCTTTGTTCTTCCCAATGAATTCACCTGTGGCTCCATAGAATTCTGACTTTCATCTTCCTCACCTGTTTGGGAGTCTGGGAGGAAAGAGAATCCTGTTAGACTTTCAAGAAAGACAAAAAAGGAACTGAACACCTGTCAATCCCAATCTGTACCTTCTCTCATTTTAACACCGTCTCCAATCTCCACTGTCCTCTCTAGGTTCCAATTTTTTTGCAAAGCAGATGAGATAATGGCAAGAGCAACACATGATCACTCCATTCACACTTAATAAAGCAGCATCATTTTATAATACAGATCTATGGTGGAATTAGCTTATTAGACACATCTCTGTATTTTTCTTTCTGAAGTGAAGAAATGATCTCAGGCTCAAGTAACAGTATTTCCCTCGTGAAATAAATAAAACTTAAGTGCTACATGTAACTGTAAAAATATTGCAATATATTGGAACCTAAGAAGAGCCTGCTGGATCAGGGAAAGGCCCACCTAGTCCAGCATCCTCTTCTCACAGAGGCCAACCAGATGCCTGTGGGAAACCAGCAAGCAGGACTGGAGCACAAGAGTCTTCTCTGCCTTCGTGTGCTTTCCAGACACTAGTATCAAGAAGTATTATTGCCTAGGACCGCGAGGGCAGAGCAGAGACGTCAGTCTTATCCTTTTTTTCAAGCTATCCATGTTGCTGGATGTCACTGTCTCCTGTAGGATGGATTCCATAGATGAACTATGCTTCTGTTTATTCATCTTTTGCAGCCGTTAAAAGCTGATAAATGTATTATGGCCTAAGCTTTTGTGGGCTGCAGTCTGACAAAGTGGAATTTTGAGCAGGATACGTGATGCCACAGGGACGTGGGGACAGGTGAGGCTGCTGATCCCTTATTTTCAAATCTGAAAGTTGACAGCTATGAACCAGCATGTTTAGATCTTCCATTCCCAGTGCTGGGGTGGGGAAAAATAAGAGCACAAGAAGACCCTGCTGAATTAGCAATGAGATCCATGAAAAAAGACCCTTCTGATTGTTCTTTAGAAACCCTCTTTAAAGAGCAGCCAGTGGGATCATTTATCTCCAAAACAGGACTCCTATCCCATCTCAGCACTGTGCTGATTCCTGCTGAGATTGGAGTTAAAGGATCTCTCCAAGGGAACTTTAAGGGACGCGGGTGGCGCTGTGGTCTAAACCACAGAGCCACGGCTTGCCGATCAGAAGGTTGGCGGTGCGAATCCCCGTGACAGGGTGAGCTCCCGTTGCTCGGTCCCTGCTCCTGCCAACCTAGCAGTTTGAAAGCATGTCAAAGTGCAAGTAGATAAATAGGTACCGCTCCGGCGGGAAAGTAAACAGCGTTTCTGTGCGCTGCTCTGGTTCACCAGAAGTGGCTTAGTCATGCTGGCCACATGACCTGGAAGCTGTACGCCGGCCCCCTCGGCCAGTAAAGCGAGATGAGTGCCGCAACCCCAGAGTCAGTCACGACTGGACCTAATGGTCAGGCGTCCCTTTACCTTTACCTGGTGCCACTATAAACCTCTGAGTCTCTTTGTTGGCTTTGTGTACTTATTTTGAAATTTGTACCAAGGTTGTACCACAGTATCTCCATAGAAGCTTAAAGGTAAAGGTAAAGGTACCTCTGCCCGTACGGGCCAGTCGTGTCCGACTCTAGGGTTGTGCGCCCATCTCACTTAAGAGGCCGGGGGCCAGCGCTGTCCAGAGACACTTCTGGGTCACGTGGCCAGCGTGACAAAGCTGCTCTGGCGAGCCGGCACCAGCGCAGCACACAGAAACGCCGTTTACCTTCCCGCTATAAAGCGGTACCTATTTATCTACTTGCACTTAGGGGAGCTTTCGAACTGCTAGGTGGACAGGAGCTGGGACCGAAAGACGGGAGCTCACCCCGCCGCAGGGATTCGAACCGCCGACCATGCGATCGGCAAGCCCTAGGCGCTGAGGTTTTACCCACAGCGCCACCCGCGTCCCACCACCACCCGCGTCCCACCCATAGAAGCTTAGGGACGGACAAAATTACAGGGGTGCTATAAATTATTATCCCACTCACTCACTCTCACAAACAATCCCGGTATGTAAGATTGGCAAGTTTACAAAATTTGCTTCTAATACCAGATGCTCTTGGACTTTATATGTCCAATCCTAAGTGTAGAGCCTCCAGCCACAGGAATTGTGTATCATGATAGCTGGTCCTTTGTCCCTTAAGTCCACCAAACTGGGGAGCTGCATGCATTTATTGTGTTTTGATGCTGGTGGAATGTATCACTCTGACCCTGTCTATAAAAAATAAGGGTAATAGATTAATTATAAATATTTATGGGAAGCATTTCCATTCCCCTTCACCCGTTTTTCAGGATTGGTGTGCCACATCATTATCAGCAATTATTCCTGCTGGGGAAATAACATCTAAGATTTAAAAGCCTGGAGGAAGAAAAGCTGCTTTGGAGAAGGCCTCACCCCTTCCTTCTTACGTTCAGGAACCTCCTTCCATTTGTCTCCTCTCCATCTTTTCACCTTTCTCCCTCCACCATCCATCTATCCCTCTCCCCATCTCCTCTCCCCTGGAACTCACTAGATTTATCCAAGGGTCCTGGGAGGGAATGCTCAGAGGTTGTGGGGAGGGATGTGGGAGACAGCCTGACCAGGTCAACCGTCCATCTTCCTCCTTCCATCCTGGCCAGGGTTGCAGATTCAGTCTCAGCTAGGTTTGCAGCTTCAGCTTCCTGAGGAGCGCAGAATCCAGAGCCAGTTGCAGCTTCCTGGGAGGGAGGGAAAAAGAAGAAGCCAAGGGAGTCTGAGAGCTCCTGCAGGGATTCTCCTGCCCAAGACATTCTGCTGCCCTTGGAGAAGCCCCAATTGGGCACCCCCTTCCCAAGAGCCTCCACCCATTTTAAAAAACCTTTGGCAATTCCTTTCACCTGCCTGTCCCACCTCCCTTCCTAAGGCTGGCATGGTATGTACATTAGCGGTCTGAGAGTAGGTCCCTTGGAATTTAAGAGTTAATCTGCAAAGAACTGCTCTGAATACATGGGTGGCCCTTGCATGGAGAAGAAGGAAGCCCCTTGCTTGCATCAGGACCCCCTGGGAGAGGCGGTGGATCCGCCCACTGCTCCCTCTGCCCTCGCTGCCTCCTCCTCTGTCCTCCTGCCCTGCAAACACCCTTTGCTCTTGTTCCTCAGGGGAGAGAGGCGGCTGGTGGAAAGAGCCTTCAAACCCATCGGTTTCCTCCTCTGCTCCCGCTCCTGTCCTTTTGGGAAACAGGAACTTTGGTCAGGAGTAAACAACCTAGATGGCAAGTTTGCAAGATAAGCACTTTGGAGCACTGCTTGCTCCCACTATGTTTGTCTGTGTGTGTTTGGACGTAGAGGACGACATACATGTTTACACCAAGTTATTCCATGTATATATAAAAGGATGTCACCTAGAGGAGGGAGAAAGGTTGTTTTCTGCTGCTCCAGAGAAGCGGACACGGAGCAATGGATCCAAACTACAAGAAAGAAGATTCCACCTAAACATTAGGAAGAACTTCCTGACAGTAAGAGCTGTTTGACAGTGGAATTTGCTGCCAAGGAGTGTGGTGGAGTCTCCTTCTTTGGAGGTCTTTAAGCAGAGGCTTGACAACCATATGTCAGGAGTGCTCTGATGGTGTTTCCTGCTTGGCAGGGGGTTGGACTCGATGGCCCTTGTGGTCTCTTCCAACTCTATGATTCTATGATTCTATGACTGTTCCTATTTTTAACCCGGCTTTTCAGGCTGTGAACCTGAACCTTTTCAGTCATCTGAACCTGGCCATTATCTTAATAACTCTTGCAACAACCTTGTAAGGTAGGCCAGTCTTATTTAATGCGACTACACATGGGATTGCTGAGGCTGCAAGACGTGCCAAGATTTTTACCTCAGTGGGGAGAAAAGAGCATTTTGGAAATGGAGGCAATTTAGAGGGGGAAAACGGGGTTTGGTGGAAGGTCACCTCTTCTGACACTGCTTCTGCTCTGTTAAAATTCAGAGTCCCCTGCAGCTGTTTAAGTAAAGTAAGAACAGCAGGAGATATGATCGCAAACCTCCCATGTATAAGAAAGTTTGGTCTAGCAAGCCTTTTTAAAGTGGATTAGAGAGAAAGTGCAGGGAGCAGGAATATTCACCACCATAGCTAAACAGAACCTCCATGTCGAGAGGCAGTGGACCTGTGACCTCCAGGTGCTGGAAACCCAGGTGAGAGGAGGGCACTTACCTTTCCCAGAAGCCCCTCAGTGTCTGGGAGCAGGGTCTGGTCTGTCCCCCCTGCTCTCCCACTGGGCCACCGACTGGCATCTGCAGCTCCCCTGAAGGAGAGGACACCATCCCCAGAGTGGGGAGGACTGGGAGCCTGTGGGGTTTCCCACCCTGAACGAGGGGGCTGCATCGTCTTCAGGAAATCCTGCTTCTCGGCATCCCAGTGCTGCTGCGGCTGCCCCTCCTCTGCCTCCTCCTTAATTTGACATAAATCTGCCCGAGGCAGAAGATCCCTGATGGTCCCAACTTGGCCGGCAGGAGGTTTCCTTCCTTTCCACTCCAGTCTCTTCCTTTGAATGGGTCTCCTGGGTCCCTGCTCTTCTATTTTTATGCCACCCTGCTGGAAAAAAAATAAACACAAAGTAAAATACAACACAAGAATAAAAACAAAAGCACATTTTTTAATCATTAGCCAGTTTTTGAAATATATTATTACTCTTTCTATTTCTGATGTTCAGGGTGTGAATGACAATCATTATGTCACCCAAACGGCTCCTCCCAGGGACAAGGGGAAGTTATCCAAAGACTGGGGGAAACATCAAGGTTTATGGAAGTACAAATAATATTTGGGGGTGGGGGAACCAAGGCAGTGGAAGGAAATCCAAAAAGAACCCAGTGAGAGGACTGAGCATGTTCAGTGGACAGGGAATGCTGATCCTGGCTGCAACTTCTAGCATGTTGGAAAGGCAGCAACAGATCTTTGTATATGATTAAGGCTGCGACAGACCCACCTAACATTGAAAGTACATGGCTTCACCCAAGAAATCCTGTGAGCTGCAGTTTGTTAGGGGTGTTGAGAACTTTAGCAATAAACTACAGGTCCCGTGGTTCTCTGCTTTAAATGTATGGTATCTGCACAGCCTAAGAAACAAATAGGCAAAAGGAATATTGACCAACAAAATCAAAGAACTCACTCCAAAATATTTTAAATTTGATGGTCACAAACTCTCTTGACTGAAGACATTCTAACTTGCAGTCCATTGGCTGCATATGGTTTGCCAAGCCTCAGGGTGTGTCCTGCTAGTCCCTGCCGTTTCCATCTCCTGATCTGATCATCGGATGAAGATCTCTGTCTGTTCTGGAGAGAAAGATGCCTAAGGGCCCTTAGAGAGATCTTTTCAACTCCAATTTCACCACAAAGCAGCACAATGCTGAAATGGGGTAAAAGCCCTGCTCTGGAAATAAATGATCCCTCTGACTGCTCTTTAAAGAGGATTTCTAAAGAACAATCAGAAGGGTCTTTTTTCCACAGATCTCCTTGCTAATTCAGCAGAGTCTTCTTGTGCTCTTATTTCTCCTCCCCCCAGCACTGGGGTTGGAAGGTCTAAACATGTTGTTTGTGTTTGCAAGACTTGTATGTATGCTAGATGGCATGTCTGGTGAGTGCGTGCAGCACCTCTGGCGTGTGTGCATGTGACTTTATGGTCTGCATCTCTTTTCTGTGTGCGCATGCATGTGCATACATTGGCCACAGAGCTCACTGGAATGTGGCCTCCAGAAGCAATGCAGCTTTAAGCCCATAAATGTTTCGTTCCTCCTGCTCTATCAGAAAGAACAATCAAATCTAAGACTATCAGGAGGAGAGAACTCCTGGATCTACAGATTTAATGTTCTCAACATCCTATGGACACAAACTGAATTGAGATTTCTCTCTAATTACTTTGAGATTTTTTTCTTAAAAATATGAAGCAGTATAGAAATGAAAGGAATAATAATCTGGACATGAATAGCTAATTTCAATTTCGCCTTCCTCAGTCTTTTACAATACTGTCTTCAACGTTTTTATTATCATTAATTCATTTCCATATGCCACACTTCTTTAGAATCCTCCTTTCCTCTGCATTCTCAAAACTGTCACCCACTTCAACCCTCAGCCTTCATCTGAAAACTCTGCTGCCTTACTGAGGAAGGTGGAAATGAAACAATTAATGAAACAGGCTTAAGCCTGTCTCACTTATTCACACACAGATACAAGAGGTCACTAGCTTTGACAGCTTGGGAAAAGATCAGATGCGTTCTCCGGGGAAAAGATCCATTAGCTGTTTTATTATCCTTGACAGAACAACAGAACCTCCATGTGTAGGCACAGTGTACCTTGATCTGAGGCAGGCAAAATATGCCATTTCCTTGCTAAATGAATCTGATGGACATCATTGCCACAAGATGCGGTGATGGTGGTGGCAAAGAGAGCTTTCAAAGGCGATCAGACCAATTCACCAAGGAGGGCGATAGGTTTATCAATGGCACTGGCAGAGGAAGGGGGGGCAGGAGTAGTGGCCTGCAAAGGGTGTCAGGGGGCTGCAGGGTGAGAGGGGCACCTCCCCGCTGCACTGCTCTTCCTCCCCCCCCCCGCCTCCCCTTCCCTCTCCGCCGTGGGGAGGACCGTCTAAATGGGATGGGCTCCCTGCTGAGGGACAGGGAGAGGGGCGGCAAAAGCCCCAGGTACGCCGCTGATCATGGGACGACTATATGCATCGTCCATCGCGGAGCAGCAGCTGCCTTGGACCCCTCATTCTGCCCCTTGAGCTCAGGACTGAAGGGAGCAGCTCCCCAGGGTCTCCGGCAGGGTCCGTGCCAGCCTGAGCCAGAGATGTTTGCCCCTGTGCCCTCCTGCAGATGCCCTGCCCCTCAGCTGCGCCCCTTCCCCTTCCTGCCCGGTTGGGGGGCGCCCTGCAGCCTCTGACTCCACTCGGGGCCCGATCCTGCCAGGCGCACCTGCTCTCCTCCTCCTCCCTCCTGCACCTCGGACTCCTCGCTCCGTCCCTGCAGCGGAATCCGGTTCCTATCCGGGGAAACTCGCCAGGCCACGGGCCGCTGCTCCTCCGCTCACCTCGAGGGGGGACAGGAAAGTGCAGCCGCTCTCGAGTCCCCCTGGCTGGCCCCGTTTCCTGCCTCTCTGAGCATCGGAGCTCGCTGGCTGTGGGTTGGGCCCTGGGAGGCTGCGAGGCTGGATGCGCCCCCTTGCGCTGTCCCTCAAAATTTATTGTATCATTGGAATCTACCTGGCATCTTATATGCTATCCAGAATGTTGCACAAATAAGTCTCCTTGTGATCTGATATGCAGTAACTGGCTTCCTCATCAGTAAATATTTTCAGAAAGCTGGGACTATGCCACCCTGCAGCCATAGCTGTCAACTTTCAGATTTGAAAATAAGGGATCAGCAGCCTCACCTGTCCCGGGGACAGTACAGGATATCTAACAATCCGGGATAGCAGCAGGAAATGGCACTGGAATAAGGGAATTTCCGGCAAAAAAGAGAAGGTTGACAGCTATGCCTGCAGCCCGAATGGGTAGCTGGAGGAGGCAGTCCAGTTCCCAGCTCTGCTGGTTGGGATCATGCAATCACTTAGCTCCAGCAACCGACCTTTCCAAACCCTCCAACATTTCTCTGATGAAAATAGGGACATCCCATTCCATAAATATAATTTTCCTATTTATACACCGCACATCTTATTACGCTGCCCCAGCCACTCTGGGAAGTTTCCAACATATATAAAAAACATAATAAAACATTAAACATTAAAAAACTTTCCTATACAGGATTGCCTTCAGAGGGCCGGGGGTTGGATAACTCTCCATTCTCTAATTCTAAACAGTGGCACTTGGAGGGTTTCTCTTTCCCTGCTTTTTCATTCGCTGCCTCTGGTCTCCTGCATCCGTTCAGCAGAGGAGGGGAGCGGTTTTGGCCTTCATACTTCTCCACCCCCCACCCCACCCCCAATATAACCAAAAGCACAATATAACCAAAAACACACACACCATTTGGGAGTGAGGACAAAAAAAATAAAATCGTTTTATTGTTTTTAGCCAATGGCCACCACTATACGAGCACAAATCACACAGCTGCAAAACAAAAGACATTGCATGCACCAGACCAGGATAAATCTATAGCGTCGAAAATTTATTTTCACATTTCTTTCAATGGGAAGGATATAGGGTAGCAGAGTCCTAGTGGTGAGGTCCAGATTAGAGTTTGTATCATCCTTGACTGTCTGCCCTGCTGGCTGAAGCTGATGGGAACTTGACAACAACATCTGGGGACACCTCAATGACTATTCTGTGATATACAGAATCTACAAAGGATTAAGGCACTGATCCAGAAGAGAATGAACTGAGAAGAGGCCCCACTGAATTATCTGAAGTAAAACAGCCACTCTGGGCGGCTCCCAATCAAGTGTTAAAAACAGTACAGCATTAAATATTAAAACCCTACCTAAACAGGGCTGCCTTCAGATGTCTTTGTTGGGTGTAGTGAAGGGTTAACCTTCTGTGTCTCGAGGCTGAGAGAAGGCGCTTACAAGGGAAGTAAGCCAGGACGTGACGAAAACAGCTTGGAATGCTGTGAGCTGAGTGAAAAGTGAAAGCAGCTTTGCTACGCAGCTGCTGAGAGAGACAGGTCGCAAAATGCAACTTGAATCAGATGGACTGTAAATATGCTATTTTTGAGCAAATAAAGTGCTACTAGGAAAGAAGAAACGTGTGGGACCTATTTACTGACTGCCCTTTCTACGCGAACTGCTGTGCAATTCTGCTAATTGCTTTACGACCTGCAGAGGAGTGCAGGGAGCGTGCCGGACCACAACAATAAAGCAATAAATCTTATCCTAACATGGTTATGGGTCAACGTGAAGCGTGTGAGGAAGGGCTTTGAAGTTTTATCTGCTGATCGTCAGCTTGATCGACTGCCGGAGGCTTCAAAGAGGCAGATCGGAGGAGGCTGACGGAGGCTGGGAGCCAAGAGCCATGACGTCCGGAGTTCCCAGTTTGGCTGAGTGAGTACCTTTGGGAAAAGCCAACAGAAGAGAGGCAATGGCTCAGCCCCAGGGACAAGTCTTTGAGAGTTTCAATATCCCCTTTGAGAGACTCAATGGGAGTAATTGGGAGAATTGGCTGCAGTGGAGCTTTCAAGTGGAGCTTTTGCTGGTGGGGGAGCAGCTGTGGAATGTAATTCACCCCACACAGAATGCAGCTGGGAAAACAGAGGCTAATAGGGCTGCAGAGCAAAGTGAAGTGGAGAAGCGTGTGCTTGCTTTTTTGGCAGAAAGTGTGGATGCTCATCTGGTGCCTGTTGTCCTGGGTGCAAGAAAGCCAGAGGCCGCTTGGCTAGCACTCCAAGAAGCTTGTGGAGCTGGAGTGGGAAGCAAGGGCCGAGAAGGGACTGTTGTTGTTCCTGTTGCTGTTGTTGCTAGCACTGCTGCTTGTGCTTTTGCTGAGCCTGGGAGCTGTGTGGATGCTGCAACGTGTCTGTGTGAGAAACCTGAAGAGAGGCCAAGTGTTGAGAGCCCTTTACCCTTCAGAGGGGGTGCAGAAAAACGTCCTGGAGACCCCATGAGCAGTGGGGGGGCAGTGAGCAGTGACAGCTCAGAGACGCCTCTTTCTCCAAAAGCTGCCAAGAGTTGTTTATGTCGTGAGTCGGAGCCTGGGAAGCTGAAAAGTGCTAGAGGCTTCAAGGTCAGCCACCTGCAGCAAGTAGAGATAAGCGCTTCAGAGTTGTGTGGGAACGCCGAGACAAGTCCAGTCTCCATGTCAACTGAGGGAGTTGCATCTACGGAAGCTGTCAAGGTCGTGGGCAAGTCTTCCTGCCGGGGGGAGTCTGTTGCCGTGACAACCAGAGAGGACATCTGCAGAAGCCCCAAGGAGGGGGGTAGTGAGGAGATTGTTGCCCTGGCGACCCAGGAATGTAAACAACAAGACTTTCTCACTGTAATCATAGACTCTGGTGCCTCAAACTCGTTAGTGCCATCTCCTGATCTTTTGAGGAATTGCAGGGCAGTAAAAACTGAGAAGTATGTTACGTTTGCAGGTGGAAGCAGAAAAAAGCTGACAGAGACAGGACTGTTCTTTTGTCCTTTCCTTAAGCATGAAGTCAAAGCTTATGCAGTGCCCGGTTTAACTAACTGTTTGTTAAGTGTGCATGATCTATTGATTGATAATTTTCAAATTTCTTTTTCAGGTGACAAATGTGAATTTTCCAAGGATGGGAAACACGTGTACACAGTGCAGTCTAAAGATAATTTGTTTGCTGTAAATGTGCCTTTTTCCACAGGGGAAGATGACACCGAAGATGCGAAGGGCCAATGTGTGAATGTAGCGCCCCACAATGGTTGTTTACATATTTGGCACAGACGCTTCGCTCATTTAAATTGGAAATTTCTCCAGAAAGCACCAGAGCTGACACAAGGGTGCAAATTTAATGTTTGTGACAAATTTCTAGATTGCAATGCATGTAAACAGGCGAAAGTTGTGACATGCTCATATCCAAAGTCAGAGAGGCAGACCACGCAACCCTTTGAATTAATTCATGCAGATTTGTGTGGGCCCATGTCTGTTGAGTCACTGGGAGGTTCGAAGTATTCTTTACTTTTGATTGATGATTTTTCGAGGTCTGCTTGGACCTTCTCTCTGAAAACGAAAGGGGAGGCGGCTAAAATGATCAGGGATTGGATCACCGCAGTTGAGGTAACCATTTCCACCAAAGTTCGTGGTTTTCAAAGTGACAGAGGTGCTGAATTCACTGGTTCTGCTTTACAGGATTTCTTTAGGGAGAAGGGGATTAGCCACAGACTGACCGCTCCTTACTCTCCGCAACAGAATGGGGTCGCAGAGAGAAAGAACAGGACGGTGCAGGAAGCGGTGTCTGCGATCCTGTGGGACGCAGGGCTACCCCAGAAATTTTGGTCTCAGGCCTGGCACTATGTGGTCCATACGCAGAACAGAGTGTACAACTCTAGTGTACGAAATACACCGTATTTCTTACTTCATGGAAGGCAGCCCAAGGTACACTACCTTCGTGTGTTTGGTTGCGAGGCTTGGGTGCTTATTCCAAAGGCTCTACGCAAGAAAGGTGAGCCAAGGTCTAAAAGGATGATCTTTGTAGGGTATGAGCCTGGCTCAAAGGTCTGGAGGTTTGCGTACCCAAGTGGAGACCAGTCTAGGTTGGTTATCAGCAATAGCGCTGAGTTCTGTGAGCAAGCTGGTTGGAAGCATCTGCACGCTAATCCAGACGTGCTTCCACAGCAGTTCTATGACTCAGACGACGAGGAGGAGGAACTTGTTGCTGGGGACCACGGTCCAGAGCAACAGAGTCCAAGGCAGGGACAGCTCAGGATCCCTCAGAGGGGGGAACCTAGAACACCTCCTCAGGCAAGTGTCAAGTTTGAGCCAAAGAGTGAGCCTTCTTCACCTGCTGGACCAGCTGTGAGGCCCAAGAGGCGCAGCAGGTCAGAGGGGGAAGACACTGAAGTTGAGGATGACTTAGCTGGACCCAGTGAAGCGGCAGGGTCACCAGGAGTCACACTGAGGAGATCAGCGAGGACAAGGAGGCCTCCTGATCGGTACGACGCTTCAGGCGTCTGGGTAGGTTCTGCAAGATGTGAACCTGAATCCTTCGAGGATATTCAGAGTTTACCTGAGGAAGAAGCAGGCAAGTGGCACAGGGCAATGGACAAAGAGATGAAGTCCATGAAAGATCTAGGTGTGTTCTCACTCACAGAGTTGCCACCAGGGAAGCAGGCTGTGAGTTCCAGGTGGGTTTACCGCTTGAAACCCACTGACGCAGGAGAGCCGCAGTATAAAGCCAGGTTAGTTGCTCGAGGATTTACGCAGAGGAAGGGAATACACTTCACGGAGGTGTATTCGCCAATGTCACGAGCGGAGACTCTGAGAACGCTTTTAGCTTGTGCAGCACAGAGAGGCTGGAAGGTAAACCACTTTGATGTGGATGTTGCCTACCTTAACTCAGATCTCCAGGAGGAGCTGTACATGATTCCTCCTCCGGGGTTTGAGAACTCAAGGCAGGATGTTGTGTGGAGATTGCACAAATCCATCTATGGATTACGTCAATCTGCTAGAAACTGGAACATGTGCCTGAATGAAGCTTTGGAGAAGCTAGGTTTCAGGAAGAGTCTTGCTGACAGTTGCCTGTTCCTTAGAGGATCAGGAGACTCACAGGAACTGGTGCTGATTTGGGTTGATGACGTGCTTTTCGTCTCAGAAACAGATGAACAGGCGGAGAAGTTTGCCAAAGAGCTAGGTAAACGATTCAAGCTTAAACAGCTTGGTGCTGTCAAAACCTATCTAGGTGTCAATGTTGAGCGTGCACAGGATGGAAGTTTTTGCTCAGCCAGAGAGGTAAAATTGAGCAACTGCTTCAGAAAATGAGGATGAGTGATTGTGCAGGAGTGAGAAGTCCTATGGAGACTAGTTTTGTGAAGGACAGCCAGCAAGTAGAACGCGCTGCGTTCGAAAATACTGAAGTGTTTCAGTCAGCCCTAGGGAGTTTGTTGTACTTGTCCCAATGGAGCAGACCTGATATAGCGTTTGCTGTCAATCTGCTCAGCAGGGAGGCTTCAAACCCTAGTGTGCAAGCCTGGAATGGCTTCAAGAGAGTTCTGAGGTATTTGCAGGAGACCAAAGACTTTTGTCTTAGGTTGCCAGCACAAGGAGAAGTCAAACTGACTTGCTTTGTGGACTCGGATTGGGCTAATCTTGAAGATCGCAAGTCTGTGTCTGGCCTAGTGGTGATGTTTGGGAACTCAGTAGTTGGATGGAGGTCCAAGAAGCAAAGTCTGATAGCGCTCTCATCCACTGAGGCTGAGTTCAGTGCTCTTTCAGAGATGTGCAGAGAAGTAGAGTTCTATGCTTGTTTGGTGCAGGAACTCTGCGAAGTGGATTGTCTGCCGATACGTGTTTTCGAGGACAATCAACCATGCCTGCGTTTGGCAGAGTCAGGTCAGTTCAAGGCCAGAACTAAACACCTAGACATTCGCTTTGGAATGTGTGCCAAAGTGTTCAGGAGGGATTAGTTGCGCTGAAGTATTGTCCCTCTGCCAAGAACCTAGCTGATGGGTTCACGAAACCACTCACCTTCCAAAGACATGGGGAGTTTTGTGAAGGTCTGGGTTTGGGACGACCAAGGGTCGATTCTCCCCTCAGGCGCGAGACAAGAGGGGGTGTTGGGTGTAGTGAAGGGTTAACCTTCTGTGTCTCGAGGCTGAGAGGAGGCGCTTACAAGGGAAGTAAGCCAGGACGTGACGAAAGCAGCTTGGAATGCTGTGAGCTGAGTGAAAGTGAAAGCAGCTTTGCTACGCAGCTGCTGAGAGAGACAGGTCGCAAAATGCAACTTGAATCAGATGGACTGTAAATATGCTATTTTTGAGCAAATAAAGTGCTACTAGGAAAGAAGAAACGTGTGGGACCTATTTACTGACTGCCCTTTCTACACGAACTGCTGTGCAATTCTGCTAATTGCTTTACGACCTGCAGAGGAGTGCAGGGAGCGTGCCGGACCACAACAATAAAGCAATAAATCTTATCCTAACAGTCTTTTATTTTTTTTATAAGATATTTATTAAGATTTTCAAAGTATTACAGAATAAAAAGAAAAAAAAGAAAATAAAAGAAAATAAAAAAAATGGTTAAAATCAACTCCATCTTTCCATTACTTATTTTTCATTAGCTTATTTCCCGGACCTCCTCACGCCTCCCTTTTTTGTATTCCAATTCGGTTTGTTGGTTCAGCAAATCCCTACCCTCTTTGTTTATCCTAGTCTTTAATTTTAAAATATTATGACATTAAGTTTTTACCTAAATAATCCATTTTTCATATTCCCTTATAATATTACAGCTGAAAACCACTTAATTACTATCCAACATCATTCTAACATTCATCAATTTTACAATATTTCTGTAGATAGTCTTTAAATTTCTTCCAATCTTCTTCCACCGACTCTTCTCCCTGGTCTCGGATTCTGCCAGTCATTTCCGCCAGTTCCATATAATCCATCACCTTCATCTGCCATTCTTCCAGAGTGGGTAGCTCTTGTGTCTTCCAGTACTTTGCAATAAGTATTCTTGCTGCTGTTGTGGCATACATAAAAAAGTTCTGTCCTTCCTTGGCACCAATTGGCCAACTATGCCCAGGAGAAAGGCCTCTGGTTTCTTCAAGAAGGTATATTTAAATACCTTTTTCATTTCATTATATATCATCTCCCAGAAAGCCTTAATCCTTGGGCATGTCCACCAAAGGTGAAAAAATGTACCTTCAGTTTCTTTACATTTCCAACATTTATTATCGGGCAAGTGATAGATTTTTGCAAGCTTGACTGGGGTCATGTACCACCTGTATACCATTTTCATAATATTCTCTCTTAAGGCATTGCATGCCGTAAACTTCATACCTGTGGTCCATAACTGTTCCCAGTCAGCCATCATTATGTTATATCCAACATCCTGTGCCCATTTAATCATATCAGATTTCACCGTTTCATCCTGAGTATTCCATTTCAACAGCAAGTTATACAGTCTTGACAAATTCTTAGTTTTGGGTTCTAACAGTTCTGTTTCCAATTTTGATTTTTCCACCTGAAAGCCAATTTTCTTATCCAAATTATATGCCTCCATTATCTGATAGTAATGAAGCCAGTCTCGCACTTTGTTTTTTAGTTTCTCAAAACTCTGCAATTTCAGTCTATCTCCATCTTGTTCCAAAATTTCCCAATATTTCGGCCATTTGACCTCCATATTGAGCTTTTTCTGAGCTTTCGCTTCCATCGGTGACAGCCACCTTGAGGTTTTATTTTCCAATAAGTGGCTTGTATCTTATCCAAGCATTAAACAGTGCTTTCCTGACAATATGATTTTTAAATGCTTTATGTGCTTTGACCTTATCATACCACAGATATGCATGCCATCCAAATACGTTGTTAAAACCTTGTAAATCCAAAATGTCTGTATTTTCAAGAAGTAGCCATTCTTTCAACCAGCAAAAAGCTGCTGATTCATAGTAAAGTTTAAAGTCTGGCAGGGTAAATCCACCCCTTTCCTTTGCATCAGTTAATATCTTAAATTTTATTCTGGGCTTCTTGCCCTGCCAGACAAATCTAGAAATATCTCTCTGCCACTTCTTGAAACAGTCCATCTTGTCCACAATTTGCAATGTTTGAAACAAAAACAACATTCTAGGCTTCAGATGTCTTTTAAAGATAGGATAGCTGCTTATTTCCTTCACATCTGAAGGGAGGGTGTTTCACAGGGTGGGTGCCACTACCGAGAAGGCCCTCTGTCTGGTTCCCTGTAACCTCACTTCTCGCAATGAGGGAACCGCCAGAAGACCCTCGGCGCTGGATCTCAGTGTCCAGGCTGAACGATGGGGGTGGAGACGTTCCTTCATGTATACAGGACCGAGGCCGTTTAAGGCTTTAAAGGCCAGCACCAACACTTTGAATTGTGCTCGGAAACGTCCTGGGAGCCAATGCAGATCTCTCAGGACCAGTGTTATGTGGTCCTGGCGGCCATTAAATGTTAATAAGCAGAAACCTGTGCAGGAACAGAGACAATACTGCTGATGTGAAAGAAAATTGTTTCATAAGAAACTATAAGAGAATTCAAGTGAGAACATGCCCGTGTTTGAATAAGCAGAATATTGTACAGTGGTACCTCGGGTTACATATGCTTCAGGTTACAGACTCAGCTTCTTATTTTATTTTACAAAGTTCATATGCAAGGTGTTTGTGTCAGTGTGACATGGGTAGGTTCTCTTCCTATTCATTTATTAGTTTTCACTGGCAGTGAGAAAGATCGGGGGGCCCAGGGCATAGTTGGTTGCCTTCAGTTGACTGCAGTAAAGGTGGTGGAGGCTGAACCATTTTGAGGAACAGATTGTTGTAATTCTTGGAAAGGGATGGAAAAGAGCACGGCTACTGGAAAGAACAAAAGAATACACGAAATAAGGTTATAATTTGCTGAAAAATTTTATTGTAAAGAACGCACGGTGAGGGAGACGTGGGGAAGTCCGGTTGGTTATGGAAAAATGTTTTGAAAAGATGATTTTCTTTTTCTTTCTTTTTTCTCTTCTGTTATTTCTTTGTATATCTGATTTTGTATTTTTATCTGGAAAAATGTAATAAAAAATATTTAAAAAAAAAAAGAAAAGAAAAGAGCACGGCTACATCGTGGTTTGGTACTTCAAGTAAAGGTAAAGGTAAAGGGACCCCTGACCATTAGGTCCAGTTGCGGACAACTCTGGGGTTGCGCCGCTCATCTCGCTTTACCCGCCGAGGTAGCCATTTACCTTCCCACCGGAGCGGTACCTATTTATCTACTTGCACTATGACGTTCTTTCGAACTGCTAGGTTGGCAGGAGCAGGGACCGAGCAACAGGAGCTCACCCCATCGCTGAGATTCGAACCATGACCTTCTGATCGGCAAGCCCTAGGCAAAAACAAGCAGAAACAGTTTAAAAACACCTCAAACATTTTCAATATCTTATATTTCATTCACTTATTTCCAGCGACCTCCTCCCACCTCCCTTTTTGTATTCTACTTCTTCTAATTGTTTCAGCAATTCCTTTCCATCTTACTCTGTTTTCTGTTCTATAATTATCTTAACACATTCTTGCCATACTTTTCCTTTAATTTTCTATTAACCTATCTATACCTAATTCCTTATGACATTTCTGCCAAAGCCATATAATTTCATTCCAACATTTTTCTAACATTCCTTAATTTTACAATATCTCTATAAATGGTCTTTAAACTTTTTCCAATCTTCTTCCACCGACTCTTCACCCTGGTCTCGGATCTTGCCAGTCATTTCCGCCAATTCCATATAGTCCATCAATTTCATCTGCCATTGTCCAACGCTTCAATGTTTTCAAAAAGGAACCATTCTCTCAACCAGCAAAAAGCAGATAGTTCACAGCAAAATTTAAAGGTCTGGCAGGGCAGGTCCTCCTCCTCCTTCTTTGGCATCCATCAATATCTTAAGTTTTACTCGAGGCTTCCTGCCCTGCCAAACAACTCTAGGAGCATCCCTCTGCCACCTCCTGAAACCCTCCATCCCATCCAAGGCTTGCAGTGTTTGAAACAAAAGCAACATCCCCAACAACACAGCAGCCCTCATCCCCACCACAGTAACTCGGCCCAACAGTGACAACTTCTGATTTGTCCATATTTCCAAATCCCCCTTCTCCTCAATCCAACATCCTTCACAGTTATCCTTAAGCAAATTCACATTTTTGGCAGTCATACTAACCCCCAAATACCTCTCTTTCTCAACCAATGTTAGTATCGCCTCCTGAAACTCTGTCAAGCTTTCCTTTTCCAATTCAGATAGGGCTCTGGTCCTCAAATTCATCCGTTCTTCAAGTTCAATCATAACGAATGTCAACTTATGTTCGTCAGGTTGTCTTTGTATGGATGGGACTCTCCTCTCCAGTTGTATTATTTTAGATTCAGCAGCAAGGGTTTTCCCTCTAACTTCATCTGCAGTTTGCCATATCGAAGTAGATTCCTGTGTCTGTTTCTGAGTGGTTTCTGAATTAGTATTCACCTTTTGTCCCAAGTTATTTAAACTTTCTACAATTGAATCAATTTCAATATTTGCAACATCCAATTTCACATTTCTCGCATCTGTTTTCTTGTGGAGTTGTTCCAGCGAATCGTTTATTTTCAATAATGCAGCCACTAAGCCTCCTCTGTCGACATCTCGTCTGTTTTTTCCTTTCTGTTTGCCATAACACTTAAAAGATTCAAGGTCAATTCCAAAGTCTCACACTTTCTTATCTTGCAGCTGGAAATTCCCCTAGCCCAGCTCCTATCAAGTAACCAATTTCAAAAGCTTCCACTAGGGGAAAGCGAGTTGTATTTGTATCGGTCAGTATGTCCTCTTTTAAACAGTTTCAATAATCCAAAGTTAGTTTCAATTTTCAGTTACTTTCCTCCTTTTTTAAAAATAAAGTTCAGTAAGATTGTTTCAATTTTCCGTTACTTTTACTCCTTTTTAAGTGCAGACGAAGACAATGGAAACAATGTATCTCTCTTATGCTAGCTGTCACCGAACGTTCTATTCGCTGTCAATGAACCTTCCAAGACATGTCGGTTTTACTGGCAGCCCGTTTCCAGGTTCGGAACGGTGGTATTTTAACTTCCTCACTCACTCCTGCAGGGATATACAATCCAAAGCCTCCCCCCTCTTCTCCTGCTTCCAAGGGGGGGTTAATATTTTTTACTGATAAGAATTTAGTCCTTTACAATAGGCTTTCCAAGACTTTAGCTTGCAGCCTCTTTGCCTCAGTCTTATTTACAAAAAGGGGAGGTGGACTTCCTGTTTTGAACCTCCCCGTTTCAGTGCCAAATTAAGATGTTTTAAAAATCCAATTCTTCACTCTACTCACGGGTAGTTGCTTTAAGATCAAATTGTCCACAGGAAAAAGTCAGCACTCTCCGGCAACAGCTATGCGGCTTCGCTCCGTGGAAGAAGCAGTCGATCCGAAGCACCGCGCCGCTCACCCCACATTGCTCCGGATCCCCAAAACCGGGTTTCCCCGCGAGTAGGGGAGGCGCAAAAGGTGCCCGCCGAATCCCACGTTCACAGGCTTCACCCGCCTGTGATTTTTAGTGGGTCTCCGCCTTCGCCGTGGCGGCCAGACCCGAATTTCCACGAGGCAAATTCCTCTCACAGACAAAGATGGACAAAGCGTCTGATGTATGGCCCTGCGTCAGGCCCCTCCCCAGATACAGGACACCAAGGAGTTTTAACCCTGTAAACTCCAAACTCCACACCCCCTCTTGTTCTGCATCTGGGGGAAACAAGCAACAATGTTCACCCCAAACACAGACCTTCACAAAACTCCTCATGCTTCTGGAAGGTTAACGGTTTCATGAAACCATCAGCGAGGTTCTTGGTTGAGGGACAGTATTTCAGAGCAACTAGCCCCTCACGAACGCTCTGACACACATTCTGAAAACGTATGTCCAGATGTTTGGTCCTGGCCTTGAATTGCCCCGTCTCGGTCAATTTGAGGCATGGCTGGTTGTCTTCATGCACCACGATGGGTAGACAATGCTCTCCACAGAGTTCCTGGACCTAACACGCATAGAACTCCAGTTCTCTGCAAACCTCAGATAGCGCACTGAACTCAGCTTCAGTAGATGAAAGCACTGAGACTTTGCTTACGGGACCTCCACCCAACTACTGAGTTCCCAAACTTCACCACTAGGCCTGACACTGATTTGCGGTCCTCAAGGTTAGCCCAATCTGAATCCACCTAGGCGGTAAGCTTGACACCACCCTCAGCTGACATCTTGAGGCAAAAGTCTTTGGTATCTTGCAGGTAACGCAGCACCCATTTAATACCATTCCAGGCCTGTACACTTGGACTCGAAGCCTCTCTACTGAGCAGATTGATAGCGAACGCTATATCTGGTCTGCTCCACTGTGACAGATACAGTAGACTACCCAGAGCTGATTGAAAGAGTTCAGCATTTTCGAACACAGCGCGTTCTGCTTGCTGACATTCTTTCACATAACCAGCCTCCATGGGCGTTTTGACACCTGCACACTCAGACATTCTGAACTTCTCAAGCAACTGCTCAATCTTACCTTTCTGGCTGAGCAAAAAGCTTCCATCTTTCGTTCTAGTGATCCCTACGCCAAGATACGACTTGACGTCTCCAAGCTGCTTGAGCTTGAACCGCTTTCCAAGCTCTCTAGCAAACTTCTGCACTTGTTTACCTGTCTGTGCTATGTATAAAATATCATCAACAAAAATCTGAGCAGCTTGCTGTGTCTCACCTGATCCTTTAAGGTAGAGACAGCTGTCAGCAACACTTCTCCTGAAACCTAGCTCTTCTAAGGCTTCATTCAGACACATGTTCCAGTTTCTGGCAGATTGACGTAATCCATAGATGGATTTGTGCAACCGCCACACGATGCCTGGCCCACTGACCTCAAAACCCGGAAGAGGAAGCATGTACAACTCCTCCTGGAGGTCTGAGTCCAGGTAGGCAACATCCATACCAAAATGGCTCGCCTTCCAACCTCTCTGTGCAGCAAAAGCTAAAAGCATCCTCAGAGTCTCGGCCCTCGAGGTCGGCGAATAGACCTCCGTGAAGTGGACTCCTTTCCTCTGAGTGAATCCTCGGGCCAGTAATCTAGCTTTATACTGTGGTTCTCCAGCTTCTGTGGGTTTAAGGCGATAAACCCATCTGCAACTCACAGCTTGCTTGCCAGCCGGCAATTGTGTGAGAACACACTAAGAGACTCCATTGAATTCATTTCCTTCTGCATCGCCTCATGCCATTTGCTAGCTTCTTCCTGAGGCAACTTCTGAACATCCTCAAAGGATTCAGGTTCACATCTAGCCACACCAACCCACATGCTAGTGGCTTCGTACCTTTCCGGTGGCTTTCCCTTGGTTGACCTAGCTGACCTTCTCAACGTGAACTCTGGAACAGTGCCTGATTCACTTGGGCCAGCCATACCATCCCCTGTGTCAGAAACCTCCCCCCTCTGACCTGCTGCGCCTTTTAGGCCTCACAGCTGGGTCTGCAGGCGAGGATGGCTCACTCCTTGGCTCAGACTTGACAGAGACCTGTGGAGGGGTCTTGGGACTTCCCTTTGGAGAGGTTCGGAGCCTCTCCCTTGGAGACCCCGGCTCTGGACTCTGTGGCTGTGGACTGTGCACCTCAGCAACAGGTTCAGTTTCATCCTCCTCCTCTTCCTCATCTGAGTCAAACAGAACATCCGGGTTCCCGTGAAGACGTTTCCACCCACTCTGCTTGCAAAACTCAGCACTGCCGCTAATAAGCAGCTTAGACTGGTTGCCAGTAGGGTATGTGAAACGCCGCACCTTTGAGCCCGGCTCATAGCCTACAAAGATCATTTTTCTGGACCTTGGTTCACCCTTTCTGTGAGTGGCCTTTGGGATGAGGACCCAAGCCTCACAGCCAAACACACGCAAGAAATCCACTTTGGGCTTCTTACCATGCAGCAGAAAATAGGGCGTTGTTTCCCACACTTGAATTGAACACCCTGTTCTGTAAAAAATATGCAGTCTTATAACTCTCGGCCCAAAAGCGCTGTGGCAAACCCGAGTCTGCAAGCATAGCATCCGCTGCTTCCTGAAGCTTGCGGTGTTTTCTCTCCACAATCCCGTTTTGTTGCGGACTGTAGGGGGCAGTCAATCTATGACTGATACCTTTCTGCCTGAAGAAAGATTGCAGCACAGAACCTGTGAACTCCGCCCCCCGATCAGATTGAAAGGAAACCACCCTGGCGGAGAAATGCAGCTCTACCGCTGTGATCCAATCCCTGATCAGTGCAGCCGCCTTCCCCTTGTGTTTAATTGTAAACAGCCAGGTGTGTCTCGAAAAATCATCAATCAGAACCAAAACATGCTTCGATCCACTTAATGAAGCGACCTGCATTGGACCACATAAATCTGCATGAACCAGCTCAAAGGGTTTGCTGGTCCTCCTTTCTGACCTGGGATATGTGCATGTCGTAATCTTCGATTGCTTACAAGCTTGACAATCTAAGTATTTATCATATGCTTTGAACCCACACCCAATTGTGTTCTCAGTGGCTGTCTTAACATAAGACCACCCTGCATGCCCAAAGCGTCTGTGGCACAGGTGTAAACAATCATGATGTGGTGGTACATTTGCACACTGCACTTGTGCTTCTTCAGGGGATTCTGCAACAGCAACATTAGCAACAGGCATCTGCACCAGAAAAAGCCTGTCCTTCCCCATAATGCTATGGAGCTTCTTCCCATCCCTGTAAAAATAGCACATATTGTTAGTAAACACCACATCAAAACTGTCAGCCATCAGAGCTGATACACTTAAAAGAGAGTGGGCAAGCTCGGGCACCACAAAAGCTTGCACCTCATGATCTATAAAAGGACAGTATAAAAAACCAGTCTCAGTTAACTGTCTCTGAGAGCCATCAGCCATCGACACAAAACGACCAGTTTTAACTTTCTTGCAATTTCTCAGGAGCCCACTAGATGGCACAAGGCTGTGAGTCACTCCTGTATCGATTACAAGGGACAACATGGCTCTTTGGCTGTCTTCCAAGGTTGCCATGGCGACGCTTGCACCCCCACGGGGTCTCTGCCAGTGTCCTTCCTGGTTGCCATGGTTGCAAGGCCTCTGCTGGTGTTCTCACGCTTCGCCATCTTATCTGCTTTCCTTGCAGGTGGCCGGTGACCTTGCATTCCAGGGCCTCTGCAGAACAATGCCCTTCGCTGTTGGACTTTGACTCAGAGCACAAACAACTTTTGGAGACTTTGGCTTTCCCAGAGCTCTTGGAACGGCCTGCACCCCCACTCCTGGGTGCATAGCTTCCTGAGGAACAGCTTGCCACTGCTTTCCTCTTCTTCCCACTCTCAGCCTCTCCCCATCACACAGTCCATCACACAGAAGTGTCGAAGCATAGAAACAGCTTCCCGGAACAGTCCCAGCCCCCACTGGGCTCACTGCTCTCTCTGGGCATCCTCCAGCCCCCTCTGGTCTGGCTCCCACTGTGGCCTGACATGCCGTCTTCAGTGCCTGCCACGCGACCCAGGGCTTCTTCCCTTGAAGGTTTGGCAACACCCAAGCATCAACGCTGGCCCTTAAAATGGCTAGCACCCTTTGCTCTCTTTCCAGAGCAGCAGCCATGTCTGCTTCACAAGCTTCTGCTGCACCTGTGGCCGTCTCAGCCGCTGCAGCACCGGGCTGGGCAAGAACTGGATAGGCCTGCGTACATTCCCATAGCTGCTTCCCTTCCAGCCAGTAGTACATGCGCTTACTCCAGTTTTCCCAATTTGCCCCTTGAGCCTTTCAAAGGGGATATTGTAGCTCTCATGGGCCTGCTGTTGTTGAGCAGCAGCCATCTTCCTCCCCCTGGGGCTTAAGCGTACTCACGCATTGCCAGCTAGCCGGTCCTTTGAAGCAGCAGCCTTCTCTTGGCTTTGCTCTCCACCAGCGTCTCCCACTGCCTTTCTGGCAGGAGCTCAAAGCAGCTTAAAGCTGGCAGCCCCCTCCTCACACTTGGCAGGAAACACGGAAGAGCCATAACCTTTGCTGATTAAATCCTGCCGTCCAGTCAGCGCTTCCGCTGCGTTCCTTTGCTGGGGCTGACCTGGGCAGAAAATACAGAGTCGCAGTGGTCCTGCCGTCCATGTGAGATAGAGGGATAAATCAGTCCAGAGACAGTTCATTGCTATTTCTAAAAACGTTTATTTACAAGCCGTAAATCCATCAGAAACCTCCAGCATTTCTCCGGTGCTAAAAAGCACACGCAGCTTCTGTGCAGCATCTCTCAGTCTAAAGTGAAACCAACTCTCACAGACAAAGATGGACAAAGCGTCTGACGTATGGCCCTGCGTCAGGCCCCTCCCCAGATACAGGACACCAAGGAGTTTTAACCCTGTAAACTCCAAACTCCACATTAAACTTATAACACTTGTTCCCTTCCAAGTAACAATGACGCTTACAAACAGATTGTCACTTTCTTTTTCTATGTTTGCTTCGTATGCCACAATGTTATCTCTCTTTTCCCTCAAATGCTCCAGGCGACCACAGATGAGTGTCTAAAGAGAAACGAAAAGCTCAGAGTTTGGGGGTGGGGTGAAGCCTTGAACATCAGGTTGCCTCCTAGTTCCTGGGGGCCTTGCTATTAGATTTGTATTTGGTAAGTGTTGTAGGAGTTTTAAGGTTTTTTAGCTCTATATTTAAAAAAACAAGGATCTTGTGAGATGTTTCATTATTTTGTTATTCTGACATTGCATTGCACAGGAGCACCTTTGCACAGCTGTTTGAATTTTTTATATGAAAAAAGAATAAGAATGGAATCTAAAGGGTTTCTTTAGAAGCAGAACAAGTATTTTATTTTTAATAACAGAGGAAATGATGCCCAATTCTGAGTGCTCATCCTGGCTTTAAGGTTAGCAGCCACACCCTCACAAAAAGCTATGAAAGGATTTTGTTAGCAAGATTCAAGGTGAATTCCTGCCTTGTATTCCTGGGCTGCCTCTTCCTTGAGAACCAAAATTTTAAAAGATGATGCTGTTAAGGTGCTACACTCAATATGCCAGCATCTTTGGAAAACTCAGCAGTGGCCAGAGGATTGGAGAAGGTCAGTCTACACCCCAATCCCAAAGAAGGGCATTGACAAAGAATGTTCCAACTACCGCACAATTGCGCTCATTTCACATGCTAGCAAGGTTATGCTTAAAATTCTACAATGCAGGCTTAAGCAGTATGTGGACTGAGAACTCCCAGAAGTGAGGGGGCCAACTAGGGGCGCATTGGAAGATGGCCGACAATACCATCTCTCTGGACCACACGGGGTAATTAAGAGGCTGTTATGGGAGTAGGCAGCCTCCCTTGTTGCCCCAAGGGAATGGGGAACACTGCCCTTGCCTGCTGTGCCCATAAATCACCCCCAAATTCGAAAGAAGGGGGTGAGGGCAGTAGGCAGAATGCCCCTGTGTGGACTTCGGCTCTCCTGGATGCTGTCTCTGATCGCGCACTAGCTGCAGCAATTTGGAATAATTAATTACAAAAGAAGCAAATGCACATATTTCAAGTGAAGAAGGGGAGTGAAGACTGCTAATTGCGAAAGAAGACGACGGGTTGGAGCAACAGGAATATTTTGCGATGAAGATACATCAAAGGCTGGGTATGTTGGCAACAGGACTGAATGGGGGGGGGGAACCTTTTTTACTTTTCTTCTATGTGATTACCAAGAACCCCTCCTCATTAGAACCGTCAGTTTAACTGACCCAAGCAGGATGATTAAGGTCTGTGTGGAAATAAACTTTAACCAAAAGTATGCTTTATGGAGATCGAGAAGGAAGAAGAGCTTTTGGAATGGCGCAGCAATTAATTCAGAATCGCCATCTTGCCAAAGGATTTACAGCCGGGAGGAGGAACGGATTTGTTTTCAGACTGCATTCCTATTGAATCTCCTCACGAGGTTTGAGAAAGGCGACAGATTTGTGAAGATTAATGACGCTAAGACTGTTTTGATTTATGGAAATGATGTTATATGGAAAACGTCTGGATATGGCTACTGGATAAAAAAAATATTCACACAGGATTACAAACTGTTTTAACCAGCTTGTGGAGACTATCAGAGGTCACAAAGAGAAAGGAAAAATATAGGAAAATAACAACAAGAGATGTGGAAAAACAATAAGAAAGGACTGGATAGTACTGTGATCATCATATGGTCAGATTTGTGGACATTAAAACAGCAGCAAGAAGTAAGAAGTTGATTGGATCCCCTTCGGAACTTGAAATATGGGTACCCCCAACAAAAATTTAAAATTCGGCTGTGTAATTTGGAATTTATGTAATTTGGTTTGATTTGATGTGATTGGTCGGTTAATAAAAATTATTCTTAAAAAAAAAAAAGGGAACTCCCAGAAGTGCAAGCTGGATTTCGAAGGGGCAGAGGAACCAGAGACCAAATTGCAAACATGTGCTGGATTATGGAGAAAGCTAGAGAGTTCCTGAAAAATATCTACTTCTGCTTCATTGTCTACGCAAAAGCATTTGACTGTGTCGACCACAGCAAACTATGGCAAGTTCTTAAAGAAATGGGAGTGCTTGATCACCTCATCTGTCTCCTGTGTGTTACAGAAAAATCTAGGTGTGAGGCTGCTCAGTCACCCAGCCCGTCGGGCGGAGCCCGCAGGTCCCTTGCGGAATAAAGGAAGGAGTCCAGCCATCAACTGGAGCAAATAGCTGTAGACCAAAATTTATTGTGCAACAGGTTCAAAGAGGAATTTTGAACCCTGAGGATGTCAGTTTCTGTTTGCCAATGAGCAGCTGCTTAGAGTCACAAGGCTCTGTTTACATTCCAGAGGCAGTCCAGGCTATTGGAAGTCTCCCGGGAGACTAGAGATGGATGTGACGTACTGGTTTTCTGTTTCCTTTGTTCGGTTGCTCTTTGCTCTCACAGGGAGAGGATGCATTTTTCTTTGCTCTCTGTGTAGCTTAGTAATAAAGCATAGCATGTAGCCATAAATCTCATCACTTCTGCTGCTTTGATTCTCTGCTGAATGGAATGTGCCGGAGGCCTCATCAAAGGCTCAGGTCGTTAATTTTTCGTTGGGAGGGCGATTCCGGAAGATGAGCTTTATCAGCTTGGCGCAACAGAGATTCCGACATTTTTGGTCCTGGGCCCAGAAGAACGGAATGCAGCTTAACTTCTCTGCGTGTCAAGAAGACTGATGAGAGGTATGTGCTCATTGCCCGAGAAGCCTGCCAGTCCCTAATTATTGGCAATAAGGGTGGACTTTGAACTTCTAGCCAAAGCACTTAATGGCAGCGGCAGGAGAAAGCAAAGGCCTCAAGTAGTGTGTTTTTGGAATGCAGCTGGTAAAAAGATGCAGCTTGCTTTAAAGGCACAGACATGGCCAGTCTGTGTTTGTGCAAGAAACCATACATCAAGCACAGGAGAATTTTTGGTTCTGACATGTGGGTTCACACACCACAATGCTCCAAGTTAGGCAAACGTAGTTTGCATGGTATCATTCTAGAATATCAGAAAGGTTCTTATAGAGTAATGAAGACTGACACCAACACAGTTAGGCTCACTAGAAGTGTTGAGTACAATGCCAAGTTGGGGGGGGGGGAGAATGTGGGAATTTTGCAATGTTATCCTGATGACAGTGAAGAGACTGAGGATGAACAGCAGCAAAACCCCACACCCACTGATTAAGTTTCTGATTCTGAATCTGAATCTGACTCAGATGGGTTCAGAGGATTTCAAGAGCGCTAAGGCCTCTCTGCGACCCTCTGAAGGCTCTGATCGAGAATTGGAGGAACCACTGTTTACTATAGGCCACTTTTCTCCTAAGAAAGGAGAGCGTTGAAGACTTACGTCTAATTCACAGGTCTGAAAGAGCCACAAAAGGTAGACCTCCAAAGATATTTGCTGATGAATTTGCTAAGGCAGCAAAAGCTGTAACTGCTGTTAATAGCTCTAGGAAGGTATTTGAACCTTCAAGCTTCCAAGAGCTTTGGACTCGAAGGATGCTGAACCATGGTTAACTGCCATGAAGGCTGAGCTTGATTCCTTGGAGAGGAACAAAACATGGGAGCTAGTTCCGACAGTTCCAGGGATGAAACTGCTTGACAGTAAATGGGTCTTCAAAGCAAAGACAGATCAAAATGGCAAGATAGACACAAAGCCAGATTGGTAGCCAGAGGTTTTTCACAGGTACCAGGAGAAGACTATCACGAGACCTACTCACCCACCGTGAGATATGAGAGCATTAGGCTTATGCTCAAGCTTGCTGCAGAAGAGAATCGACACGTTTCTCATCACGATGTGAATACAACATTTTTGTACGTAACCTTAGGTGAATCACTTTATATGCTTCCACCTGATGGCGTAGAGGTAAAACAGGGATTTGTTTGTTCTCTGAAGAAGTCCCTATGTGGTCTCAAGTAAAGTGCACGATGGTGGCACTCTAAACTCACTGAAGTGTTGTTTTCCCTAGGTTTTCAGCAAAGTAAAGCCGATCCATGTGTATTTGTCAAAGATACACTGTATTGCTTGTTTTATGTTGATGATATTCTTTTCTTTTGGAAGGATGTCAAAATGTCCAAGAGCGCCCTAGCTCAACTGAAGGAGCACTTTGACATGAAAGATCTTGGTGAGATAACCAACTACCTATCTCTGGAAATAGAGAAAGACCAAGGTGGTAATATTTTAGTACACCAGTCACAGAAAATTGCTGATGTGTTAACCAAACTAAACCTGATGGATGCTAACCCTGTAGACACACCAATGACAACAGGTTATCAGGTAGATGATACTGAAGAAGCATTTTCTGACACGACACTGTACAGAAGTGTGTTAGGCAAACTAAACTTCATTGCCAGATGTTCAAGACCTGACATTGCAGTTAGCTGTAACTTGCTAAGCAGACAAGTCAACAATCCTACTGTTAAGGACTGAAAAGCTCTGAAATGCATAGAACGCTATTTGAAAGGCTCTCTGCTCTCACAAGGAGAGGATGTAGCTTAGTAATAAAGCATAGCATGTAGCCATAAATCTCATCACTTCTGCTGCTTTGATTCTCTGCTGAATGGAATGTGCCTGAGGCCTCATCAAAGGCTCAGGTCGTTAATTATTCGTTGGGAGGGCGATTCTGGAAGATGAGCTTTATCAGCTCGGTTGTAACCTAGATTCTGACAGAGGAAGGGGTGAAAAAGACTTTTAAAACTTTCCCACCATATCCCAGAATACAGTTTGTAGAGCATCATTGCTATATCATTGTTACATCACTGACATGTCACAAAAGGGGTGGGGTAGACGGGTTACACTAGTTTAACCTTAGCAAACATGTCCAGACAAGTCCTTGGTACAAGATTAGCATAAGCAGACATGTCAGGCAAGACTCAGGTATAAGGTTAGCATAGACAAACACCTCTGACGTCCCATCACCCAAAGTACAATAGAACTTCCTTTGATGTCTGGCCCCTTGGCAAGTTTGGTGATGGGATAAGCTTTCCTTGGCCCAGCTCAGCAATTATCACCCCTAGACACTTCCTGGAGTCCTTTTTCAAGGGGAAAAATAGGTTTGGAATGGAGGAAACTGGCAAAGGAGTTGATTTTATATTGTTTTTAAAGCTAGGTAACTTCCCTGAGCTGTTAAGTTGAAAGGATACATTCAGGCATAATATTTGTAACATTTAACAACTTTAAAGATGTGCCCCCTGTCAGCTTCGCCTTTGAGCCAGTGCCACCGACTGGGCTCAACCACTTCAGCCCCAACTGGGCCAGGCGAGCTGGGATACCACTTTCAGAGACCTCCTTCTGCAGGAACAGGTCTAAGTGCTGTGGACAACACAACTCAGAGCTGTGAGCACCAAACACACTTCCAGAAGTCAGCAGAGTACAACAGTGCACAGCAGAGCATAAATCACTCGGATGACAGTGCTGAAGAATAATTTCCTTTATTCTCTACAGCTATTGTACTATACAAACTATATACAAGGCTTTATGGAGACGCTGGACTGCACTGAGTGTTACAGCTGCTTTTTGCAGTGACCTTATCTACACAGAGATAACACTCAGTCTCCCCCTTTGAAGTGAGGCTGGAGCGGAATAAGTAGCGAGCACAATCTGCCCCCCCTCCTCTCTGGAACATCAGCAGATTCTTGCAATGGGAGGGGTGAAATATCCTCACCCCCCCCAAATTTCCATAACATGAGAAATATCTATGTGGGACAAGAAGCTACAGTTAGGACTGGAAATGGAACAACTGATTGGTTCAAAATTGGGAAAGGAATGCGGCAAGGCTGTATACTGTCTCCCTGCTTATTTAACTTATATGCGGAATTCAACATGAGAAAGGCTGGAGTGGATGAATCCCAAACTGGAATTAAGATTGCCGGAAGAAATATCAACAACCTCAGATATGAGGATGACACAACCTTGATGGCAGAAAGTGAGGAGCAATTAAATAACCTTTCAATGAGGGTTAAAGAGGAGAGCGCAAAATATGGTCTAAAGCTCAACATCAAAAAAACGAAGATCATGGCCACTGGTCCCATCACCTCCTGGCAAATAGAAGAGGAAGAAATGGAGGCAGTGAGAGATTTTACTTTCTGGGGCTCCATGATCACTGCAGATGGTGACAGCAGTCACAAAATTAAAAGACTCCTGTTTCTTGGGAGAAAAGCAAGGACAAACCTAGACAGCATCCTAAAAAGCAAAGACATCACCTTGCCAACAAAGGTCCGTATAGTTAAAGCTATGGTTTTCCCAGTAGTGATGTCTGTAACCAGATGTCAAAGAGAACAACAACTACCAGACTTTTAGAAGACATCTGAAGGCAGCCCTGTTTAGGGAAGCTTTTAATGTTTGATGTATCATTGTATTTTAATATTCTTTTGGAAGCCGCCCAGAGTGGCTGGGGAAACCCAGCCAGATGGGCGGGGTATAAATAATAAATTATTATTATTATTATTATTATAAGTGAGAGCTGGACCATAAAGAAGGCTGATCGCCGAAGAATTGATACTTTTGAATTATGGTGCTGGAGGAGACTCTTTAGAGTCCCATGGACTGCAAAAAGATCAAACCTATCCATTTTGAAGGAAATCAGCCCTGAGTGCTCACTGGAAGGACAGATCGTGAAGCGGAGGATCCAATACTTTGGCCACCTCATGAGAAGAGAAGACTCCCTGGAAAAGACCCTATTCATTCTTAGGGAAATCAGCCCTGAGTGCTCACTGGAAGGACAGATCCTGAAGCTGAGGCTCCAATACTTTGGCCACCTGATGAGAAGAGAAGACTCCCTGGAAAAGACCCTGATGTTGGGAAAGAAGGAGGGCACAAGGAGAAGGGGATGACAGAGGACGAGATGGTTAGATAGTGTTCTCAAAGCTACCAGCATGAATTTGACCAAACTGCGGGAGGCAGTGGAAGACAGGAGTCCCTGGCATGCTCTGGTCCATGGGGTCACGAACAGTCAAACACAACTAAATAACTAAACAACAACAAACTTGCCAAATGAACCTTATATTGGCCCGTTTGACAAGACCAGCTGCCATGTTTGAGTTGGGGTTTTTTTGGGAGGGAGGCTTAAGCATCATTTTAGGAGGCAGCAAATGGTCACATTTAAGAACTGTGGAATCGGTTATCTGTCACATGAGAAACAAGGCCTGATTCCCGCCACCGCCCCTTAATCCTTTCTAGCTATTTGCTGATCCATCAACCCTGATGGAGATAAAAATATCCCCAGTTCCCCGAATTCCTGTCAAAACTGTCCCAAGGTGGTGTCAACCATAAATTTTCCCTACTATTTGGAACACATCTGACGAATTGATTCAAATCAACATTCATAAGCATGGAAACGAAAATGCTTCCCTGGTTGTCCACTTCCAGTCTCAGCTCTTGGCAGACTGTTTCTGAACTGGGAGGCATTGGCTGGTTCCTGTCACCTGAGAGCTGGAGGTTTCCAGAGAGAGAGCGCAGAGTGCTCAACCAGATGCTGAGACTTCAGCTAGAGTTCAACAACACAGGTGCTTGCTATATGCAATTTGGAGACAAAGAATCCTTTATTTTCAGTCAGATTCAGAACTATTTCCTGTCTTTTTAACTATGAAATACATTTCTGTTCCACACTCCCCTCATCAAGCACACCACAAGATATATTGCTTTCACGCACACAGAAACCATGCAAGGGAGGTTTTGCATAAAGATGGTGACCAGCTTTAAGTCACCCAATCAGCTTCACGACTGAGGAATTTGAATTGTTCCCGGCATTTGTGACCTCAATCCTTGGACTCCAGCTACCATGAGCCCCAGCCAGCGTGGCCAGCGGCCAAAGAAGACGTGAGTTGCAATTTGACATCATCTGGAGGGGCCACAGGTTACCCAACAGGTCTGTTCAGCGCCTTGACCTCCTCCTGGCGCAGCTGCTCTTGGAACTCCTCGTACTGAATGTGCTTTGTCCTGTAGTGCCTCTGCAGGTTGGCCTTCTTCAGGACAGAGAGGGCCTCACCACAAATGAGGCACGTGGGCATGCCTTCCAGCTCCACAAAGAAATAGTTGTGTGTCCATCTTTTTTGAAAATGCGGCACTCCAAATCTCCAAATCCTCTTCTTGTGGAAACATTGTGTCCAGAAACAGACAATTAGGCAGACGGAGCTGTTCTAATATGGGAGTCCTATGCTGCCTATAGCCAGCCCTGGTCAGTAATGTGTCTGCAGCAATTTGAGCCATTGAAGTCTCTGAGCTCTTTTCAAAGGCAGCCCCAGGTAGAGTGTGTTAAAGTAACTCCTACGCATTGTGGCACCAGATTGCTTTCTTTTTTTGTAATTATCTGTTTGTTTTAAATTCTGTAGCTTAAATTCTCTTGATGCTTGTTTTTTTGAGAAGGGCCTCTTACGGTCACAAAGCAATGATTTTCAGTGCAGCTCCATAACACTGATTGCGCCCTCACACTGCCTCTTTTTGTGTGGGGATTTGGATCCAGAAAAGGAGCAGACGGGGAAAGGTTAAGGAGAATCCCACCCACCCGCTGTGCCACCCTTAGGTGTGCTCAGCCTTCACCTGCTTCATGACTCCACCTTGCATGAGAAAGAAGGAAGGAGCTGCAGAAAACAGGAAGTGGTCCTTCAACCGGCCAGGACATCTCACCATCACAGACAGATCCAGTCTCCTGCTGTGGAGTCAAGAGTGGCCCTGGGATGGCATAGAGAGGAGGGGAAGGGGTCAGGGACAGAAGGGATGGCAGGGCTCCAGATGCTCCCTTGGACCCCTCCCCTGACACAAAGGGGAGCTCCTCTTCTGGGGCTGAAAGCATTGGCGTGGTTTGATTTTGTCAGGATTGCAAGGAAGCATAGAAGGAAAGGTAAAAAACAGCTATGCGGTTTATTAAAGTTAATTAAAGTATCTGTGGTTTTTCCCCTGGGTGAGTTTGTTGGTGTCTTCTAAGTTTCCCACTTTCACTGAAGCACTTTCCACATTCCATACATTTAAATGGTTTCTCCCCGGTGTGAGTTCGTTGGTGTATTCGAAGTGCTCCGCTTTTGCTGAAACTCTTTCCACATTCAATACATCTAAATATTTTCTCCCCTGTATGAGTTCGTTGGTGTATTCTAAGTTTCCTACTTGTACTGAAGCTCTTTCCACATTCAATACATTTAAATGGTTTCTCCCCTGTGTGAGTTTGTTGATGTATTCTAAGGTTTCCATAATGACTGAAGCTCTTTCCACATTCAATACATTTAAATGGTTTCTCCCCCGTGTGAGTTCGTTGGTGTATTCTAAGAGTTCCACTTTTGCTGAAACTCTTTCCACACTCAAAACATTCAAATGGTTTCTCTCCCGTGTGAATTCGTTGATGTATTCTAAGTGATCCACTATCACTGAAGCTCTTTCCACATTCAATACATTTAAATGGTTTCTCCCCCGTGTGAGTTCGTTGGTGTATTCTAAGAGTTCCACTTTTGCTGAAACTCTTTCCACACTCAAAACATTCAAATGGTTTCTCTCCCGTGTGAGTTCGTTGATGTCTTCTAAGTGTTCCACTACGACTGAAACTTTTTCCACATTCAATACATTTAAATGGTTTCTCTCCCGTGTGAGTTCGTTGGTGTATTCTAAGTGTTCCACTTTCAATGAAGCTCTTTCTACATACAGTACATTTAAATGGTTTCTCCCCCGTGTGAGTTCGTTGGTGTATTCTAAGTGCACCACTTTGACTGAAGCTCCTACCGCACTCCATACATTCAAATGGTTTCTCCCCTGTGTGAGTTCGTTGATGTCTTCTAAGTGTTTCACTACGACTGAAGCTCTTTTCACATACAGTACATTTAAATGGTTTCTCCCCCGTGTGAGTTCGTTGGTGTCTTCTAAGTGTTCGACTTTCATTGAAGCTCTTTCCACATTCAAAACATTCAAATAGTTTCTCCCCCGTATGAGTTCGTTGATGTATTCTAAGTGCTCCACTTTCACTGTAGCTCTTTCCACATTCAATACATTTAAATGGTTTCTCCCCTGTATGAGTTCGTTGATGTATTCTAAGTGCTCCATTATCACTGAAGCTCTTTCCACATTCAATACATTTAAATGGTTTCTCCCCTGTGTGAGTTCGTTGGTGTACAATAAGTGTTCCACTTTTGCTGAAACTCTTTCCACATTCAAAACATTCAAATCGTTTCTCCCCCGTATGAGTTCGTTGATGTAGTCTAAGTTTTCCACTTTTCACATTCTTTCCACATTCCGTAAATTCAAATAGTTTCTCTCCTTTTTGAGTTTGTTGTTGTATCCTCAATTTCTTTGTTCTTTCGCACAAATTCACATGTGGCTCCATAGAATTCTGACTTTCATCTTCCTCACCTGTTTGGGAGTCTGGGAGGAAAGAGAATCCTGTTAGACTTTCAAGAAAGACAAAAAGGGGACTGAACACATGTCAATCCCAATCTGCACCTTCTCTCATTGTAACACCTTCATTCTCCACTATCCTCTCTAGGTTCCAAATTTTACGAAAGCTGATGAGATAGTGGCAAGAGCAACACATGATCACTCCATTCAAACTTAATAGAGCAGCATCATTTTATAATACAGATCTATGGTGGAATTGGCTTATTAGACACATCTATTGGACAGGAAAATTGGCTTCCAGGTGGAAAAATCAAAATTAGAAACAGAACTGTTAGAACCCAATACTAAGAACTTGTCAAGAATGTATAACTTGCTGTTGAAATGGAATACACAAGATGAAACAGTGAAATCAGCTATGATAAAGTGGGCACAAGATATTGGTCATAACATTATGTTTGCTGACTGGGAACAGTTGTGGACCACCGGTATGAAATTTACGGCATGTAATGCCTTAAAGGAAAATATTATGAAAATGATTTATAGGTGGTACATGACTCCAGTCAAGCTTGCAAAAATTTACCACTTGTCTGATAATAAATGTTGGAAATGTAAAGAAACTGAAGGTACTTTTTTTCACCTTTGGTGGACATGCCGAAAGATTAAGGCTTTCTGGGAAATGATATATAATGAAATGGAAAAGGTATTTAAATATACCTTCCTTAAGAAACCAGAGGCCTTTCTCCTGGGCATTGTCGGCCAATTGGTGTGAAAGAAAGACAGAACATTCTTTATGTATGCTACAACAGCAGCAAGAATACTCATCGCAAAGTATTGGAAGACACAAGATCTACCCACCTTGGAAGAATGGCAGATGAAGGTGATAGACTATATGGGACTGGCAAAAATGACTGGCAGAATCCGAGACCAGGGAAAAGAGACGGCGGAAGAAGATTGGAAGAAATTTAAGAACTATCTTAAGAAACATTGCAAAATTAATGAGTGTTAAAATGATGCGGCTTTAGAAAGTAAGTGGATTACAGCTGTAAAGATTAAGTTAAAAGAAAAGAAAGGTTAACAATTAGATAAAATTAAGGGTGAGGATTTGCTGAACTAAATATTTGAAATTGGAATGCAGAAAGGGGAGGTATGAGGAGGTCGGTGAAGTAGGTTTTAAGAAAATAAGGATTTGAAATTATACTTGTTTTTTCTTGTTTGTGTTGTTGTGTTTGTTTATATAATTTGTGAAACCTTAATAAATATCTTATAAAAAAAAATATTAGACACATCTATTTTTTCTTTCTGAAGTGAAGAAATGATCTCAGGCTCAAGTAACAGTGTCTCCCATGTGAAATAAGTAAAACTTAAGTGCTACATGTAACTGTAAAAATATTGCAATATATTGGAACCTAAGAAGAGCCTGCTGGATCAGGCAAAGGCCCACCTAGTCCAGCATCCTCTTCTCACAGAGGCCAACCAGATGCCGGTGGGAAACCGGCAAGCAGGATTGGAGCACAAGAGTCTTCTCTGCCATCGTGTGCTTTCCAGAAACTAGTATTAAGAAGCGTTATTGCCTAGAACCACAAAGGCAGAGCAGAGACGTCAGTCTTATCCTTTTTTTCAAGCTATCCATATTGCTGGCTGTCACTGTCTCCTTTAGGATGGATTCCATAGATGAACTATGCTTCTGTTTATTCATCTTTTGCAGCCCTTAAAAGCTGATAAATGTATTATGGCTTAAGCTTTTGTGGGCTGCAGTCTCACAAAGTGGACTCTTGACCAGGAAAGCTGGTGCCACTATAAACCTCTGAGTCTCTTTGTTGGCTTTGTGTACTTATTTTGAAATTTGCACCAAGGTTGTACCACAGTAGCTCCATGGAAGCTTAGGGACAGACAAAATTACAGGGTGTCAGCTCTGTGAATCTCAAGCCTCTCGTGCCTCCGCTGACAGAGCCTGAGAATGCAAGAGATGTGATTCGGTTGGAATGTGAAACAGGGAAGCAGCAGCCAAGCTGCAGCAGGAGCAAAGAACAAAGAGAAGGAAGAGGGGGTGCCGGCGGGGGCGGGGCACAGACTGTTAGCTCCAGTTTGAGCTCTGACAAAGAGACCCCGGAAATAGCCTGTCCAAAAAATCGTAGGCTCGAGAGAATCTGCGAGAAGGGGGGGGGGAGCGAAAGTGGGGTGGGGGCTTCTTTGCCGGAGGACTCGGCAACTGCAAGCTGGGATGAACAGGCCAAAGACTGAGCTCCACAGTGATTTATGAGTTTGAGCAATAAATCTGAGATAATTACTACTGGAGTTGTCTTGCGTGTGTGCGGGAGAACCAAGCCATTACACAGGGGTGCTATAAATTATTAGCCCACTCACTCACTCTCACAAACAACCCCAGTCTGTAAGATTGGCAAGTTTACACAATTTGCTTATAATACCAGACGCTCTTGGACTTTATATGCCCAATCCTATGTGTACAGCCTCCAGTCACAGGAATCGTGTATCATGATAACGGTACCTTTGTCCCTTAAGCCCACCAAACTGGGGAGGTGCATGCATTTATTGTGTTTTGATGCTGGTGGAATGTATCATTCTGACCCTGTCTATAAAAAATAAGAGTAATAGAAACAATTTAAATAAATTATAAATAATTATGGGAAGCATTTCCATTCCCCTTCACCCATTTTTCAGGATTGGTGTGCAACATCATTATCATCCATTATTCCTGCCGTGGAAATAACACCTAAGATTTCAAAGCCTGGAGGAAGAAAATCTGCCCCCACTACTTTAGGAAAAGGATTCAAGAAACAAAGAGCTGCTTTGCAGAAGGCCTCACCCCTTCCTTCTTCCTGTCAGAAACTTCCTTCCATTTGTCTCCTCTCCATCTTTTCCGCTTTCTCCCTCCACCATCCATCTATCCCTGTCCCCATCTCCTCTCCCCTGGAACTCACCAGATTTCTCCAAGGGTCCTGGGAGGGAATGCTCAGAGGTTGTGGGGAGGGATGCGGGAGACAGCCTGACCAGGTCACCCATCCATCTTCCTCCTTCCATCCTGGCCAGGGTTGCAGATTCAGTCTCAGCTAGGTTTGCAGGTTCAGCTTCCTGAGGAGCGCAGAAGACAGAGCAAGTTGAAGCTTCCTGGGAGGGAGGGAAGAAGAAGCCAAGGGAGTCTGAGAGCCCCTGCAGGGATTCTCCTGCCCAAGACATTCCGCTGCCCCTGAAGAAGCCCCAATTGGGCACCCTCTTCCCAAAAGCCTCCACCCATTTTCAAACACTTTTGGCAATTCCTTTCACCTGCCTCATCCCGCCTCCCTTCCTAAGGCTGGCATGGTATGCACATTAGTGGCCTGAGAGTAGACCCCATAGAACTTAAGAGTTAATCTGCAAAGGACTGCTCTGAATACATGGGTGGCCCTTGCATGGAGAAGAAGGAAGCCCCTTGCTTGCATCAGGACCCCCTGGGAGAGGCGGTGGATCCGCCCACTGCTCCCTCTGCCCTCGCTGCCTCCTCCTCTGTCCTCCTGTCCTGCAAACACCCTTTGCTCTTGTTCCTCAGGGGAGAGAGGCAGAAAGAGCCTTCAAACCCATCCCTTTCCTCCTCTGCAGCCCAGTGAGAGGGGAAGGAGCTGCAGCGCCTGGTTCATTGCAGATACACACATGGTAAACACTGGGATTGTGAATGAACACGTCCTCCGCCTTCCATGCGGTGGGAGTGGGGGGGTTAAAAGCGGTGAGGAGACCCCCCTCCAGTCCTTTTGGAAAACAGGAGTTTTGGTCAGGAGTAAACAACCTATATGGCAAGTTCACAAGATAAGCACTTTGGAGCACTGCTTGCTCATACTGTGGGTGTTCTGTGTGTGTTTGAACCTAGAGGACAACATACACGTTTACACCACGTGATTCCTTAAAGAGGGCACTTCTTTAAAACCTATTTTTACTGCTATTCTTTCCAATTCTATACTGCCCTTCATCCAAAGATCACAGGGCAGCTTACAATAGAAAAACACAGAGATGCATAGCAGAGTAGGAAATAAAAACGACAAGCCCCCCCCCCCCAATGCAGTTGTGAAGTCCATAGATTGTTTAATGAGCCAAACCCCTGGGAGAAGAGCAATGCTTTCACTTGGTGCCTAAGGAAGGAAGGAAGCCGGACACCGAGGCTGGGGTATAAATATTAAAATTAAAATTAATACTATTATTAAGGCGATCCTGACCAGCAATGCCCACCCCCTCCCCTCTCCCCCCTCCATCCGTGCAACTCCCTTTGCGCCAGATCCCTGCAGGAGGAAGCTTCTCCCCCCCCCCCCTTCAAGGCCCCTTTAAGAAAAGAGCTCCCTTTCCTCCCTTCTCTCCTCCCCGTCCCGGGGCTTCTCATCCTGGACCCCCTCGCAAAGCCCCTTCCCTCCTTCCCCGCCATTGGCTTTGCACTCACCCAAAATCCTGGGCAACGGGGGCGGCAATGGGAGCCCCCGCGTGGGAGGCAGGGAGTGAGGGCGCTTAATTGGGAGGCTTGATTAGGAAGCAGCCCCCTCCTTCGCCTCCGCACGACGCAGCCCCGCTTCCCGCCTCCTTCCCTCCCTCCATCCTTTGCAAGCCCCAATTTTATCTCTGCTGGTGAAGCCGGAAGTGGAGGCAACTCTGAGGAGGAAGCAGAAGTTTGTCTCCACGCTCAGCCTCTTGTCTGTTATTTGATAATTGGGGGAAGGAAAACCTTGTAGCACCCAACCAATGGAGATAAGAGGGAGGGAACGTGTGCATGGGGAATATAAGCTCATTCTTTGCCCCAACTGGACTGTGCCTGCTTTGGCTCCCAGCTCTTGCAAGAATATATTGTCGTCACTGCTTCACCAGTTTTGTTCAGATTGCATTATAAGGAGCAAGTTCAGGGGTCTTGTTATAGGAAAATCCTTGGGCTCACCTAGATTACCAAACAAAGACGCCAGCCAGGAATATAGGAGCAAACAGCAGCCAGGAGGCCTGATCTTTATTTTTAAAAAGCTATTGCAACAGGACTTCCACCCACCACCAGGAAGGAAGGCCAGAACAAAGGATGACTCCCACTTTGATCAGTTTTACAGAGATACCTACAACATCCCTAAAATTACATCATGGATACATTACAAATTACATACAAATTGGGAGGGTCTGGCGACAGAAACCTGAGCATCAGGGCCTCCCCCACGCTTCAGCTGACCTCCACCATACACTCATCAAGTGATGCAAAAGAGATATTTACATGTCCCTGTTTCCCAGCCCAAGTTAATCACACCCTTTTGTCTTGATCTGGGTTTGCTATTGTTTCTGGAATGGCTTAGCTGTCCCGCACTCAGGTATCAGGATGCCAGAGATTATATCACTCAGGCAAAGGGGCTGCTGAGTACATGGGCTCACACTTTAGGGATTATGGCTGCCCTCACTCATGTCCCAAGCTCCTCCCTTGGCAGCCATTTCCTTCCTGAACAGAAGAACGTTGGAATGGTGTAAATCCGACACTCAAGTGATTCTATATGAATTTCTGAAGTTTTCCCAGTGAGCCAGTACATAGATACAGTGGTACCTCGGGTTACATACGCTTCAGGTTACATACACTTCAGGTTACAGACTCCGCTAACCCAGAAATAGTACCTCGGGTTAAGAACTTGGCTTCAGGGTGAGAACAGAAATTGTGCTCTTTCCGCAGGGCCTGCAAGACAGAGCTGTTCCATCAGGCCTTTGGTCAGGGCACAGTCTGACCCCCTTCTCTGGCAATCTGCGCAGAATCTTGCTTAATGGTTGCCATCAATTTGATTTTAATTAATTTTATAATGAATGTTTTTAGAATGTTGGATTATTTTGATTGTTGTTAGCCGCCCTGAGCCCAGCTTCGGCTGGGGAGGGCGGGATATAAATAAAATTTTTTATTATTATTATTCTCTCCTCCAGATGTAATAGATTCCCTCAGCATCTTGCCCCACCTTCCAGAAGGCAAATATATAATAATAATAATATTTTATTTATGCCCCGCCCTCCCCGGGAGGCTAACACCAGCAAGATTACAATAAAAACATAATAGGGGAAAAAACCCAATTCAAAATACAAGCTGAAATACAATTTAAAATGCTGCCTCATTTTAAAAGTACCGTATTTTTCGCTCTATAGGACGCACTTTTTCCCCTTCAAAAATGAAGGGGAAATGTGTGTGCGTCCTATGGAGCGAAGACGCCATAGCCCTGCGACCCTCTCCCGGCTGGAGAGGTGACGCGCGCCTATGGCAGGAGCCTCCATAGCTGAGCGTCACCTCTCCAGCCGGGAGAGCGCGCGCGGGGCTAAAGCAGCCCCCCGCGACCCTCTCCCGGCTGGAGAGGTGACACGCGCCTATGGCAGGAGCCTCCATAGGCGCGCGGGGCTAAAGAAGCCATAGCCCCGCGACCCTCTCCCAGCTGGAGAAGTGACGCGTGACTATGGCAGCAGCCTCTCTGCTGTGCCTTTCCGCTGCTCCCTGACCTGCTCTTTGTGGCTGGTGGTGGGCTTCCCCCCACCAGCCCCAAAGAGCAGGTCGAAAGGAACCTGAAGCCTGGAGAGCGAGAGGGTCGGTGCGCACCGACCCCTCTCGCTCTCCAGGCTTCCAAGGTAGCCGCCTGAACGCACCTTAAACGGCACCTTGTTTTAGAGTGGGAAAACAAGAGGGGGAAAATTCTCCCACTCTCTGCGCAGCGCCTCCTGCCGCTTCACTGAAGGGGCGCTGGACAGAGAGCGGAAGAATTTTTTCCCCTTGTTCTCCCCCCTCTAAAACAAGGTGCGTCCTATTGTCCGGTGCGTCCTATGGTGCGAAAAATACGGTAGCCCATAGATCAAAACCATAAGGGGAGAGAAACATAAGGGTCAGACTGAGTCCAAACCAAAGGCCAGGCGGAACAGCTCTGTCTTGCAGGCCCTGCAGAAAGATGCCAATAATCATCATCATCATCATAATTTATTATTTATACCCCACCCATCTGGCTGGGCTTCCCCAGCCACTCTGGGCGGCTTCCAACAAAATATTAAAACACCGTAATACATCAAACATTAAAAGCTTCCCTAAACAGGGCTGCCTTCAGATGTCTTCTAAAAGTCTGGTAGTTGTTGCTCTCTTTGACAGCTGGTGGGATGGCGTTCCACAGGGAAGGCGCCACTACCGAGAAGGCCCTCTGTCTGGTTCACTGTAAGCTTGGCTTCTCGCAGTGAGGGAACCGCCAGAAGGCCCTCAGCGCTGGAAATCAGTGTCCGGGTAGAACGATGGGGGTGAAGACGCTTTTTCAGGGCCCTGGTCCCTTGTGACAGAGCGTTCCACCAAGTCAGGGCCAATACGGAAAAGGCCCTGGCCCTAGTTCAGACCAATCTAACCACCTTGTGACTTGGGACCTCCAAAGTGTTGTCATTTGTGGACCTTAAAGTCCTCCGTGGGGCATACCAGGAGAGGCGGTCCCGTAGTTACGTGGGTCCTAGGCCGCATAGGGCTTTACAGGTCAAAACCAGCACCTTAAACCTGACCCTGTACTCCACCAGGAGCCAGTGCTGTTGGTAAAGCACTGGATGAAACCGAAAAACAGTTTCTATCCAAATGCGATTTTGGTTTTAAACGCAATGTAAGGTAGTCTCTAGGTGAGTATATTGTATTTAATTATGGGAATCAGTGTTTCTAGGGGGTTAACCAGGCTGGGATAGCAGGCTTGTTGGTTTTTGAATGTCTGATGCAGATTTTTTCAATTTGGTTGTTCTGTATGGGACAATGACAATAAAGATTATCGTATTGTATTGTATTGATGAATGTGATCCCATGGCAAGGACCCCATAAGGAGCCTCGCCATGGCATTCTGCACCTGCTGGAATTTCTGGGTCTGATTGTTTGTTTAGGACATCATTATATTGTAGGAAATACCACCTTGTGTCTTTGAAGGGTAGACTCTTTTCATCAGCAGTGATAAATATGACATTAATTGATTAATGAGCAACAGCTTCAATGCTGTCACATTAACTTTGTCTGAGGTTTCAGACATATCCATTTCGTTCAAGAAAGATGCAGAAAATACTTTTCCTTTTCGATTCTGGGCACTTGACTTCTCCCATCCTGCTACCATCATGGCAGACATTTGGGGGTGAGATTCAGGGCCCCCTCAGCAGCAGCAGCAACAGATGGAGCCCCCACAAACATTTGTCACATTTTGAAGGTTTTTTTTAATTAACAACAAACAAAAGGCTTTTCCTTAGCCTCTCATAGCCCTGACGTTAGCTCTTGAAAAAGAGAGGGTTGCCAAACATCATGGCCCCCAAGAATGAAAACAAACACTTCCAAATTCTTTTTTGCACACCCAGAGACAGGGGTCAGCAACCTTTTAAAGTCTTCTAAGGCGTCCATTTTTACTGAAGATCATTCCACACCCCATACATTTAAATGGCTTCTCCCCTGTGTGAGTTCGTTGATGTATTCTAAGTTTCCCACCTTCACTGAAGCTTTTTCCACATTCAATACATTTAAATGGTTTCTCCCCTGTGTGAGTTCGTTGATGTATTCTAAGATATCCACTTTGACTGAAGCTCTTTCCACAATCCACACATTCAGATGGTTTCTCCCCCGTGTGAGTTCGTTGATGTATTCTAAGATATCCACTTTCACTGAAGCTCTTTCTACATTCAATACATTTAAAGGGTTTCTCCCCCGTGTGGGTTCGTTGATGTATTCTAAGTGTTCCATTCCTACTGAAGCTTTTTCCACATTCAGTACATTCAAATGGTTTTTCCTCTGTGTGAGTTCGCTGATGTATTCTAAGGTGTCCATATTGACTGAAGCTCTTTCTACATTCAGTACATTTAAATTGTTTATCTGTATGTATTCGTTGATGTATTCTAAGTGTTTCATTCCTACTGAAGCTCTTTCCACATTCAGTACATTCAAATGGCTTCTCCCCCATATGAGTTCGTTGATGTATTCTAAGATATCCACTTTCACTGAAGCTCTTTCCACATTCAATACATTCAAATGGTTTCTCCCCCGTATGAGTTCGTTGATGTATTCTAAGATATCCGCTTCGACTGAAGCTCTTTCCACAATCCACACATTCAAATGGTTTCTCCCCAGTGTGAGTTTGTTGATGTAATCTAAGTGCCCAACTTCGACTGAAGCTCTTATCGCACTCCCTACATTCAAATGGTTTCTCCCCGTGTGAGTTCGTTGGTGTATTCTAAGTGCTTCATCTTTACTGAAGCTCTTTCTACATTCAATACATTTAAATGGCTTCTCCCCCATGTGAATTCGTTGATGTTTTCTATCACTTCGACTGAAGCTCTTTCCACAATCCATGCATTTAAATGGTTTCTCCCCCGTGTGAGTTCGTTCATGTCTTCTAAGTGCCCCACTTCGACTGTAGCTCTTTCCACATTCCATACATTCAAATGGTTTCTCCCTTGTGTGAGTTCGTTGATGTATCCTCAGACTTGCACTGTGATAAAAGCACATCCCACATTCCATACATTTAAACTGTTTCTTTGTTCTTCCCAATGAATTCACAGGTGGCTCCATAGAATTCTGACTTTCATCTTCCTCACCTGTTTGGGAGTCTGTGAGGAAAGAGAATCCTGTTAGACTTTCAAGAAAGACAAAAAGGGAACTGAACACCTGTCAATCCCAATCTGCATCTTCTCTCATTGTAACATCCTCATTCTCCACTGTCCTCTCTAGGTTCCATATTTTTTGAAAAGCAGATGAGATAATGGCAGGAGCAACACATGATTCTCACAGAGGCCAACCAGATGCCTGTGGGAAACCGGCAAGCAGGATTGGAGCACAAGAGTCTTCTCTGCCTTCCTGTGCTTTCCAGAAACTAGTATTAAGAAGCGTTATTGCCTAGGACCGCGAGGGCAGAGCAGAGACGTCAGTCTTATCCTTTTTTTCAAGCTATCCAAGTTGCTGTCCGTCACTGTCTCCTGTAGGATGGATTCCATAGATGAACTATGCTTCTGTTGATTCATCTTTGCAGCCCTTAAAGGCTGATAGATGTATATGGCCTAAGCTTTTGTGGGCTGCAGTCAGACAAAGTGGAATTTTGAGCAGGATACGTGGTGCCACTATAAACTTCTGAGTCTCTTTGTTGGCTTTGTGTACTTATTTTGAAATTTGTACCAAGGTTGTACCATAGTATCTCCATGTAAGCTTAGGGACGGACAAAATTACAGGGTGGTATAAATTATTATCCCACTCACTCTAACACACAATCCCAGTCTGAAAGATTGGCAAGTTTACACAATTTGCTTCTTCTTCTACTATGGCGATCATTAGTAACCGAGTAAATAATACTGACCACTGTTGGTCTTCATATGTCCAATCCTAAGTGTAGAGCCTCCAGCCACAGGAATTGTGTATCATGATAATGGGTCCTTTGTCCCCTAAGCCCACCAAACTGGAGAGGTGCTTACATTTATTGTATTTTGATGCTGGTGGAATGTATCTCTCTGACCCTGTCTACAACAAATAAAATTAACAGAAACAATTTAAATACATTAATTATAAATAATTATGGGAAGCATTTCCATCCCCCTTCACCGATTTTTCAGGATTGGTGTGCAACATCATTATCATCAATTATTTCTGCCGTGGAAATAACACCTAAGATTTCAAAGCCTGGAGGAAGAAAACAGAGTCACCCGTCCATCTTCCTCCTTCCTTTTTTTTTAAAAAAGATATTTATTAAAGGTTTTAAACAATAAATCACCAAACACATAAAATACCATCACCAAGATAAAACAAAGAAAGAAAGAAAGAAAAAGACAAAAAAATTAACACAGAATATATAAAATACAACAAAATCGAGTGTCAAAAAACCATATTTCCATAACCTTTCGGACTTCCTCACATCTCCCTTTCCTGCGTTCCCAATTATAAAATTATAAGCAGCAATTTATCACCTTGTTTCAACTCTTATTTTGTAATTTTCAGATATTATGTCTCCAACTTTAGATATTTTTATCAAATACTTTGATATTTAATTTAGACATAATATTAATCCAAATTTCATCTTTGTTCTTATACATCACTTATTCTCATATTTCTTTCAACTAAATTGCTGATGCCATGTTGTTTTCTGTCCTGCATCTTCTTAACATTCATACAGTTTACAATATTTTTGTAGATAGTCCTTAAACTTTTTCCAGTCCTCTTCCACTGTCTCTTCTCCCAGGTCTCGGATTCTGCCAGTCATTTCTGCCAGTTCCATGTAGTCTATCAGTTGCGTCTGCCATTCTTCCAGAGTGGGCAAATCTTGGGTCTTCCAATGTTTTGCAATGAGTATTCTTGCTGCTGTTGTTGCATACATAAATAAAGTTCGGTCCTTCTTTAGCACCCTCTGGCCAACAATGCCCAAAAGGAAGGCCTCTGGTTTCTTAGGGAAGGTATACTTAAATACCTTTTTTAACTCGTTATAGATCATTTCCCAGAAAGCCTTAACCCTTGGGCAAGTCCACCAGAGGTGAAAGAATGTTCCTTCAGTTCCCTTACATTTCCAACATTTATTATCAGGCAAATGATATATTTTTGCAAGCTTGACTGGGGTCATGTACCACCTATAAATCATTTTCATAATATTTTCTTTCAGGGCATTACATGCCGTGAACCTCACACCGGTGGTCCATAACCTTTCCCAGTCAGCAAACATGATATTATACCCAATGTCCTGTGCCCATTTTATCATAGCTGATTTAACCGTTTCATCTTGAGTGTTCCATTTTAACAGCAAGTTGTACATTTTTGAAAGTACCTTAGTCTTAGGTTCTAACACTCTGTCTCTAGTTTCGATTTTTCCACCTGGAAACCTATTTTTTTGTCCAGATTAAAAACCTCCCTAATCTGAGCATAATGTAACCAGTCTTGCACTTTGTCCTTTAATTTCTCAAAACTCTGCAATCTCCAAGTATCACCATCTTTTTCTAATATTTCCCAATATTTCGACCATCTTCCTCCTTCCATCCTGGCCAGGGTTGCAGGTTCAGTCTCAGCTAGGTTTGCAGGTTCAGCTTCCTGAGGAGTGCAGAATCCAGAGCCAGTTGCAGCTTCCTGGGAGGGAGGGAAGAAGAAGCCAAGGGAGTCTCAGAGCCCCTTCAGGAATTCTCCTGCCCAAGACATTCTGCTGCCCCTGGAGAAGCCCCAATTGGGCATCCCCTTCCCAAGAGCCCCCACGCATTTTCAAACACCTTTGGCAATTCCTTTCACCTGCCTGTCCCACCTCCCTTCCTAAGGCTGGCACGGTATGCACATTAGTGGCCTGAGAGTAGATCCCATAGAACTTAAGAGTTAATTTGCAAAGGACTGCTCTGAATACATGGGTGGCCCTTGCATGGAGAAGAAGGAAGCCCCTTGCTTGCATCAGGACCCCCTGGGAGAGGCGGTGGATCCGCCCACTGCTCCCTCTGCCCTCGCTGCCGCCGCCTCTGTCCTCCTGCCCTGCAAACACCCTTTTCTCTTGTTCCTCAAAGGAGAGAGGCGGCTGAGGGAAAGAGCCTTCAAACCCATCGGTTTCCTCCTCTGCTCCCTCTCCTGTCCTTTTGGGAAACAGGAGCTTTGGTCAGGAGTAAACAACTTAGATGGCAAGTTTGCAAGAGAAGCACTTTAAAGCACTGCTTGTTCCTACTATGTGTGTGTCTGTGTGTGTTTGGACGTAGAGGACGACATACATGTTTACACCACGTGATTACTTAAAGAGGGCAATTCTTTAAAACCGAAGGCCATTTCTACAAAATGGAAGACTTCCAAGGCAGCCTTTTACAAGGAAATTTTTGATGGTTTTTATTTTGTTGGAAGCTACCCAGTTGCCCAGCTGAGGCAACCCAGTCAGATAGGGAGGATGCAAATAATAATAATAATAATAATAATAATAATAATAATAATAATAACAACTGATTCCCAAGCCTGTCCTGGGACACGAGTGGCGCTGTGAGTTAAACCACAGAGCCTAGGACTTGCCGATCAGAAGGCTGGCAGTTCAAATCCCCGCAACGGGGTGAGCTCCCATTGCTTGGTCCCTGCTCCTGCCAACCTAGCAGTTCGAAAGCACGTCAAAGTGCAAGTAGATAAATAGGCACCGCTCCGGCAGGAAGGTAAACGGTATTTCCATGCGCTGCTCTGCTTCGCAAGAAGCGGCTTAGTCATGCTGGCCACATGTCCCGGAAGGTGTACGCCGGCATCCTCGGCCAGTAAAGCGAGAGGAGTGCCACAACCCCAGAGTCGGTCACGACTGGACCTAATGGTCAGGGGTCCCTATACCTTTTTAAGCCTGTCCTGCTAGGCATGCTGATCAGAGACTCTGTGCAAACAACCCCTTTGAATGCAACAGGGCTTCCTATTTTTACTGCTATCAGTGGGATCAGTCAAACCACGAAGCCACTGATCAGCCAGAGTTTCCTGTTTTGACCAAGCACAGTTTGAAGTTAGCTTAATATCCCAGCTTATTCCAAAGCTGGCAGCCGTAGTTTCCTGGTTTGGGCAAAATGGAAAGTTTGTTAGTTATGGCTTCATCACAGTTCCCCATCAGGGCCGGCCCAATCATGAGGTTAGGTGGGACAATTAGGTCAGAAGGCAGATGCAGGGAGATATGGGACCAGCACGTTCCCAGCTCCCCTGTTTGTTAGCCTTGCTGCCAGTGCAGGACCACAGCTGGTAAATTTGTGCAACTACCCATGCAGAGTCCTTTTCTTTTGCCCTTCCTATTTTTACTGCTATCAGTGGGATCAGTCAAACCACGAAGCCACTTATCAACCAGAGTTTCCTGTTTTCACCAAGCACAGATTGAAGTTAGCTTAATATCCCAGCTTATTCCAAAGCTGGCAGCTGTAGTTTCCTGGTTTGGGAAAAATGGAAAGTTTGTTAGTTATGGCTCATAAGAGACTGCCTGGTTTCATCACAGTTCACCCTCAGGGCTGGCCCAATCATGAGGTAAGGTGGGACAATTAGGTCAGGAGGCAGATATGGGACCAGCACATTCCCAGCTCCCCTGTTTGTTAGCCTCACTGCAGGGCAGGACCACAGCTGGTAAATTTGTGCAACTACCCATGCGGAGTCCTTTTCTTTTGCCCTCTCACACTAAAGGTTGGGTGGGAGTCCTTCCTGGAGTGATGCATTCTGGCTGTGGGGGCAAGGAGACTGTGGTGGCGGCTAGAGTTTTTAGTTTTAAACTTGGGTCAACTTAGGCCTTAGCATAACTTTGCTGCAGCAATGCATTACAAACTGTTCCTATTTTTAACCCAGCTTTTCAGGCTGTGATTTAGTCATCTGAACCTGGCCATTATCTTAATAAATCTTGCAACAACCTTGCAAGGTAGGCCAGTGTTATTCTATTTGAACTGCACATGGCAGTGCTGAGGCTGCAAGACGTGCCAAGATTTCTACCCCAGTGGGGAGCAAAAAGAGCATTTTGGAAATGGAGGAAATTTAGAGGAGGAAAAAGGGGGTTGGTGGAAGGACCCCTCTTCTGACGTAGCTTCTGCTCTGATGAAATTCAGTGTCCCCTGCAGCTGTTTAGGTAAAGTACGAACAGAAGGAGATATGATCACAAAACTCCCATGTATAAGAAAGTTTGGTCTAGCAAGCCTTTTAAAAGCGGATTAGAGAGAAAGTGCAGGGAGGAGGAATATTCACCACCAAAGCTAAACAGAACCTCCATGTCTAGAGGCAGTGGACCTGTGACCTCCAGGTCCTGGAAACCCAGGTGAGAGGAGGGCACTTACCTTTCCCAGAAGCCCCTCAGTGTCTGGGAGCAGGGTCTGGTCTGTCCCCCCTGCTCTCCCACTGGGCCACCGACTGGCACCCGCAGCTCCCCTGAAGGAGAGGACACCATCCCCAGAGTGGGGAGAACTGGGAGCCTGTGGGGTTTCCCACCCTGAAGGAGGGGGCTGCATCATCTTCAGGAAATCCTGCTTCTGGGCCTCCCAGTGCTGCTGCGGCTGCCCCTCCTCTGGCTCCTGCTTAATTTGACAAAAATCTGCCCAAGGCAGAAGATCCCTGATGGTCCCAACTTGGCCGGCAGGAGGTTTCCTTCCTTTGCACTCCAGTCTCTCCCTTTGAATGGGTCTCCTGGGTCCCTGCTCTTCCATTTTTATGCCACCCTGCTGGAAAAGAAATAAACACAAAGTAAAATAAAACTCAAGAATAAAAACAAAAGCACATTTTTTAACCATTTGCCAGTTTTTGAAATATATTATTACTCTTTCTATTTCTGATGTTCAGGCTGTGAATAACAATCATTATGTCACCCAAACGGCTCCACCCAGGGACGAGGGGAAGTTATCCAAAGACTGGGGAAAACATCAAGGTTTATGGAAGTACAAATAATATTTGGGGGTGGGGGAACCAAGGCAGTGGAAGGAAATCCAAAAACAACCAAGTGGAAAGACTGAGAATGTTCAGTGGACAGGGAATGCTGATCCTGGCTGCAACTTCTAGCATGTTGGAAAAGAAACAACAGATCTTTGTATATGATTTTGCAAAGTTTTTTGCAGATAAAATCGCTCAGATTCGGGAAGAAGTAGACTCCACCGTGGGAGCAGAGCCAGGGCGGGAGAGTGCTAGAGTCCTGTCTAGTCAAGTTGTGTGGGATCAATTCCAACCTGTTACCTCCGAGGATGTGGACAGGCTGCTTGGACGAGTGAAGCCAACCCCCTGTCTCCTGGATCCTTGCCCATCCTGGCTTATAAAAGATAGCCGGGAAGGACTGGGCGATGGGCTTCGTGGGGTGGTGAATGCTTCCCTCCGTGAGAGAGCCTTCCCAGACCCGTTAAAAGAGGCGGTTATTAAACCGCTTCTTAAAAAGCCATCTTTAGATGCGGCCACGATGGCCAATTATCGCCCAGTCTCAAATCTTCCATTCTTGGGCAAGGTGATTGAGCGAGTGGTTGCTGAACAACTCCAGGCACGCCTGGAAGAAGCGGACCATTTGGATCCCTTCCAGTCGGGATTCAGGCCTCATCATGGGACTGAAACTGCCTTGGTCGCACTGGTTGATGATATCCGGCGGGCTAGGGACAAAGGTGAGAGCTGTTTCCTAGTTCTGCTGGATCTCTCAGCGGTGTTTGATACCATCGACCATAACATCCTTCTGGACCGTCTTGAGGGGCTGGGAGCTGGGGGCACTGTCATACAGTGGTTCCGCTCCTTCCTCCTGGGCCGTGTTCAGAAAGTGGTGGTGGGGATGAGTGTTCAGACCCCTGGGCTCTCACTTGTGGGGTGCCTCAGGGTTCTGTCCTCTCCCCCATGCTTTTCAACATCTACATGCAGCCACTGGGAGAGATCATCAGGAGGTTTGGGGTGGGTGTTCATCAGTATGCGCATGATACCCAGCTCTACCTCTCTTTTAAATCAGAACCAGTGAAGGCGGTGAAGGTCCTGTGTGAGTGTCTGGAGGCGGTTGGAGGATGGATGGCGGCTAACAGATTGAGGTTGAATCCTGACAAGACAGAAGTACTGTTTTGGGGGGACAGGAGGCGGGCAGGTGTGGAGGATTCCCTGGTCCTGAATGAGGTAACTGTGCCCCTGAAGGACCAGGTGCGCAGCCTGGGAGTCATTTTGGACTCACAGCTGTCCATGGAGGCACAGGTCAAATCTGTATCCAGGGCAGCTGTTTACCAGCTCCATCTGGTACGTAGGCTGAGACCCTATCTGCCTGCAGACTGTCTCGCCAGAGTGGTGCATGCTCTGGTTATCTCCCGCTTGGACTACTGGAATGCGCTCTACGTGGGGCTACCTTTGAAGGTGACCCGGAAACTACAACTAATCCAGAATGCGGCAGCTAGACTGGTGACTGGGAGCAGCCACCGAGATCATATAACACCGGTCTTGAAAGACCTACATTGGCTCCCAGTAAGTTTCCAAGCACAATTCAAAGTGTTGGTGCTGACCTTTAAAGCCCTAAACGGCCTCGGTCCAGTATATCTGAAGGAGCGTCTCCACCCCCATCGTTCTGCCCAGACACTGAGGTCCAGCTCCGAGGGCCTTCTGGCGGTTCCCTCACTGCGAGAGGCCAAGTTACAGGGAACCAGGCAGAGGGCCTTCTCGGTAGTGGCGCCCGTCCTGTGGAACGCCCTCCCATCAGATGTCAAAGCGATAAACAACTACCTGACATTCAGAAGACATCTGAAGGCAGCCCTGTTCAGGGAAGTTTTTAATATGTGACATTTTAGTGTATTTTTCATCTTTGTTGGAAGCCGCCCAGAGTGGTTGGGGAAACCCAGCCAGATGGGCGGGGTACAAATAATAAATTAGTACACTTTCATTATTTTACAAAGTTCATATGCAAGGTGTTTGTGTCAGTGTGACATGGATAGGTTCTCTTCCTTTTCATTTATTAGTTTTCATTAGCAGTGAGAAAGATCGGGGGGCCCAGGGCATAGTTGGTTGCCTTCAGTTGACTGCAGTAAAGGTGGTGGAGGCTGAACCATTTTGAGGAAGAGATTGTTGTAATTCTTGGTTTGGTCCTTCAAGTAAAGGTAAAGGTGAAGGGACCCCTGACCATTAGACCCAGTTGTAGACAACTCTGGGGTTGCAGCGCTCATCTCTCTTACTGGCCGAGGGAGCCGGCGTACAGCTTCCGGGTCATGTGGCCAGCATGACTAAGCTACTTCTGGTGAACCAGAACAGCGCACAGAAACGCCGTTTACCTTCCCGCCAGAGCGGTACCTATTTATCTACTTGCACTTTGATGTTCTTTCGAACTGCTAGGTTGGCAGGAGCAGGAACCGAGCAACGGGAGCTCACCCCGCCGTGGGGATTTGAACTGCCAACCTTCTGATCGGCAAGCCCTAGGCTCTGTGGTTTAACAACCAGCACCACCCGCGTCCCTTCAAGTACTTGTTGAAGTACTTGCTGAAGTACCCTTCAAGTACTTGCTGTTAAAGTTGTTCTGTGGAATTCCTGATCTGGACCTTGTGTGGAAATGAATTCTCTCCATCACAAAAATAAGTTTTGAAGCTTTACCGCAGAACAGTCTTAAACAGTCTAACAATAAGATAAACATGATAAAGTAGCACGTTGCAAACAATGTTCAGTCCTTTATGTGATTCAGTCAGCTTTCCTCTCTCTGGTCCCAGAGAGAGATCCTAAGCTTCTTCAACATTGCATGACTTATTTGCAACTGCTGCTGCTGCTTCTCCTAGCCATCTCCAGCAAGAACAAACTGGCTTCTCAAGTTTAAGCTTCCTTCCGTGAGAGCTCTGCAGCTTATGCCTCCAGCGATGAGTTATGAGGAAAGATCCAGCCTCCTCTGAGGGTTCTTTCAGAGTGGAACCTGACAGACTGAGAACTCCCAGGAGTGCAAGCTGGATTTCGAAGGGGCAGAGGAACCAGAGACCAAATTGCAAACATGCTGGATTATGGAGAAAGCTAGGGAGTTCCATAAAAACATCTACTTCTGCTTCACTGACTACATAAAAGCCTTTGACTGTGTCGACCACAGCAAATTATGGCAAGTTCTTAAAGAAATAGGAGTGCCTGATCACCTCATCTGTCTCCTGAGTGTTATGGTAAAATCTAGGTGTGAGACTGCTCAGTCAAACCAGCTCATTGGGAAGAGCCCGCAGGTCCCTTGCAGAATAAAGGAAGGAATCCAGTCACCAACTGGAGCAAATAGCTGTAGACCAAAGTTTATTGCGCAACAGGTTCAAAGAGGAATTTTGGACCCCAAGCATGGGGTGACAAAGACTTTTAAAACTTTCCCACCATATCCCAGAATACAGTTCGTAGAGCATCATTGCTATATGATTGTTACATCACTGACATGTCACAATAGCAGAGGGGTAGACAGGGGTTACACTAGTCTAACCTTGGCAAACATGTCCAGACAAGTCCTTGGTACAAGATTAGCATAAGCAGACATGTCAGGGCAAGACTCAGGTATAAGATTAGCATAGGCAAACACCTCTGAAGTCCCATCACCCAAAGTACAATAGAACTTCCTTTGCATGTCTGGCCCCTTGGCACGTTTGGTGATAGGATTAGGCTTTCCTTGGCCCAGCTCAGCAATTCTCACCCCTGGACACTTCCTGGAGTCCTTTTTCAAGGGGAAAATAGCTTTGAAATGGAGGAAACTGGCAAAGGTGTTGATTTTATATTATTTTTAAAGCTAGGTACCGTATTTTTCGCTCTATAAGACGCACCAGACCACAAGACGCATCTAGTTTTTGGAGGAGGAAAACAAGAAAAAAAGTATTCTGAATCTCAGAAGCCAGAACAGCAAGAGGGATCGCTGCGCAGTGAAAGTAGCAATCCCTCTTGCTGTTCTTGCTTCTGTGATAGCTGTGCAGCCTGCATTCACTCCATAAGACCCACACACATTTCCCCTTACTTTTTAGGAGGGAAAAAGTGAGTCTTATAGAGCAAAAATATGGTAACTTCCCTGAGCTGTCAAGTTGAAAGGATACATTCAGGCATAATATCTGTAACATTTAATAACTTTAAAGATGTGCCCCCCCTAATTTCCTTAACATAAGAAATCTATATGTGGGACAAGAAGCTACAGTTAGAACTGGACATGGAACAACTGATTGGTTCAAAATTGGGAAAGAGTACAACAAGGCTGTATATTGCTCCCCGCTTATTTAACTTATATGCGGAATTCAACATGTGAAAGGCTGGAGTGGATGAATCCCAAGCCAGAATTAAGATTGCCGGAAGAAATATCAACAACCTCAGATATGCAGATGACACAACCTTGATGGCAGAAAGCGAGGAGGAATTAACCTCTTAATGAGGGTGAAAGAGGAGACCGCAAAATATGGTCTGAAGCTCAACATCAAAAAACCGAAGATGATGGCCACTGGTCCCATCACCTCCTGGCAAATAGAAGGGGAAGAAATGGAGGCAATGAGAGATTTTACTTTCTTGGGCTCCATGATCACTGCAGATGGCTCCATGATCACTGCAGATGGTGACAGCAGTCACGAAATTAAAAAGCGCGACAAGGTTGCCCAATTTTCCTATTGCTTTTTATATCGGACCTGGAGGTTCTCTTAAATATGATTAGAAGGGACCAATTGGTTAAAGGTATACAAGTCGGAGCCAAACATTACAAATTGAAAGCATTTGCTGGTGATCTAGTATTGACATTACAGGAGCCAGAATCTAGCACTAAAAGAGTATTGGAACTGATTCAAGAATTTGGTCAGGTTGCAGGATTCAAGTTGAGTAAGTTAAAAACTAAGGTTTTAGAGAATAACAGTGACTGAGAGGGGGAGGTTTCAGAAGGAGACAGGTTTAACATTGGTTAAGAAAGTGAAATACCTGGGGGTTAATATGACTGCCAAGAATGTGAATTTATTCAAAGATAATTATGAAAAATGCTGGATGGAAGTGAAAAAGGATTTAGAAATATGGTCAAATCTGAAGCTTTCATTGCTAGGCCGTATTGCTGTGATAAAAATAAATGTATTGCCAAGAATGTTGTTTTTGTTTCAAACACTGCAAATTTTGGATAAAATTGACTGTTTCAAGAAGTGGCAAAGAGATATTTCTAGATTTGTCTGTCAGGGCAAGAAGCCCAGAATAAAATTTAAAATACTAACTGATGCAAAAGAAAGAGGTGGATTTGCCCTGCCAGACCTTAAACTTTACTATGAATCAGCTGCTTTTTGCTGGCTGAAAGAATGGCTTCTTCTTGAAAACTCAGACATTTTGGATTTAGAAGGTTTCAATAATGTATTTGGGTGGCATGCATATTTGTGGTATGATAATGTAATGGAGTTACTCGTGCGTAAGCCGACCCCGTTTGGGCGCTTGGTTGCCTGGTTAAACCCTTCGGACTGCACAGCCCATCTCCGCATGGCTGCCTCAGTCACTGGCAGAATCTGTCTGTGGGCATTTCTTAAACCTCTGCCAGCATAAAAGCTGTTTGACACCCAATCGTCTCCGCCTTTCATTGCGCGGGAGTCTCCTGCGCAGGGTGGGCGTGGGTAGCAGAGTGCCTGGGCTCTCTTCACTGACTTCCAGGGAAGAATCCCGGAGCCCTTCCACCTCCTCTTCCCATTGCTCTCGTGGACTCTTGGTGTTATGCGTATTTCCTTCCCCTTCCACCAAGCTGAGTCTCCCCCTTGTGCTAGGACCTTCACCTGCAGAATCGGAGACCCTCTCCTTCTCCCATGTCTCTGATGTCAGTTCCCTGACATCCACCTCCCCCCCAGGGCCCCCTTCACTCCCCGATCGACCTGTGGGCTCTATCTCTTCCTCTTCTCTGGTCGGTGAGACAGGAAAACCCCGGAAGGAGCTGTCCTCCTCCTCCGTGGGTGCGGAAACCTCTTCCCACCTGCCAAGGTTCCCACCCATGGGGTGACCCTCCCAGTCCGATTCTTCCTCGGATTCTGAAAACCCTTCGAAACTCTCTTTGTCATCTGTGGTGCCAAATTGTTCCTCCCAGAATCTCTCTAAGGGCTGGGGCTTATCCGGGAACCGGCGGTGGAACACTTCCACCATATGCTCGTCACCAACTGCTTCCGCTGGCACCCACGTGTTTTCCGACAAGGGCTCTCCTTCCCACGCCATCAAGTACTCCACTTGCCGACCTCTCCACCTTGAATCAACTATTTCCGCGGCCGAGCTTTGGTGTTCCCTTTCTTCTACCTGTGGTTGTGGCATGACTTCTACTTCCCGCCCCACGAACTCCCACCCCTCTCTGTGTGGTGAGAGCAAGGATCTGTGGAACACAGGATGTATTTTCATACTGTCGGGCAACCTGAGCTTGAATGCCACGGGGTTTATCTGTTGTGTAATTTCAAATGGCCCGAGCCATCTAGGCTGCAACTTCTTGCACCCTCCTTTAAAGGGTAACCCTTGAGTGGATAGCCACACTCGATCCCCCACCCGTATGGTTTGCCCTTCCCTGCGGTGCTTATCTGCTTGCTTCTTGTAATTCACCTTGGCCCTCTCTAGGTTCATCTTAAGTTGTTGGTGTAGAGCTTCCATTTCTTCCACAAACTGTTCAGCAGCGGGCACACTCCAGCTTTGTTCCTCGCTACCCGGAAATGCCCTGGGATGACACCCATAGTTGGCCATAAACGGACTCATTCCCGTGGACACATGTTCAGCGTTATTGTACGCAAATTCCGCTAACGCTAGTTTCTCTACCCAATCATTCTGCCTCTTGCTTACGTAGCAGCGCAAGTATTGCTGGAGTATGCTGTTTGCCCTTTCCGCTTGCCCATTGGTTTCTGGGTGTCTCACTGTCGAGAAACTCACCTCGACTTGCAGCAGACTCATGAGCTTCCTCCAGAACCGGGAAGTAAATTGTTTTCCGCGGTCGGAGAGAACCCTCAAGGGGGCGCCATGCAACCTAAAAATGTGCTCTACAAACAACCGTGCCGTTTCTTCTGCCGTCACCGCGTGTGAGCAGGCTATGAAATGGCACATTTTGGTTAGCAAGTCGACTACTACCATTACTGCTGTTTTTCCCCTTGATTTGGGCAAATCCGTCATAAAATCAATAGACACCACCTCCCAGGGTTTGTTTGGTGTGGGTAAGGGTTCCAGTAAACCTGCTGGTACCGTGCGTTCCCCTTTGGCCCTTTGGCAGCAGTCGCACCCTCGTACATATTCTCGTACATCTTCCCTCACCCTTGGCCACCAGAATTGTCTGGTCACCAACATCATAGTTTTGTGTTGTCCAAAGTGTCCCGCTGTGGGGGTGTCATGTAGTTGTTTGAGTACCCTTCTTCTTAGAACTTCCCCCGGTACGTACATCGCCCCCCTATAGTACAACACCTCTTCCTTCTCTTCAAACCCCTCTGGTGCTCCCCTCCCATTTTGGAGTTCCCTGATTTTTGTTCGGGCGAATTCATCGTTCCTAGTGAGCCCTGCCAGTTCCCTCGTGCCCACTAGAGTTCCCCCACACACCCATCGGTCCTCAGGTATGACGTGTCGTGTCTCCGGCGGCCCCTCTCCTTCGAAGTACTCTGGTTTTCGCGAAAGAGCGTCTGCTCTCACGTTTTGCTCTCCTGGCAAAAGAAAACTTGGAGAATTCCTGCGCCCAGCGAATCTGTCTCTGGTTGAGCACTCGTGCTGTCCTCCAGTATTCCAAGTTCTTGTGATCTGTACAAACCTGGATCTTGCGCTGCGCCCCTATCAGCAGATGGCGTCACCGACGAAAGGCCGCGTAGATTGCGAGCAGTTCTCGGTCATACACGGTGTAGTTTTGTTCCGACTTGCTCAGCTTCCTCGAGAAAAAGGCACACGGTTTCCATTCTTGCTTGCCCAATCCTGACTGCAAAAGAACAGCCCCGATGGCTCTGTCTGATGCGTCTGTCTCCAACCTCAGTGGTTTCTCCAAATCCACGTGTAATAGTTGCTCTATTAATGCCTTAAGAGAGAATATTATGAAAATGATATACAGGTGGTACATGACACCAGTTAGGCACGCAAAAATATATCATTTGCCTGACAATAAATGTTGGAAATGTAAAGAGACTGAAGGTACATTCTTTCACCTTTGGTGGACGTGCCCAAGGATTAAGGCTTTCTGGGAGATGATTTATAATGAAATGAAAAAGGTATTTAAATATACCTTTCTGAAGAAACCAGAGGCCTTTCTCCTGGGCATGGTCGGCCAGTTGGTGTTAAAGAAGGATAGAAATTTTTTAATGTATGCTACAACAGCAGCAAGAATACTTATCGCAAAGTATTGGAAGACACAAGATCTACCCACCCGGGAAGAATGGCAGATGAAGGTGATGGAGTACATGGAACTGGCGGAAATGACTGGCAGGATCCGAGACCAGGGAGAAGAGTCGGTGGAAGAAGATTGGAAGAAATTTAAAGACTATTTAAAGAAACATTGTAAAATTAATGAATGTTAGAAAGATATTGGAATGAACTTATGTGGTTTTAGCAGAAATGTTATAAAGGATTAGGAAAAAATAGACTGTTAATTGGTGAAACGAGGGAAAGTAAAGTTATATCATATTAAGATAAATTACAGGGCAAAAATTGGAAAAGATGGAAAGGATTTGCTGAAATAGTTAACCGAACTAGAATACAAAAAAGGGAGGTGTGAGGAGGTCAAGAAAACAAGCTAACAAATGATAAGTTATGGGAAGATTCGATGTTTTATTTTTTTAATGGACTTTTTTCTGTTTTTTGTATTTTCTTTTTTTTCTTTTCCTATTATGATGTGTTGTTTTTGATGTTTAATATGATGTTATTATTTTTTCTTTTTGTAACCTTTAAAACCTTAATAAATATTACTAAAAATAAATAAATAAATGTGACCATTTGCTGCCTCCCAAAATTATGCTTAAGCCTTTCCCCTCCCCCCCCCAAAAACAACAACAACTCAAACATGGTAGCTGGTCTTGTCAAACGGGCCAATATAAGGTTCATTTGGCAAGTTTGTTGTTGTTTAGTCGTTTATTTGTGTCCGACTCTTCATGACCCCATGGACCAGAGCACGCCAGGCACTCCTGTCTTCTACTGCCTCCTGCAGCTTGGTCAAACTCATGTTCGTAGCTTTGAGGACACTGTCCAACCATCTCGTCCTCTGTCGTCCCCTTCTCCGTGTGCCCTCCATCTTTCCCAACATCAGGGGGGTCTTTTCCAGGGAGCCTTCTCTTCTCATGAGGTGGGCAAAGTATTGAAACCTCAGCTTCAGTATGTGTCTTTCCAGTGAGCACTCAGGGCTGATCTCCTTCAGAATGGATAGGTTTGATCTTCTTGCAGTCCATGGGACTCTCACGAGTCTCCTCCAGCACCATAATTCTTTTTTTTTTTTAAATAAATAATATTTATTAAAGTTTCAAAGAATTACAAAAATAAAAAGAAAACAGAAAAAACAAAGTACAGAAAAATAAAAACAATTAAAAACAAATCAATCTTTACATGTCTTGTCTTTCATTTACTTGTTTCCCTGACCTCCTCACACCTCCCTTTTTTGTATTCTAGTTCAATTAGTTACTTCAGCAAATCCTTTCCATTTTTGCTTTTATCTTAATGATTTATCTTAATATATTGTAACTTTACATAATCACCTATTCATGATCTGTTTTTTTTAAATGATATTTTATTAAGTTTTAAGAATAACAACAAACAGAAAAAGGAAAAAACACACAAAAATATAAAATTATAAAATACAAAAAATACAAAAGTTTAACTTAGAAAAGAAAAAAGAAAAAGAAAGAAAAAAGCACATTAAAAACCCCCCACAAAAATCCCTCTTTTTAATTCCTCATCTTTGATTCACTTATTTTCCTGACTTCCTCACGTCTCCCTTTTTTGTATCCCTTTTGAAAATTAGTTCAGCAAATTCATATCCAATTAATTTATCTATTATCAATCCAATCTTATTTTTTACCTTGTTGCTAGAACCCCTTCAGTTCATTTCAATGCCATTAACATTCAAAAATTTTACAATGTTTCTGTAAATAAATTTTAAATTTCCTCCAATCTTCTTCCACCAACTCTTCTCCCTGGTCTCGGATTCTGCCAGTCATTTCCGCCATTTCCATGTGGTCCATTACTTGCATCTGAATTTTACCTAATTCTATAACATTACTGCTAAAACCGCATAACTATTTCCTGTCTTCTTACCCATGAATTACATTTCTGTTCCACACTCCCCTCATGAAGCCCACCACAAGATATATTGCTTTCACGCACACAGCAACCCTGCGAGGGAGGTTTCGCATAAAGATGGCGACCAGCTTTAAGTCACCCAATCGGCTTCACGACTGAGGAGGGATTTGAATTGTCCCCGGCATTTGTGGACCTAGATCCTTGAACTCCAGCTCCCATGAGCCCCAGCCAGCGTGGCCAACGGCTAAAGAAGACGTGAGTTGCAATATCACTTCATCTGGAGGGGCCACAGGCTACCCAACAGGTCCGTTTTCAGCGCCTTGACCTTCTCCTGGCGCAGCTGCCCTTGGAACTCCTCGTACTGGATGTGCTTCATCCTGTGGTGCCTCTGCAGGTGGGCCTTCTTCAGGACGGAGAGGGCCTCACCACAAATGAGGCACACGGGCATGCCTTTCAGCTCCACAAAGAAAGTCGTGTGTCCATCTTTTTTGAAAATGCGGCACTCCAAATCTATCTTCCTCTTCTTGTGGAAACATTGTGTCCAGAAACAGACAATTAGGCAGATGGAGCTGTTCTAATATGGGAGTCCTATGCTGCCTATAGCCAGCCCTGGTCAGTACTGTGTCTGCAGCTCTTTGAGCCGTTGAAGTTTCTGAGCTCTTTTCAAAGGCAGCCCCAGGTAGAGTGTGTTAAAGTAACTCCTACGCAATGTGGCACCAGACTGCTTTCTTTTTTTGTAATTATCTGTTTGTTTTAAATTCTATAGCTTAAATTCTCTTGATGGTTGTTTTTTTGAGAAGGGCCTCTTACGGTCACAAAGCAATGATTTTCAGTGCAGCTCCATAACACTGATTGCGCCCTCACACTACCCCTTTTTGTGTGGGGATTTGGATCCAGAAAAGGAGCAGACGGGGAAAGGTTAAGCAGAATCCCACCCACCCGCTGCACCACCCTTAGGTGTGCACAGCCTTCACCTGCTTCATGACTCCACCTTGCATCAGAAGGCAGGATGGAGCTCCAGGAAACAGGAAGTGGTCCGTCAACCAGCCAGGACATCTCACCATCACAGACAGATCCAGTCTCCTGCTGTGGAGTCAAGAGTGGCCCTGGGATGGCATAGAGAGGAGGGGAAGGGGCCAGGGACAGAAGGAATGGCAGGGCTCCAGATGCTCCCTTGGACCCCTACCCTGACACCAAGGGGAGCTCCTCTTCTGGGGCTGAAAGCATTGGCGTGGTTTGAAAGGTAAAAAACACCTAAGGGGTTTATTAAAGTATCTGTGATTTTCCCCCTGTGTGAGTTCGTTGATGTCTTCTAAGTGCTCCACTTTCACTGTAGCTCTTTCCACATTCAATACATTTAAATGGTTTCTCCCCTGTGTGAGTTCGTTGGTGTCTTCTAAGTTTCCCACCTGTACTGAAGCTCTTTCCACATTCAATACATTTAAATGGTTTCTCCCCTGTGTGAGTTTGTTGGTGTATTCTAAGTGTATCATTTCGACTGAAGCTCTTTCCACATTCAATACATTTAAATGGTTTCTCCCCTGTGTGAGTTCGTTGGTGTATTCTAAGTGCTCCGCTTATGCTAAAACTCTTTCCACATTCAATACATCTAAATGGTTTCTCCCCTGTGTGAGTTCGTTGGTGTATTCTAAGTGCTCCACTTTCACTGAAGCTCTTTCCACACTCAAAACATTCAAATGGTTTCTCCCCTGTGTGAATTCTTTGGTGTATTCTAAGGTTTCCATACTGACTGAAGCTATTTCCACACTCCATACATTTAAATGGTTTCTCCCCTCTGTGAGTTTGTTGGTGTATTCTAAGGTTTCCATACTGACTGAAGCTATTTCCACACTCCATACATTTAAATGGTTTCTCCCCTCTGTGAGTTTGTTGGTGTATTCTAAGTGTATCATTTCGACTGAAGCTCTTTCCACATTCAATACATTTAAATGGTTTCTCCCCTGTGTGAGCTCGTTGGTGTATTCTAAGTGTTCCACTTCGACTGAAGCTCTTTCCACAATCCACACATTCAAATGGTTTCTCCCCTGTGTGAGTTCGTTGGTGTACTCTAAGTGTTTGACTTTCACTGAAGCTATTTCCACATTCAATACATTTAAATGGTTTCTCCCCTGTGTGAGTTCGTTGGTGTATTCTAAGTTTCCCAGTTGTAGTGAAGCTCTTTCCACATTCAATACATTTAAATGGTTTCTCCCCTGTATGAGTTTGTTGGTGTATTCTAAGTGTACCATTTCGACTGAAGCTCTTTCCACATTCAATACATTTAAATGGTTTCTCCCCTGTGTGAGTTCGTTGGTGTATTCTAAGGTGTTCACTTCTAATGAAGCTATTTCCACATTCAATACATTTAAATGGTTTCTCCCCCGTGTGAGTTCGTTGGTGTATTCTAAGTTCTCCACTTTCACTGAAGCTCTTTCCACATGCCGTACATTCAAATAGTTTCTCTCCTTTGTGACTTTTTTGTTGTATCCTCAATTTCTTTTCCCCCCCCCATAAATTCACATGTGGCTTCATAGAATTCTGACTTTCATCTTCCTCACCTGTTTGGGAGTCTGGGAGGAAAGAGAATCCTGTTAGACTTTCAAGAAAGACAAAAAGGGAACTGAACACATGTCAATCCCAATCTGTACCTTCTCTTATTTTAACACCTTCATTCTCCACTATCTTCTCTAGGTTCCAAATTTTACGAAAGCTGATGAGATAGTGGCAGGAGCAACACATGATCACTCCATTCAAACTCAATAAACCACCATCGTTTTATAATACAGATTTATGGTGGAATTGGCTTATTAGACACATCTATTTTTTCTTTCCGAAGTGAAGAAATGATCTCAGGCTCAAGTAACAGTATTTCCCTTGTGAAATAAGTAAAACTTAAGTGCTACATGTAACTGTAAAAATATTGCAATATATTGGAACCTAAGAAGAGCCTGCTGGATCAGGCAAAGGCCCACCTAGTCCAGCATCCTCTTCTCACAGAGGCCAACCAGATGCCTGTGGGAAACCGGCAAGCAGGATTGGAGCACAAGAGTCTTCTCTGCCTTCCTGTGCTTTCCAGAAACTAGTATCAAGAAGCATTATTGCCTAGACCACGAGGGCAGAGCAGAAATGCCAGTCTTATCCTTTTTTTCAAGCTATCCATGTTGCTGGCCGTCACTGTCTCCTGTAGGATAGATTCCATAGATGAACTACGCTTCTGTTTATTCATCTTTTGCAGCCCTTAAAGGCAGATAAATGTATTATGGCCTAAGCTTTTGTGGGCTGCAGTCTGACAAAGTGGACTCTTGACCAGGAAAGCTGGTGCCACTATAAACCTCTGAGTCTCTTTGTTGGCTTTGTGTACTTATTTTGAAATTTGCACCAAGGTTGTACCACAGTATCTCCATGGAAGCTTAGGAACGGACAAAATTACAGGGTGTCAGCTCCGTGAATCTCAAACCTCTTGTGCCTCCGATGACAGAGCCTGAGAACGCAAGAGATGTGATTCAGTTGGAAGGTGACGCAGGGGAGGAGCAGCCAAGCTGCAGCAGGAGCAAAGAACAAAGAGCAGGAAGAGGGGGTGACGGGGGGTGGGGGCACAGACTGTTATCTCCAGTTTGAGCTCTTACACAGAGCCCCCGAAATAGCCTGTCCAAAAAATCGTAGGCTCGAGAGAATCTGCGAGAAGAGGTGAAAAGAAAGCGAAAGTGGGGCCTTCTTTGCTGGAGGACTCGGCAACTGCAAGCTGGGATGAACAGGCCGAAGACTGAGCTCCACAGTGATTTATGAGTTTGACATAATTACTACTGGAGTTGTCTAATGTCTGTGTGGGAGAACCAAGCCATTACACAGGATTGCTAAAATTATTATCCCACTCACTCACTCACTCACTCACACAAACAACCCCAGTCTGTAAGATTGGCAAGTTTACACAGTTTGCTTATAATACCAGACGCTCTTGGACTTTATATGCCCAATCCTAAGTGCAGAGCCTCCAGCCACAGGAATTGTGTATCATGATAACTGGTCCTTTGTCCCTTAAGCCCACCAAACTGGGGAGGTGCATGCATTTATTGTGTTTTGATGCTGGTGGAATGTATCATTCTGACCCTGTCTATAAAAAATAAGAGTAATAGAAACAATTTAAATACATTAATTATAAATAATTATGCAAAGCATTTCATTCCCCTTCACCCATTTTTCAGTACTGGTGTGCAACATCATTATCATCAATTATTCCTGCCGTTGAAATAACACCTAAGATTTCAAAGCCTGGAGGAAGAAAATCTGCCCCCACTACTTTAGGAAAAGGATTCAAGAAACAAAGAGCTGCTTTGCAGAAGGCCTCACCCCTTCCTTCTTCCTGTCAGGAACTTCCTTCCATTTGTCTCCTCTCCATCTTTTACTCTTTCTCCTGCCAACACCCATCTATCCCTGTCCCCATCTCCTCTCCCCTGGAACTCACCAGATTTCTCCAAGGGCCCTGGGAGGGAATGCTCAGAGGTTGTGGGGAGGGATGCGGGAGACAGCCTAACCAGGTCACCCGTCCATCTTCCTCCTTCCATCCTGGCCAGGGTTGCAGGTTCAGTCTCAGCTAGGTTTGCAGGTTCAGCTTTCCGAGGAGCGCAGAATCCAGAGCAAGTTTCAGCTTCCTGGGAGGGAGGGAAGAAGAAGAAGCCAAGGGAGTCTGAGAGCCCCTGCAGGGATTCTCCTGCCCAAGACATTCTGCTGCCCCTGGAGAAGCCCCAATTGGGCACCCCCTAGCGGAAAAAAACACTAATTGTATCCTTAAATTCTTCAGAGCACAAGGGGGTTTCTTCATTCCCGAAGCTCTAAAATTAGGCATGGCCAAAACCTTGGCACAACTCCTCTATGGTTCCTTTTTGGGCCCACCTTCCTCTGCTTTCTCCCCCCTTGAGAGAGTTCAATCTAGACTTCTTAGACCTCTCCTCCAAGTCCCCAGATGTGTCTCAAACGCATGGGTTAGATTGGAAACGGGGATGATGAGAGTGGAGGCTAGCATCTGCCTAATAGCAATCTACAAATGGCTGACATTGAACCTGCTCCCCTGAGGGATAGCCCCATTGATCCTCTGTGACCAATTCCAGTCGGCCTGCAGACTGCAGTCCTGAACACCCTCCGGAAATTGGGTTTTGCCCCTCAAGCCCTTCTAAGTCTGGGCTTGGGCCAGGCAAAAGCTACGTTCAGGCAAAGAATATTAGACACCGAGAGACAGCAGGACTGTGCAAGGTGCCCCGACTATAGAATTGGAGAAATCGAGAGATATATAGCCGCACCAGCAGCATATCTCTTCTTTCTCGTATCTAGCGATGCAAGAAGGGCCTTTACACTCGCCAGAAGCTCGGCTCTTCCCTCGCCGGTCCTGGATGAAGCCTTCAGAAGGGTCCCGTATGCTCAGAGACTTTGCACCTGTCCATTGGGAGAGATAGGAAGCCCAGAACACTTGTTCTTTAAATGTCCCTTTTATGAAGAGGCACGTAGTAAGATCATGGATCCCCTACTGGTGAGGCTAGCCGACCTCCCGCAAAAGCAAAAATTTGACCTTTTGCTGTTAGGCAAAGATCAAAAGATGACCTGGATGGTCGCAAGATTCTGTGTACATTTTTGTAGGCGCAGATCATCGCCCAACTCAAAATAGTCCGACATGAAAAGCCCCAAACATGGTTCCATGGGTGACTCTGAGACAACTCCCTGGGACAGTTTATTGTTGTACATTGTTTCTAAATTTAGCGTTGAACATTGTTTTAATTGTCTGTTTTAACCATATTTGCACAGCAGTTTCTAATGTTGTGAGTGTCCTCTATTTAAGAGGCTTCTACTCTGCAGTCTCTTATAGTTGTTTTAACTGCGAGTCTTTTAGTTCTTATGCTCTTACAGTTGTTTTAACTGTGTGTCTTTGTTTGTTTTTAGTTCTTATCTGTTTTACTTATCAGGTTTTTTTATCCATCCATTATCCGTGTTTAATCTTGTATTTTATTTAGATGTTTTATCCTATGCATTTCCATGTCCTAATTTGCTCTAACAATTATAGGTTAAAAAAATCCTAACTGCTATTTTATCTATATGCTTTTTGAATCCTGGTCTGTGACCATAATAAAGTTCATTCACAAGCGGGCACCCCCTTCCCAAGAGCCTCCACCCATTTTCAAACACCTTTGGCAATTCCTTTCACCCGTTTGTCCCACCTCCCTTCCTAGGGCTGGCATGGTATTCACATTAGTGGCCTGAGAGGAGATCCCTTGGAACTTAAGAGTTAATCTTTAAAGGACTGCTCTGAATACATGGGTGGCCCTTGCATAGAGAAGAAGGAAGCCCCTTGCTTGCATCAGCACCCCCTGGGGGAGGCGGGGGATCCGCCCACTGCTCCCTCTTCCCTCGCTGCCTCCTCCTCTGCCCTCCTGCCCTGCAAACACCCTTTGCTCTTGTTCCTCAGGGGAGAGAGGCGGCTGATGGAAAGAGCCTTCAAACCCATCCGTTTCCTCCTCCTGTCCTTTTGGGAAACAGGAACTTCGGTCAGGAGTAAACAACTTAGATGGCAAGTTCGCAAGATAAGCACTTTAGAGCACTGCTTCCTCCTACTATGTGTGTGTTTGGACTTAGAGGACAACTTACATGTTTACACCACGTGATTCCTTAAAGAGGACAATTCTTTAAAACTGAAGGCCATTTCTACAAAATGGAAGCCTTCCAAGGCAGCCTTTTACAAGGAATTTTTGATGTTTTTTTATTTTGTTGGAAGCTACCCAGTTGCCCAGCTGAGGCAACCCAGTCAGATAGGGAGGATGCAAGTAATAATAATCGGCGGTTTGCATCCCTGCGATGGGGTGAGCTCCCGTTGCTCGGTCCCTGCTCCTGCCAACCTAGCAGTACAATAGCACGTCAAAGTGCAAGTAGATAAATAGGTACTGCTTTGGCAGGAAGGTAAACGGCATTTCCGTGCGCTGCTCTGGCTCGCAAGAAGCGGCTTAGTCATGCTGGCCACATGTCCCGGAAGGTGTACGCTGGCTCCCTCGGCCAATAAAGCGAGATGAGCGCTGCAAACCCAGAGTTGGTGACGACTGGACCTAATGGTCAGGGGTCCCTTTACCTTTTTAAGCCTGTCCTGCTAGGCGTGCTGATCAGAGACTCTGTCCAAACAACCCCTTTGAACGCAACAGGGCTTCCTATTTTTACTGCTATCAGTGGGAAAAGTCAAACCACAAAGCCACTGATCAACCAGAGTTTCCTGTTTTGACCAAGCACAGTTTGAAGTTAGATTAATATCCCAGCTTGTTCCAAAGCTGGCAGCTGTAGTTTCCTGGTTTGGGCAAAATGGAAAGTTTGTTAGTTATGGCTTCATAACAGTTCCCCATCAGGGCCGGCCCAATCATGAGGTAAGGTGGGACAATTAGGTCAGGAGGCAGATGCAGAGAGATATGGGACCAGCACATTCCCAGCTCCCCTGTTTGTTAGCCTTGCTGCCAGTGCAGGACCACAGCTGGTAAATTTGTGCAACTACCCATTTAGAGTCTTTTTCTTTTGCCCTCTCTCACTAAAGGTTGGGTGGGGGTCCTTCCTGGAGTGATGCATTCTGTTTGTGGGGGCCAGGAGACTGTGGTGGTGGCGGCTAGAGTTTTTTGTTTTGAACTTTGGTCAACTTAGGTTTTATCGTAATGTACCAAATGTACATTAGTACAGCAATGTACTAAAAACTGTTCCTATTTTTAACCCAGCTTTTCAGGCTGTGATTCAGTCATCTGAACCTGGCCATTATACTAATAAATCTTGCAACAACCTTGGAAGGTAGGCCAGTCATCTTTAATGCGACTACACATGGGTTTTCTGAGGAATTTATTGGATTTCTGAGGCTGCGAGACGTGCCAAGATTTTTACCTCAGTGGGGAGAAAAGAGCATTTTGCAAATGGAGGCAATTTAGAGGAGGAAAATGGGGGTTGGTGGAAGGACCCCTCTTCTGACATAGCTTCTGCTCTGATGAAATTCAGAGTCCCCTGTGGTTGCTTTATTAAAGTAACAACATCAGGAGATAGGATCGCAAACCTCCCATGTGTAAGAAAGCTTGGTCTAGCAAGCCTTTTAAAAGTGGATTAGAGAGAAAGTGCAGGGAGGAGGAATATTCACCACCAAAGCTAAACAGAACCTCCATGTCGAGAGGCAGTGGACCTGTGACCTCCAGGTGCTGGAAACCCAGGTGAGAGGAGGGCACTTACCTTTCCCAGAAGCCCCTCAGTGTCTGGGAGCAGGGTCTGGTCTGTCCCCCCTGCTCTCCCACTGGGCCACCGACTGGCATCCGCAGCTCCCCTGAAGGAGAGGACACTATTCCCAGATTGAGGAGGACTGGGAGCCTGTGGGGTTTCCCACCCTGAAGGAGGGGGCTGCATCGTCTTCAGGAAATCCTGCTTCTGGGCCTCCCAGTGCTGCTGCGGCTGCCCCTCCTCTGGCTCCTGCTTAATCTGACATAAATCTGCCTGAGGCAGAAGATCCCTGATGGTCCCAACTTGGCCGGCAGGAGGTTTCTTTCCTTTGTACTCCAGTCTCTCCCTTTGAATGGGTCTCCTGGGTCCCTGCTCTTCCATTTTTACATCACCCTGCTGGAAAAGAAATAAACACAAAGTAAACTAAAACCCAAGAATAAAAACAAAAGCACATTTTTTAACCATTAACCAGTTTTTGAAAAATATTATTACTCTTTCTATTTCTGATGCTCAGGCTGTGAATGACAATCATTATGTCACCCAAACGGCTCCATCCAGGGACGAGGGGAAGTTATCCAAAGACTGGGGGAAACGGTTTATGGAAGTATAAATAATATTTGGGGGTGGGGGAACCAAGGCAGTGGGAGGGAAATCCAAAAACAACCCAGTGAGAGGACTGAGCATGTTAAGTGGACAGGGAATGCTGATCCTGGCTGCAACTTCTAGCATGTTGGAAAGGCAGCAACAGATCTTTGTATATGATTAAGGCTGCGACAGACCCAGTTAACATTGAAAGTACATGGCTTCACCCAAGAAATCCTGCGAGCTGCAGTTTGTTAGGGGTGTTGAGAACTGTAGCAATAAACTACAGGTCCTGTGGTTCTCTGGGGGAAGCCACATGCTTTAAATGTATGGGATCTGCACAGCCTAAGAACAAAAGGACAAAAGGAATATCCAAAATATTTTAAATTTGATGGTCACAAACTCTCTTGACTGAAGACATTCTAACTGGCAGTCCATTGGCTGCATATGGCTTGCCAAGCCTCAGGGTGTGTCCTGCTAGTCCCTGCCTTTTCCATCTCCTGATCTGTTCATCGGATGAAGATCTCTGTCTGTCCTGGAGAGAAAGATGCCTAAGGGCCCTTAGAGAGATCTTTTCAACTCCAATTTCACCACAAACCAGCACAGTGCTGAAATGGGGTAAAAGCCCTGCTCTGGAAATAAATGATCCCTCTGGCTGCTCTTTAAACAGGATTTCTAAAGAACAACCAGAAGGGTCTTTTTTCCACAGATCTCCTTGCTAATTCAGCAGAGTCTTCTTATGCTCTTATTTCTCCTCCACCCAGCACTGGGGTTGGAAGGTCTAAACATGTTGTTTGTGTTTGCAAGACTTGTATGTATGCTAGATGGCATGTCTGGTGAGTGTGTGCAGCACCTCTGGCGTGTGTGCATGTGACTTTATGGTCTGCATCTCTTTTATGGGTGCGCATGCATGTGCATACATTGGCCACAAAGCTCACTGGAATGTGGCCTCCAGAATCAATGCAGCTTTAAGCCCATAAATGTTTCATTCCTCCTGCTCTATCAGAAAGAACAATCAAATCTAAGACTATCAGGAGGAGAGAACTCCTGGATCTACAGAGTTAATGTTCTCAACATCCTATGGACACAAACTGCCTTGAGATTTCTCTCTAATTACTTTGAGATTTTTTTCTTAAAAATATGAAGCTGTATAGAAATGAAAGGAATAATAATCTGAACATGAATAGCTAATTTCAATTTTGCCTTCCTCAGTCTTTAACAATACTGTCTTCAATGTTTTTATTATCATTAATTCATTTCCATATGCCACACTTCTTAAGAATCCTCCTTTCCTCTGCATTCTCAAAACTGTCACCCACTTCAGCCCTCAGCCTTCATCTGAAAACTCTGCTGCCTTACTGAGGAAGGTGGAAATAAAACAATTAATGAAACAGGCTTAAGCTTGTCTCACTTATTCACAGGACTGAAGGGAGCAGCTCCCCAGGGTCTCCGGCAGGGTCCGTGCCAGCCTGAGCCAGAGATGTTTGCCCCTGTGCCCTCCTGCAGATGCCCTGCCCCTCAGCTGCGCCCCTTCCCCTTCCTGCCCGGTTGGGGGGCGCCCTGCAGCCTCTGGCTAGACTCCGGGCCTGATCCTGCCAGGCGCACGTGCTCTCCTCCCCCTCCTGCCCCTCCCCCGCCTCCTGCACCTCGGACTCCTCGCTCCGTCCCTGCACCGGAATCCGGCTCCTCTCCGGGGAAACTCGCCAGGCCACGGGCCGCTGCTCCCCCGCTCTCCTCGGCGGGGGACAGGAAAGTGCAGCCGCTCTCGAGTCCCCCTGGCTGGCCCCGTTTCCTGCCTCTCTGGGCATCGGAGCTCGCTGGCTGTGGGTTGGGCCCTGGGAGGCTGCAAGGCTGGATGCGCCCCCTTGCAAGGCGAGGGCTGCGAGACCGCCCTGCTTCTTCCCCTGCCCTCGTATTTGCAGCCCGCTGCTTCTGATCCTGGAGGTTCTGCTCTTAGCTGTCGGGGCAAATGGATTAGCCCTATGAGATCTGGTCCATTCCTAGCTCTGGAGCAGCAGGGAACAAGGTTTTTTCACCCTTCTCTAGGGAAGTTCACACGCCGCCATCTGTGTCCCCGTGTACACAAATCACTGAGCTGTCTTAACTTGGTCGGTAGAGCGTGAGGTGCTTTATCTCAAGGTTGTGAGTTCGAGTCCCATGTGAGAAAAAGTGGAAATAAAGTGTAATGTTACCTTGAAATTGTGTACAAAATAGTCCGACGGTTTTTAGAGAAACCCAAAAACTTCCCCTTTCTATACCCTTTCGTTGTCATCAAGCAGTTGGTCCCTTACCTTTCCCGCCCCGACCTGGCCACAGTGATCCATGCGATGGTCACCTCCAGGCTAGACTATTGTAATTCGCTCTACGCGGGGCTGCCCTTGAAGCTGTCCCAGAAACTCCAGCGGGTACAGAATGCTGCAGCGAGGCTGCTCACGGGGTCTATGCCATGGGAGCATATTCACCCAGTACTTTTCAAGCTGCACTGGCTCCCGGTGGAGTACAGGGTCAGATTTAAGGTGCTGCTTTTGACCTATATAGCTCTTCACGGCCTAGGACCCTCGTACCTATGGGACCGACTCTCCCAGTATGCCCCACGGAGAGCCTCAAGGTCCATAAATAGCAAGTCCCAGGCCCAAAGGAAGTTAGATTAGCTTCAAGCAGAGCCAGGGCCTTTTCAACTCTGGCTCCGGCCTGGTGGAACGCTCTGCCTCATGAGACCAGGGTCCTGAAAGATCTGATTTCTTTCCACAGGGCATGTAAGACAGAGTTGTTCTACCTGGCCTTTGGCTTGGAGCCAATTTGATTCCCTCCCTCCCTCTCTTTCTTTTTTCTTTTCCTTTCTCTTCCTGCGATGAGGCTACATTTTAATATTTTAATGTTTCAATATTTTAATGTTGTATTTTAATTTTGCTTTTAAGTTGTAATCATTCAACTTGTTTTTATTATTGCTTGTAAGCCGCTCTGAGCCCGGCCTTGGCTGGGGAGGGCGGGGCATAAATTATTATTATTATTATTATTATTTATTTATTTATACCCTGCCCATCTGGCTGAGTTTCCCCAGCCACTCTGGGCGGCTCCCAATCAAGTGTTAAAAACAGTACAGCATTAAATATTAAAAACTTCTCAAAACAGGGCTGCCTTCAGATGTCTTTTAAAGATAGGATAGCTGCTTATTACCTTCACATCTGAAGGGCGGGTGTTTCACAGGGTGGGGGCCACTATCGAGAAGGCCCTCTGTCTGGTTCCCTGTAACCTCACTTCTTGCAATGAGGGAACCGCCAGAAGGCCATCGGCACTGGATCTCAGTGTCCGGGCTGAACGATGGGGGTGGAGATGCTCCTTCAGGTATACAGGACCGAGGCCGTTTAAGGCTTTAAAGGTCAGCACCAACACTTTGAAGTGTGCTCGGAAACGTACTGGGAGCCAATGCAGATCTCTCAGGACCGGTGTTATGTGGTCCTGGCGGCAACTAAATGTTAATAAGCAGAAACCTGTGCAGAAACAGAGACAATACTGCTGATGTGAAAGAAAAACGTTTCATAAGAAACTACAGTGGTGCCTCGCAAGACGAAATTAATTCGTTCCGCAAGTCTCTTCGTCTTGCGATGCACGGTTTCCCATAGGAATGCATTGAAAATCAATTAATGCGTTCCTAGGGAAACCGCCTTCAGACCAGGTCCGGGGACAGTCTGTCCCCGGACCTCTTCTGAAGGCTGGGGGGACACGGGCTTTTCTTCCCACCCCCAGCAATTTAAAAAACCCCGGGACAGCGGAGGACTTCTCCGCTGTCCGGGCGATCTTAAAATGCTGGCGGGCGGCATTTTAAAATCGCCCTGGGACAGCGGAGGACTTCTCCGCTGTCCGGGGCGATTTAAAAGCCCCTGGGAAGGCGGGCAGGGGGGACAAAGACTTTCGCCCCCCCGCCCGCCTTCAGAAGGTGTTCCCGCCCCCCGCCCCGCTTCGGAGCAGCGTTCCGAAGCGGGGCGGCTGGGGCAGGTGTTCCCGCCCCCCGCCCCGCTTCGGAGCAGCGTTCCGAAGCGGGGCGGCTGGGGCAGGTGTTCCCGCCCCCCCGCCCCGCTTCGGAGCACCGGGAGAAGCGATCTCCCCGCAGCCCCTTGCTTCAAAAGAGGTCCAGGGGCAGCGGGGAAGAAGCGCTGCGCTTCCCGCTGCCCCGGACCTCTTTGAAGCAGGGGCTGCGGGAGATCGCGATCTCCCCACCGCCCTTGCTTCAAAGAGGTCCGGGGACAGCGGGAGCGCTCCCGCTGCCCCGGACCTCTTTTGAAGCAAGGGGCTGCGGGAGATCGCTTCTCCCGCAAACCCTTGCTTCAAAAGAGGTCCGGGGCAGCGCGAGCGCTCCCGCTGCCCCGGACCTCTTTTGAAGCAAGGGGCTGCGGGGAGATCGCTATCCCCGGACCTCTTTTGAAGCAAGGGGCGGTGGGGAGAAGCGATCTCCCCGCAGCCCCTTGCTTCAAAAGAGGTCCGGGGGCAGCGGGAAGCGCTTCCCGCTGTCCCCGGACCTGGGGCTGCGGGGAGAAGATCGCTTCTCCCCGCCGCCCCTTGCTTCAAAAGAGAAGACCCGCTGTCCCCGGGGCAAGCTTCGTTTTGCGAAGCAAGCCCATAGGGAAATTCGTCTTGCGAGGCAACTCGAAAACGAAAAATCCTTTCGTTTTGCGAGTTTTTCGTCTCGCGAGGCGTTCGTCTTGCGGGGTACCACTGTATAAGAGAATTCAAGGGAGAACGTGCCCATGTTTGAATAAGCAGAAGATTGTACAGTGGTACCTCGTGTTACATATGCTTCAGGTTGCAGACTCCTCTTCTATTCTCCTCAGTTATATGATTATGAAAGTAAAGCTCTTTTGAATAGCAAGAGTCTGGCCACTGTATAGTCTGTAAAAAGGAACTATCACCTAAAATAGCTATTTGGCTTCCTAGCTATAAGCTACTCTGTTACTTTGGATATCATAAAAATTCACAGACAGACAGACTTTAATGTTGTATACAGTGTAAGGCTGGGGAATTGAGAGGTGGGGAGAGCAAGCGGGGGGGAGGGGTAGTACACTTTCATTATTTTACGAAGTTCATACGCAAGGTGTTTGTGTCAGTGTGACATGGGTAGCTTCTCTTCCTATTCATTTATTAGTTTTCATTGGCAGTGAGAAAGATCGAGGGGCCCAGGGCACAGTTGGTAGCCTTCAGTTGACTGCAGTAAAGGTGGTGGAGGCTGAACCATTTTAAGGAACAGATTGTTGTAATTCTTGGAAAGGGATGGAAAAGAGCACAGCTACATCGTGGTTTGGTCCTTCAAGTAAAGGTAAAGGGATCCCTGACCATTAGATCCAGTTGCGGACAACTCTGGGGTTGTGGCACTCATCTCGCTTTACTCGCCGAGGGAGCCGTTTACCTTCCCCCCAGAGCAGTACCTATTTATCTACTTGCACTTTGATGTTCTTTCGAACTGCTAGGTTGGCAGGAGCAGGGACCGAGCAACGGGAGCTCACCCCGTCACGGGGATTCAGACCACCGACCTTCTGATCGGCAAGCCCTAGGCTCTGTGGTTTAACACACAGCGCAACCCGTGTCCCTTCAAGTACTTGTTGAAGTACTTGTTGAAGTACCCTTCAAGTACTTGTTGTTAAAGTTGTTCCATGGAATTCCTGATCTGGACCTTGTGTGGAAATGAATTCTCTCCATCACAAAAATAAGTTTTGAAGCCTTACTGCAGAACAGTCTTAAACAGTCTAACAATAAGATAAGCATGATAAAGTAGCACGTTGCAAACAATGTTCAGTCCTTTATGTAATTCAGTCAGCTTTCCTCTCTCTGGTCCCAGAGGGAGATCCTAAGCTTCTTCAACATTGCATGACTTATTTGCAACTGCTGCTGCTGCTTCTCCTAGCCATCTCCAGCAAGAACACACTGGCTTCTCACGTTTAAGCTTCCTTCCGTGAGAGCTCTGCAGCTTATGCCTCCAGCGATGAGTTATGAGGAAAGATCCAGCCTCCTCTGATGCTTCTGTCAGAGTAGAAACTCTTGCCTAAGTCTAAGAGAAACTTCCCTTTATAGTATTTTTATTACAATGCATTCAAGCGCAGCATTATATGTACATTAAACTTATAGCACTTGTTCCCTTCCAAGTAACAATGACACTTACAAGCAGGTTGTCACTTTCTTTTTCTATGTTTGCTTCGTATGCCCCAATGTTCTCTCTCTTTCCCCTCAAATGCTCCAGGCGACCACAGATGAGTGTCTAAAGAGAAACCAAAAGCTCAGAGTTTGGGGGTGGGGTGAAGCCTTGAACATCAGGTTGCCTCCTAGTGCCTGGGGGGCCAACTATTAGATTTCTATTTGGTAAGTGTTGTAGGAGTTTTAAGGTTTTTTAGTTGTATATTTAAAAAACAAGGCTCTTGTGAGATATTTCATTATTTTGTTATTCTGACATTGCATTGCACAGGAGCACCTTTGCACAGCTGTTTGATTTTTTTTAATGAAAAAAGAATAAGAATGCATTCTAAAGGGTTTCTTTAGAAGCGGAACAAGTATTTTGTTTTATTTTTTATAACAGAGGAAATGATGCCCAATTCTTAGTGCTCAACCTGGCTTTAAGATTAGCAGTCACACCCTCACAAAAAGCTATGAAAGGATTTTGTTAGCAAGATTCAAGGTGAATTCCTGCCTTATTTTCCAGGGCAGCTTCTTCCTTGAAAACCAAAATTTTAAAAGATGATGCTGTTAAGGTGCTACACTCAATATGCCAGCAACTTTGTAAAACTCAGCAGTGGCCAGAGGATTGGAGAAAGTCAGTCTGCATCCCAATCCCAAAGAAGGGCAGTGCCAAAGAATGTTCCAACTTCCGCACAATTGCACTCATTTCACACGCTAGCAAGGTTATGCTTAAAATTCTACAAGGCAGGCTTAAGCAGTATGTGGACTGAGAACTCCCAGGAGTGCAAGCTGGATTTCGAAGGGGCAGAGGAACCAGAAACCAAATTGCAAACATGCTGGATTATGGAGAAAGAGAGTTCATGAAAAACATCTACTTCTGCTTCATTGACTACGCAAAAGCATTTGACTGTGTCAACCACAGCAAACTATGGCAAGTTCTTAAAGAAATGGGAGTGCCTGATCACCTCATCTGTCTCCTGAGTGTTATGGAAAAATCTAGGTGTGAGGCTGTTCAGTCAAACCAGCTCGTTGGAAAGAGCCCGCAGGTCCCTTGCGGAATAAAGGAAGGAATCCAGCCACCAACTGGAGCAAATAGCTATAGACCAAAGTTTATTGCGCAACAGGTTCAAAGAGGAATTTTGAACCCCGAGCATGGGGTGACAAAGACTTTTACAACTTCCCCACGATATCCCAGAATACTGTTTCTAGAGCATCACTGCTGTATCATTGTTACAACACTGACATGTCACAAAAGGGGAGGGGTAGACAGGGGTTACACTAGTTCAGGGGTCTGCAACCTTTAAGACAAAAAGAGCCGCTTGGACCCGTTTCCAAAGAAAAAAAACCTGGGAGCCGCAAAACTCGTCATTATAAAAATAACTTTTTTGTCACTTTTTTATTATTTCTTTGTTTGACCCCTCAGAATTACTCCTCCTCATAGAAATAAACGTTAAATTAACAAGTTACCTTTTTGTGTGTGTGTGTTCTTCACTCCCCTTCAAAACAGTGACCAGCGTATATGCCCCCTTTCAATGCAGTGACCAGCATACATGCCCCTTACAATGTAGCGGGCGGGCGGGCGGGAAGGTGACGTCGGGACGGTGCGTGACTAACGCACACACCGCCCCCATGCGACGTCACAGCCAGTACAGCGCCCGCCACAGTGGGGAGTGTCAGGGCGCACAATGCGCCTCCTCCCCTCGCTAGTATCCGCCCCGGAGCCGCGACAAAGGTGTAAAAGAGCCACATGCGGCTCCGGAGCCGCGGGTTGCAGACCCCTGCACTAGTTTAACCTTGGCAAACATGTCCAGAGAAGTCCTTGGTACAAGATTAGCATAAGCAGACATGTCAGGGCAAGACTCGGGTATAAGATTAGCATAGGCCAACACCTCTGAAGTCCCATCACCCAAAGTACAATAGAACTTCCTTTGCATGTCTGGCCCCTTGGCAAGTTCGGTGATGGGATTACGCTTTCCTTGGCCCAGCTCAGCAATTCTCACCCCTGGACACTTCCTGGAGTCCTTTTTCAAGGGGGGAAATAAGTTATTTTTAAAGCTAGGTAAATTCCCTGAGCTGTCAAGTTGAAAGGATACATTCAGGCATAATATTTGTAACATTTAACAACTTTAAAGATGTGCTCGCTCCCCCCCCCCCCAAATTTCCATAACATGAGAAATCTCTATGTGGGACAAGAAGCTACAGTTAGAACTGGATATGGAACAACTGATTGGTTCAAAATTGGGAAAGAGTATGACAAGGCTGTATATTGTCTCCCCGCTTATTTAATTTATATGCGGAATTCAACATGCGAAAGGCTGGAGTGGGTGAATCCCAAGCCAGAATTAAGATTGCTGGAAGAAATATCAACAACCTCAGTTATGCAGATGCCACAACCTTGATGGCAGAAAGTGAGGAGGAATTAAAGAACCTCTTAATGAGAGTGAAAAAGGAGAGCGCAAAATTTGGTCTGAAGCTCGTCATCATAAAAACGAAGATCATGGCCATTGGTCCCATCACCTCCTGGCAAATAGAAGGGGAAGAAATGGAGGCAGTGAGAGATTTTACTTTCTTGGGCTCCATAATCACTGCAGATGGTGACAGCAGCCACAAAATTAAAAAGTGCCTGCTTCTTGGGAGAAAAGCAATGACAAACCTAGACAGCATCTTAAAAAGCAGAGACATCACCTTGCCAACAAAGGTCCGTATAGTAAAAGCTATGGTTTTCCCAGTAGTGATGTATGGAAGTGAGAGCTGGACCATAAAGAAGGCTGATCGCCGAAGAATTGATGCTTTTGAATTATGGTGCTGGAGGAGACTCTTGAAAGTCCCATGGACTTCAAGAAGATCAAACCTCTCCATTCTGAAGGAAATCAGGCCTGGGTGCTCAGTGGAAGGACAGATCGTGCAGCTGAGGCTCCAATACTTTGGCCACCTCATGAGAAGAGAAGACTCCCTGGAAAAGACCCCCCTGATGTTGGGAAAGATGGAGGGCACAAGGAGAAGGGGATGACAGAGGACGAGATGGTTGGACAGTGTCCTCAAAGCTACGAACATGAGTTTGACCAAGCTGCGGGAGGCAGTAGAAGACAGGCGTGCCTGGCGTGCTCTGGTCCATGGGGTCATGAAGAGTCGGACACAAATAAACGACTAAACAACAACAAACTTGCCAAATGAACCTTATATTGGCCTGTTTGACAAGACCAGCTGCCATGCTTGAGTTGTTGTTTTTTTTGGGAGGGAGGCTTAAGCATCATTTTGGGAGGCAGCAAACGGTGAGCTTTAAGAACTGTGGAGTCTGTTATCTGTCACATGAGAAACAAGGCCTGATTCCCGCCCCCGCCCCTTAATCCTCTCTAGCTATTTGTTGATCCATCAACCCTGATGGAGCTAAAAATATTCCTAGTTCCCCGAATTCCTGTCAAAACTGTCCCAAGGTGGTGTCAACCATAAATTTTCCCTACTATTTTGAAGACATCTGACAAATTGATTCAAATCAACATTCATAAGCTCTTGGCAGACTGTTTCTGAACTGGGAGGCATTGGCTGGTTCCTGTCACCTGACTGCCGGAGGTTTCCAGAGAGAGAGTGCAGAGTGCTGAGGAACCAGATGCTGAGACTTCAGCTAGAGTTCAACAACACAGGTGCTTGCTATATGCAATTTGGAGACAAAGAATCTTTTATTTTCAGTCAGATTCAGAACTATTTCCTGTCTTTTTACCTATGAATTACATTTCTGTTCCACACTCCCCTCATCAAGCCCACCACAAGATATATTGCTTTCACGCACACAGCAACCCTGCGAGGGAGGTTTCGCATAAAGATAGTGACCAGCTTTAAGTCACCCAATCAGCTTCACGACTGAGGAGGGATTTGAATTGTCCCCGGCATTTGTGACCTCGATCCTAGGACTTCAGCTCCCATGAGCCCCAACCAGCGTGGCCAATGGCTAAAGAAGACGTGAGTTGCAATTTCACATCATCTGGATGGGCCACAGGTTACCCAACAGGTCTGTTTTCAGCGCCTTGACCTTCTCCTGGCGCAGCTGCCCTTGGAACTCCTCGTACTGAATGTGCTTCGTCCTGTGGTGCCTCTGCAGGTTGGCCTTCTTCAGGACAGAGAGGGCCTCACCACAAATGAGGCACACAGGCATGCCTTTCAGCTCCACAAAGAAATAGTCGTGTGTCCATCTTTTTTGAAAATGCGGCACTCCAAATCTATCTTCCTCTTCTTGTGGAAACATTGATTGTGTCCAGAAACAGACAATTAGGCAGATGGAGCTGTTCTAATATGGGAGTCCTATGCTGCCTATAGCCAGCCCTGGTCAGTAATGTGTCTGCAGCTCTTTGAGCCATTGAAGTTTCTGAGCTCTTCTCAAAGGCAGCCCCAGGTAGAGTCTGTTAAACTAACTCCTACGCAATGTGGCACCAGACTGCTTTCTTTTTTTGTAATTATCTGTTTGTTTTAAATTCTATAGCTTAAATTCTCTTGATGGTTGTTTTTTTGAGAAGGGCCTCTTACGGTCACAAAGCAATGATTTTCAGTGCAGCTCCATAACATTGATTGCGTCCTCACACTACCCCTTTTGGTGTGGGGATTTGGATCCAGAAAAGGAGCAGACAGGGAAAGGTTAAGCAGAATCCCACCCACCCGCTGCGACACCCTTAGGTGAGCTCAGCCTTCGCCTGCTTCATGACTCCACCTTGCATGAAAAGACAGGATGGAGCTGCAGGAAACAGGAAGTGGTCCTTCAACCGGCCACGACATCTCACCATCACAGACAGATACAGTCTCCTGCTGTGGATTAAGGAGTGGCCCAGGGATGGCAGAGACAGGAGGGGAAAGGCCCAGGGGAAGGGGAAGCGACAGAAGGGATGGCAGGGCTCCAGATGCTCCCTTGGACACCTCCCTTGACACCAAGGGGAGCTCCTCTTCTGGGGCTGAAAGCATTGGCGTGGTTTGATTTTGTCAGTATTGCAAGGAAGCATAGAAGGAAAGGTAAAAAACACCTAAGCGGTTTATTAAAGTTTATTAAAGTATCTGTGGATTTTCCCCTGTGTGAGATTGTTGGTGTCTTCTAAGTTTCCCACCTGTACTGAAGCTCTTTCCACATTCAATACATTTAAATGGTTTCTCCCCCGTGTGAGTTCGTTGGTGTATTCTAAGTGCTCCGCTTTTGCTGAAACTCTTTCCACATTCAATACATCTAAATATTTTCTCCCCTGTATGAGTTCGTTGGTGTATTCTAAGTTTCCCACTTGTACTGAAGCTCTTTCCACATTCAATACATTTAAATGGTTTCTCCCCCGTGTGAGTTCGTTGGTGTATTCTAAGAGTTCCACTTTTGCTGAAACTCTTTCCACACTCAAAACATTCAAATGGTTTCTCTCCCGTGTGAGTTCGTTGATGTATTCTAAGTGCACCACTTTGACTGAAGCTCCTACCGCACTCCATTCATTCAAATGGTTTCTCACCTGTGTGAGTTCGTTGATGTCTTCTAAGTGTTCCACTACGACTGAAGCTCTTTTCACATACAGTACATTTAAATGGTTTCTACCCCGTGTGAGTTTGTTGGTGTCTTCTAAGTGTTCGACTTTCATTGAAGCTCTTTCCACATTCAAAAAATTCAAATGTTTTTCCCCCCGTATGAGTTCGTTGATGTATTCTAAGTGCTCCACTTTCACTGTAGCTCTTTCCACATTCAATACATTTAAATGGTTTCTCCCCCGTATGAGTTCGTTGATGTATTCTAAGTGCTCCACTATCACTGAAGCTCTTTCCACATTCAATACATTCAAATCGTTTCTCCCCCGTATGAGTTCGTTGATGTAGTCTAGGTTTTCCACTTTCACTGAAGCTCTTTCCACATTCCGTAAATTCAAATAGTTTCTCTCCTTTTTGAGTTTGTTGTTGTATCCTCAATTTCTTTGTTCTTTCGCATAAATTCACATGTGGCTCCATAGAATTCTGACTTTCATCTTCCTCACGTGTTTGGGAGCCTGGGAGGAAAGAGAATCCTGGTAGACTTTCAAGAAAGACAAAAAGGGAACTGAACACCTGTCAATCCCAATCTGCACCTTCTCTCGTTGTAACACCTTCATTCTCCACTATCCTCTCTAGGTTCCAAATTTTATGAAAGCTGATGAGATAGTGGCAAGAGCAACACATGATCACTTCATTCAAACTTAATAAAGCACCATCGTTTTATAATACAGATCTATGGTGGAACTGGCTTATTAGACACATCTATTTTTTCTTTCTGAAGTGAAGAAATGATCTCAGGCTCAAGTAACAGTATTTCCCTTGTGAAATAAATAAAACTTAAGTGCTACATGTAACTGTAAAAATATTGAAATATATTGGAACCTAAGAAGAGCCTGCTGGATCATGCAAAGGCCCACCTAGTCCAGCATCCTCTTCTCACAGAGGCCAACCAGATGCCTGTGGGAAACCGGCAAGCAGGATTGGAGCACAAGAGTCTTCTCTGCCTTCCTGTGCTTTCCAGAAACTAGTATCAAGAAGCATTATTGCCTAGGACCGCGAGGGCAGAGCAGAGACATCAGTCTTATCCTTCTTTTCAAGCTTTCCATATTGCTGGTTGTCACTGTCTCTGTAGGATGGATTCCATAGATGAACTATGCTTCTGTTTATTCATCTTTTGCAGCCCTTAAAAGCTGATAAATGTATTATGGCTTAAGCTTTTGTGGGGTGCAGTCTGACAAAGTGAACTCTTGACTAGGAAAGCTGGTGCCTGTATAAACATCTGAGTCTCTTTGTTGGCTTTGTGTACTTATTTTGAAATTTGCACCAAGGTTGTACCACAGTATCTCCATGGAAGCTTAGGGGCGGATAAAATTACAGGGTGTTATTCCGTGAATCTCAAGCCTCTCGTGCCTCCGCTGACAGAGCCTGAGAACGCAAGAGATGTGATTCGGTTGGAATGTGAAGCAGGGGAGGAGCAGCCAAGCTGCACCAGAAGCAAAGAACAAAGAGCAGGAAGAGGGGGTGTCCGGGGGGGGCACAGACCGTTAGCTCCAGTTTGAGCTCTGACACAGAGACCCCGGAAATAGCCTGTCCAAAAAATTGTAGGCTCGAGAGAATCTGCGAGAAGAGGGGAAAGTGGGGGCTTCTTTGCTGGAGGACTTGGCAACTGCAAGCTGAGATGAACAGGCTGAAGACTGAGCTCCACAGTGATTTAAGAGTTTGAGCAATAAACCTGAGATAATTACTACTGGAGTTGTCTCGCGTCTCCTCTCCCCTGGAACTCACCAGATTTCTCCAAGGGTCCTGGGAGGGAATGCTCAGAGGTTGTGGGGAGGGATGCGGGAGACAGCCTGACCAGGTCAACCATCCATCTTCCTCCTTCCATCTTGGCCAGGGTTGCAGGTTCAGTCTCAGCTAGGTTTGCAGGTTCAACTTCCTGAGGAGCGTAGAATCCAGAGCAAGTTGCAGCTTCCTGGGAGGGAGGGAAGAAGAAGCCAAGGGAGTCTGAGAGCCCCTGCAGGGATTCTCCTGCCCAAGACATTCTGCTGCCGCTGAAGAAGCCCCAATTGGGCACCCCCTTCCCAAAACCCTCCACCCATTTTCAAACACCTTTGGCAATTCCTTTCACCTGCCTGTCCCACCTCCCTTCCTAAGGCTGGCATGGTATGCACATTAGTGGCCTGAGAGTAGATCCCTTGGAACTTAAGAGTTAATCTGCAAATGACTGCTCTGAACACATGGGTGGCCCTTGCATGGAGAAGAAGGAAGCCCCTTGCTTGCATCAGGACCCCCTTGGAGAGGCGGTGGATCCACCCACTGCTCCCTCTGCCCTCGCTGCCTCCTCCTCTGTCCTCCTGCCCTGCAAACACACTTTGCTCTTTTTGCACAGGGGAGAGAGGCAGAAAGAGCCTTCAAACCCATCCGTTTCCTCCTCTGCATCCCAGTGAGAGGGGAAGGAGCTGAAGCGCCTGGTTTACTTCAGATGCACACATGGTTTACTGGGATTGTGAATGAACACGTCCTCTGCCTTCCATGAGTGGGGTGGGTAAAAAGTGGTGAGGTGACCCCCCCCTCCAGTCCTTTTTGGAAACAGGAACTTTGACCAGGAGTACACAACTTATATGGCAAGTTCACAAGATAAGCACTTTGGAGCACTGCTTGCTCATACTGTGAGTGTTCTGTGTGTGTTTGGACCTAGAGGACAACATACACGTTTACACCACGTGATTTCTTAAAGAGGGCACTTCTTTAAAACCTATTTTTACTGCTATTCTTTTCAATTCTATACTGCCCTTCCTCCAAAGATCACAGGGCAGCTTACAATAGAAAAACACAGAGATGCATAGCAGAGTAAGAAATAAAAACAACAACCCTCCCCCCCCAATCCAGTTGTGAAGTCCATAGATTGTTTATTGAGCCAAACCCCTGGGAGAAGAGCAATGCTTTCACTTGGTGCCTAAGGAAGGAAGGAAGCCGGACTGACGGAAACCAGCCGTCAACAGTGGTGCGCAGCATAGAAAAAACACAGAGACAGCGAGTATCTTCAGGGTGGAGGGCAGCTCACTTGAACGTTCCTCCTCTCCGGTATTTTTATTTTCCTCTCCTTTCTCTAACAGCCTACGTGGCCATCTGCCAATGTCCCACGTCACATCGCCCGATCATGGCTATACAACACTCATTACCATATATGGTATTACTGCCCAGCGGGAACACAACTCCATATAAGGTCAATACACTCAATACACTGCAAAGCACGGACATGCCGCGTCACCGAGGTCAGTGAGGCACCAGCGGCACTACAAGCCTCTGCCATGGCTTCATGGCTCCCACATGCCCTCTTTCTTTATTTTATTAATCAGAGTCATATATTTCATTACCAATACGTTTATATCGAGCACGATAGGCAACCCTTGTAAGGCCTGAAGCAGGCCGTTGATGGGAGAACCATGCAGTACATACAGAGATTAAAGAAGGAATACATTGTATACAGCAACACAAAATAATGCAAATAACTACTATAAGGATCACTGAAAACAATAAATGTCAAAGCCAACTCCCATCCGGAAGCCAAGAATATAACAATGCCCATGGATCAACGGAAGGAGGGGGGCAAGCGGATTGTGAGCTACCATGGTTTCCATATGATCAATCGTCGCAGATATGCTGACATTATTATCAGGAATAAACATACAACAATGAGAATGAACAAGTGCACATACCCTTCCTTTTGAGGCCAAAATGACATCCAACACATAACGATTTTGTAATACCACCTCTCTCATTTCAGACACCTCCTGGTTGAGATTCATCAATGCTTTTATGGTATCATTGAATAATCCTTCCCCGCCAATTTGCTAGCCGATGGAGGTCCCTATAGTTCATTGCTGCACCCACTGGGGGCAGCAAGGCTCGAGAAATCTGGGTACCGGTATATTGATTTATGGGTGAATTAACCTCCCGGCGATTTTGTAGTCTAAGAGAAGATGGTAACTTATCAACCTTATACAACAACGGGACCACGATACCCAATGTACATGTGCCTGTGAGGTTTTGAGGAATGGCTTTGTATGCTTTTTCGCCACAAAGCAACCATAACTCTCTTTGGAGTAAATAGCTGATATTACTACTCTGTTGGGACCAATTAAAGGCTGCAGTAAATAAAGAACTGATATGAAATTGCTCATCAGTGGCATTTGCTAAGCCAGGGATAGAAGAATTCAGACTCCAAGCCGCATGGTAGGCTTCCTTTCTAGTTTTTAGCCATGCACCGGTGTCACTCCTATAGCACTGAGATTGGTCACTGTATGTTCCTGTAAGAGAACAAGAGCTATTAAAAGTGAAATTCAATGTATATTGACAGTTTGGATATATGCCCCATGATTCTTCTCCCTCATCAATTTGAAAACAAATGGGGGCAGGCTCATGGAGGGTCAATTGTAGTGGAGGCCAAAAAGTTTGGTTAGGGGATATAACATTTGTAAATTGAAAAGATCCATTAACAGGCACACCATGAAGCATTAAGCCTGAACGACGGGCAAAAGGGGGCATATGCTCCCACACCGGACACTGAGGCTGGGGTATAAATATTGAAATTAAAATTAATACTATTATTAAGGCGATCCTGGCCAGCAATGCCCACCCCTCTCCCCTTTCCCGCCTCCTTCCCTGCAACTCCCTTTCCAACAAATCCCTGCAGGAGGAAGCTTCTCCTCCCCCAGGCTCCCTTTAAGAAAACAGCTCTCTTTCCTCCCTTCTCTCCTCCCCATCCAGCGGCTACTTATCCTGGACCCCCTCGCAAAGCCCCTTCCCTCCTTCCCCGCCATTGGCTTTGCACTCACCCGAAATCCCGGGCAGCGGGGGCGGGAATGGGAGCCCCCGCGTGGGCGGCAGGGAGTGAGGGCGCTTAATTAGGAGGCTTGATTAGGAAGAAGCCCCCTCCTCCGCCTCCATATGACGCAGCCCCGCTTCCCGCCTCCTTCCCTCCCTTCTTCCTTTGCAAGCCCCAATTTTCTCTGCTGGTGAAGCCGGAAGTGGAGGCAACTCTGAGGAGGAAGGAGAAGTTTGTTTCCACGCTCAGCCTCTTGTCTGTTATTTTATAATTGGGGGAAGGAAAACCTTGTAGCACCCAAGCAATAGGGAGACGAGGGAGGGAACGTGTGCATAGGGAATATAAGCTCATTCTTTGCCCCAGCTGGACTGTGCCTGCTTTGGCTCTCAGCTCTTGCAAGAATATATTGTCGTCACTGCTTCACCAGTTTTGTTCAGATTGCATTATAAGGAGCAAGTTCAAGGGTCTTGTTATAGGAAAATCCTTGGGCTCACCTGGATTACCAAACAAAGACGCCAGCCAGGAATATAGGAGCAAAACAGCAGCCAGGAGGCCTGATCTTTATTTTTAAAAAACTATTGCAACAGGACTTCCACCTACCACCAGGAAGGAAGCCCAGAACAAAGGATGACTCCCACTTTGATCAGTTTTACAGAGATACCTACAACACCCCTAAAATTACATCATGGATACATTACAAATTACATCACAAATTGGGAGGGTCTGGCGACAGAAACCTGAGCATTAGGGCTTCCCCCACCCTTCGACTGACCTCCACCATACACTCATCAAGTGATGCAAAAGAGATATTTACATGTCCCTGTTTCCCAGCCCAAGTTAATCACACCCTTTTGTCTTGATCTGGGTTTGCTATCGTTTCTGGAATGGCTACCTGTCGCACACTCAGGTATTAGGATGCCAGAGATTATTACTCAGGCAAAGGAGCTGCTGAGTACATGGCCTCACACTTTAGGGATTATGGCTGCCCTCACTCATGTCCCAAGCTCCTCCCTTGGCAGCCATTTCCTTCCTGAACAGAACAACGTTGGAATGGTGTAAATCCAACACTCGAGTGATTCTATATGAATTTCTGAAGATTTCCCAGTGAGCCAGTAAATAGATACATTTATCAGTGAATTGTTATGTGCAGTAGAGGCCCTTTGAATAGGTAGGAAAAACTAATGATGTGTTTTGTGGGGACATTTGCAGAAGTGATTGTGTTGATTTTGGTAATCAGTGTGTGTGTTTATGATGTCTGCTGAAGGGGCAACCCCCCCCCCCCATCTCCTGGACAGAAGTCTCCCTGTTTACATTATAGGGAGGGAACACACTCTCTCTGGCTTATTGCACATTCATTACACAGTGTCTTTTGCAGTGTCCTTTATTCTCCTCACAGACACAGAGACACAGGAACATTGAACAGGGGGGCCACTAGGGGGCGCATCAGAAGATGGCTGACAATAACATCTCTCCGACCCACACGAGGTAATTTGGAGGCTATGATGGGAGTAATTAGCCTCCCTACCCCACCCCCAGGATGGTAGGGGGGACTGCCTTGCCTGCTGTGCCCTATACCACCCCCGAATTTGTGGGGATGGGGGCACTAGGCACAAAGCCCTCCTGTGGGATTCCGGTGCTCCTGGACGCCGTCCATGATCCGTGCCACTAGCTGCAAGAACTTCAAAAGAAACAATTTGGATGAAGGAATGCACATATCTCAAGGAAGAAGGGGGAGTAAAGACTGCTAACAGAAGAGATCTCTGATAAAATAAGACGAGTCGGAGGAAAAAGAGAAATCATGAGAAGATATGCCAAGACTCAGTATGGCAAATGACTGATGGGGGAGGGGGGGAAAACTTTCCTTTCTTTCCTTATGTGATTAAACAAGAATCCCCTCCCCTCACGAGTCAGAAATGTCGTTTTAAGGACTTAAGCTGTGGATTTAAGGCTGTGTGGAGATAAACTTTCGAACCAAAGCATGTTTTAAGAAGAGCGTGGAATGTATAAGAGCTTTGGAATGATGCAGTTAAAAATGCCGTCGCCATATTGGGAAGTTCTGTCGGAGGACTTAAGTCTGAGAGGAGAAATAGAGCTGTTTTTATATTGTGGGTGAAACTCCTCAGTGGGACTTAAGAGCGACAGTTTTGCGAGATTAATGATGGAAAGAGCGATGTTATCTATGAAGGCGATGATATATGGAAACCATCTCGATTTGACGATTGGAAGAACACGGAAAAATTCACACAGGATTATTATTGGTGTTTATCGGCTTAAGGAGACTATCAGAAGAGATCATAAAGAAAAAAGAGAAAATATATTAACAAGATGTGATGTGGAAACAGCAAGATAAGACTGGATAGAATTATGAACTCTGTTTGGATTGATTTGGACTGATTTGGACATTAACGCAGTAGCAAGAAGATGATCAGAATCTCCCTTCAGATCTTGAAATATGGGTCCCCCCAACAAAATTTAAAATTCGGCTTTGTAATTCGGAATTTATGTGATGTGATTTAATTTGATTTGATTGGCCGGTTAATAAAAATTATTTTAAAAAAAGGAACATTGAACAGGGACTTGCAGCAGCAGCAGCTGCCGGACAGACTAACTAACTGCCAAATAATTCCTCACATGCAACCCCTCCCATGAATCTTTTTGGGGGAACCATGTACTTTCAATACGTGCTGAATGTACACTATGGATGTGAAATAAATATTCTTCGTGGGAAGTACTGAGAGAAAGTGGAGGGCAATTTTAATTTGTAAGTACCGAGGTGGAGTTCGTTGCTTCATTTTCTGTCATGAAAAATTAGGCAATAAATTTTAAAAGCAACCCCTTTTTTCAGTGCTTGCTTTTAAAGCAATAAAGGTGCAGGTACTCACCATGGAATTGTTATAGTAAGTGCCATACTTTGAACAGTTGGGGAATGTTGTGGATCTTTGAGTACCCCCGGAAAAAGCCCCTTTTTTCCCAAACACCATAATTGTACGGGGGGTGGAAGACGATTGGCTCTATCCAGTAATACCTGTATGCAGCTGTTATACTAAAAATACTGCTCCCTTTCCCTTATGGATACTCCCTTATGGAGTATCTAAAAGCCCATATAGAGTCCTTAAGTAGCAAGCTGGTCTCTGACCGTAATAATATATTATTATTATTATTATTAATAATAATAATAATAATAATAATAACAACAGGCCAGCCAGAGAATATTGAGAAGCAAAGCAGCTAGCAAGCATGATCTTTATCAAACTGTTGTAACAGGGTCCCCCACTCCCCACATGCAGGGAGGGAGGAGAGGAACCTAGAACAATGGTGTGCAAGCTGTTATATAGACATTTGAAAATTGCCTCCTCTGTAGCTCAAGACCACCCCCCAAAACATCATACATACATCACAGAATGGGTGGTCTACAGCAGAAAACCTGTCTGCCAGGATACCTGATAATGGTCATTGATTGCTTTTACCTGGGCATCCTGGCCATTTTTGGTGATGGTTAATACTTTAGTTCCTGAATCCAGGTCACAGGCTCACCCTTTTCATACACAGATATGCTCTTAAGACAGGATTTGTGAGCAAAGAGACAATGGGGAGGTGTCAGAGCTGCTTCCAGATCCTAGCTCACAGAGGATCACGCTAGCCAGCGATCATTAAATAAAAGTCTTTATTGAGTTACAGTTTCCATTCTCAAGCTGCTGCGTGCAACTCTACGTCTCATGGTTAGATCGGCGAAGCTCCATCTGAGTCTCCGCCCCTTGTACACCAACTTAATATCCTAGCCTTGCTCCACCTTTTCCGCCTGACTGTTCTTCTCTGGGTCCCTCTGCCCCCCGGGGTCTCTTCCTTCCGGGATTCCTCTGACGCTGACGCTGACCCCCCTGACTCTTCTCCCTCCTTTCGGCGGGCTTTAGGACCTGGCTCCCTTTCCGGGCTGCCTACTGCGCCACCTTCCTGTGCATTTGAACTTGGCACGCGCGCCCAACCTTCCACCTTCCGTCTGACCGTTTCTTCGCTCCCCGATGGAGGTGTGGCCACTCCTGACTCGTGCCCTCCCCCCTGTTGTGAGCTGCCAGCGCTTGATCCCTGGCGCCCTTCCTCTTCCCTGCTCTCTGGCGGTGACGCTGGTCCTGATTTCCAACTGCTCCCCTCTGAGTCCCCTCTGGCTCTATCTTCCTGGGGTGTCCCCCTAGGCTCCCCCCTTGCCCTGGCCACTGGTGCTCCTTTCTGTGAATCTTCTGATTCACTGGAAAGACTCGGAGATCTCGGGTCGTCGTCATCACTCATCTTTTCTTCTGCCTCCTCTCCCTCGCTCTCTGTTTCCTCCCTTGCCCTTGCCTCTGCTCCTGAACCCCTGACATCCATCCCCCCCTCGAAGCCCCCTCTTCCCCCCCTCCCCTCCTTCCGGTGCGGGATCTGGGTGCTGCCGTGTCAGGGGGACGAATGTCGGATACAGTTCGCTTCCCGTGGCGGGCCGCCATCCGAAGTCTTCCGGTTCTTCCTCCCTGCTCTCGTTGACGACGGTCACCTCCGCTTCCATCTCTGTGCCGCCGTGCTCGAAACCCGGGTCGTCCCCGAAAACGTCCATGTCCGTCTCTCCCTCGTTGCCTTCTGGAGACGTTGCTCGTCCTGGACCCTCCAGCCACCTTCTGCGGAACTGCTCCTCTGGTCGATCATCCCACCAATACGAGGGTTCTGAAGCAGATCCTGAGGGTGACCCCTCTGGGGAACGGGCGTCTCGTGTCAGTTCCTCGTCCGAGTCGAACCCCCGGAACGTGCTGGCTGAAAGCGTGGGCGTGAAAAGCCAGTCGTCGAAAAAGTCTGCTGGCATTGGCCTATGTGGGAAGAGGGCATGAAACTCTTCTTTGAGCAGAGGTTCGTCTAAAGCGTAGCCCGGCACCCAGCTGTTGGCACTGGCCGGGGTGCCCTCCTTGGCGAGAAGGTATTCTACCCCCCTCTCCCCCCATCTGGAGTCCAAAATCTCCGTGACTTCGTTGATGCGCTCCTCCTGTGCCACTCCCCCTTGCCCGGTTCTCTCTCGGAGCGGACCCGGTGCCGTTCCTGGTTCCTGAAACCTGTGAGGTGCCTTGTAGGGAGTGAGCACCGATCTGTGGAACACCGGATGCATTCTGGAACCCTCCGGAAGAGCCAGCCTGAAAGCCACCGGGTTGACCTGTTCGTCGACTTGGTAGGGCCCCAGTTGTTTATGCCCTAGTTTCTTCTTCGCCAACGACCTGGCCGGCACTGCGTGGGCTGCTAACCAGACCCAGTCTCCCACATGGATCTCTTTGCCAACCCTTCTGTGTTTGTCCGCTTGTACCTTGTATGCGTGTTTAGCCAGCTCCAGGTGCCGCCGCAGCTGATCGTGGACCTCCTGCAACTCCGACGCGAACGCATCTGCTGTCTGCGGCTCCCCCTCCCCCATTCTTTCCAGTCCCGGGAAGGTTCTAGGGTGCCTCCCGTTGTTGGCGAAGAACGGCGTGACCCCCGTGGACACGTGCTTCGTGTTGTTGTAGGCGAACTCGGCGAGAGGCAGGTAATCCACCCACGTCGCAGGCTGTTGATTCGCATAACATCTCAGGTACTGCTGCATGATGGCATTGACCCGCTCCGCTTGCCCGTTGGTCTGCGGGTGTCTAGCCGACGCCAGGTTGATCTTGACGTTCAGGAAGCCCATCAGCCTCTGCCAGAAGTTCGAGATGAACTGTCGCCCTCGGTCGGACAGAATAGACCGCGGCAGACCGTGAACCTTGAACACGTGGTCTATGAACAGTTTGGCGGTTTGTTCCGCCGTGGCCACCTTCGCACACGGAATGAAATGTGCCATCTTGGAGAACAAATCCACCACCACCAGCACAGCCGTCTTGCCCCTCGAGCTGGGCAGATCCGTGACAAAGTCCAGGGCCACTCTCTCCCATGGCTCGAACGGAGTTTGCAGCGGTTCCAGCAGTCCGGCCGGCGGTCTGTGCACTGGTTTGGACCTCTGGCAGGTGTCACACCTCGCCACGTAGTCCGCGACTCCCCTCTCATTCCGGGCCACCAGAAGTCTCTGGCTACTAATTCCACCGTCTTCTCCTTGCCAAAGTGCCCGGCAGTGGGCGCGTCGTGCAGCTGCTGCAGTACCTTGGCGCGAGTTCGTCTCCCGGCACGTAGATGGCCCCTTTACGGATGAGCAAACCATCTCGCAGCTGGAACTCGTCGGTCGCTGCCGTGCCCCTGTGCACCTCTGCCATCTTTGCTTGCGCGAAGGAGTCATCCTGCAACGCTCGTCGCACCGCATCCAGGTCAACTGTTGCCGCCGCGCACGCCCACACTGTCGGTGCGAAGATGTGCATGGCGGCCGCTGGCGTTGCCTCCTCCAGATACTGTGGCTTACGGGAGAGAGCATCCGCCATGATGTTGGTGTCCCCCGGGACATACTCTATTCGGAAGTCGAAATTCGCAAAGAACTCAGCCCAACGTATCTGCCTCTGGTTCAGGAACTGTGCCGTGCGCCAGTGCTCTAGATTCTTGTGGTCCGTGCAGACCTGCACCGTGTGCTTGGCGCCGATCAGGAAGTGCCTCCACGCTTTGAACGCTGCATGAATGGCCAGCAACTCCCTGTCCCAGATGGTGTAGTTCTGTTCGGACTTGCTGAGCTTCCTTGAGTAAAACGCTCCCGGCCTCCAAACCCCCTGCGGGTCTTTCTGCAGCAGGACTGCTCCCACGGCTCTGTCCGAGCGTCTGTCTCCACCCTCATCGGCCTGCTGGGGTTGACATGAAGCAGCTGCTCTTCCGACGCGAAGAGACGCTTGAGTGCCTGAAAGGACTGCTCCGCCTGCTCTGTCCAGATGAACTTCTTTTCTTGGAGCTGAGCGTGTCCGTGATGGCCGCTGTCTGCATCGCAAAGCCTTTGATAAACTTGCGATAGAAGTTCGCGAAGCCGACAAACCGTTGGACCTCCTTCCGGTTGCGTGGGCTTTTCCAATCCAACACTGCTCGGACCTTGGCGCTGTCCATGGCGAGCCCTTTATCAGACAACTTGTAGCCCAGGAAATCCACCTCGGTCACGTCGAATTGGCACTTCTCCAGCTTGGCGGAAAGCCTATGTTGCTGTAGCCTGCTCAGCACTTCCTTGACGTGTCTGTCATGCTCCTGCTGCGATTCCGAAAAGATCAGGATGTCATCCAAGAAACAGACGCACGTCTTGTAGAGGAGCCCCGCCAACACGTGATGCATGAAAGCTTGAAAAACGTGGGAGCCATTTTGCAATCCAAAAGGCATAACTCTATATTCGTAGGTGCCCAGGGGCGTGAACATGGCTGTCTTCCACTCATCTCCCTCCCGCATGCGAATGAGGTTGTATGCCCCTCGCAGGTCCAACTTGGTGAACACTCCGCCCTTCCGTACCTTTGCGAGGAGGTCGTCGATTCGGGGCATGGGGAAGTCCGATGGCTTGGTCACACTGTTCAAGATGCGAAAGTCCACTACAAGTCTTTTTTGGGGCGTGTCCCGCTTCTTAACAAAGAATACAGGACTGCCCCCCGCTGCCTTGGACTCTCGGATGAAACCGAGCTCCAAATTATGATCTATGAACTCTTTGAGTTCCTGCAGTTCGTCCTCAGACATGGAATACAGCTTCCCTTTGGGCAGCGCCGCCCCCGGCAGCAGGTCAATTTTGCAGTCATATGGTCTGTGGGGGGGTAGCCTGTCTGCCTCTTTCTCGCAGAAAACCTCCAAAAATTCTGCGTACTTGTGGGGAACCGCTTGCAGCGTGCCTAGCTGCAGCTGTGACTCCTCTTCCCCTCCTTCCTGCCTGGGCACGATGCAGTGTTCAGCGCAAAAGGAAGAGCCGAAGGTCAGCTGCCTCTGGTACCAAGCCAGCGTCGGGCTGTGCTTGTCCAGCCAACTCATGCCCAATACAATGGGCGTGTCCGATAGTTGAGTGACATTGAAGCTGATGATTTCCCTGTGATTCCCAAGTCGCATCACCATTGGTGGCGTCTGCTTCACCACTTGCCCCCCTAGCAGCTCCCTGCCATCCACCGTGACAACCTGCAGGGGCAGCGTGGCAGGCAGCAACTGTATAGCGTGCCGGTCGACAAAGTCCTGCCCTATAAAGTCCGCATTGCTTCCGGAGTCAATGGTGATTGGCACGTCCATGGTGATTCCATTGGGCAGCTGGAGCGACGCGGTGAGCTTCACTACCGGTTTGGGCGGGAGGGGGTCCATGGGCTGTAAAATCTCTGGGGACTGCTTCACTGACACGTCTGGCTGGGCCCCAGTGCCTCTTCCTCCAACCAGACTCCTTCGTTTCCCTGCTGTGGTTGTCCTTGCTGCGTTGCTGCAGTTACCATTGCTGAGGCTGCAGTGTGCTTGTGGAGCCTCTGGGGACACTCTTTCGCCATATGCTGTGGATCATCGCAGATGTAACACTTCCTGTTCCCTCTAGGAGGCTTCGCTTTCACTGCTGCCGGTGCTAGGGCTCTGGCTGCTGACTGAGCCCTTGCACCTCCAACCTCCATAGGTTCCGCTCCTCCTCCTGGCGGAGGCGTGGATTGCGCACGCGCTGCTTCTCTGGGAAGGAAGGAGGAGCCCCTGGCTGGTTCGCGCCCTCCACGCCCTTCGTCCCTGCTCCACGGACGTCCTTCCAGCCGCACCCCCACCGCCAGCGCCCTCTGAACGATCTCCTGCGTGGTCCGGGGTCTCTCCCCCCTCGCAATTTCATCTTTAACCGAGCCGTGCAATCCCTCCCAAAACAGGTCTCTTACAGGAGCCGAATCTCTGTCCCATTCCAGGGCACTGACCAAAGCGAAAAAGCGGGCATGGTACTGCCTTACGCTGGCCCTCCCTTGCTTCAGTCCATGTATCTCCTGCCGAGCAAGATCCACGTCAATGCTTGATAAAAAGCACCCATCCATCGCTTTAATAAAGGCATCCGCATTTTGGAGCGCCGGATCCTTATCTCTCCACAAATTGCGCAGCCATGCTTTAGCATCTCCATGCAAATGGGACATGATGAATCCCACCTTCTCTTGCTCATCTCTAAAGTCTTTGTTCAGCAGTTGCAGTGCACACATTACATCTGCTCTAAAGTTGGGGTACTGTTGCAAATTCCCATCGAAGTGAGAGACCAGACCGCCTGTTCGTCTCCCCAACCCAATCCCCTCCGGTTTGGGTGTCAGTTGCCCTTGCTTCGTAAGCACTTCCAACCTGACCTGGAGATCCCTGTAGGCGGCAGCTGCGTCCTCCTCTCTCTTCCTGGATGCAAGAGCCTCGGCATTCAGTCGTGTCACTGCTTCTCTGAGTTCCACTATCTGCTGTTCGGCCGTCATGTTGTCTGCCGTTCGTGAGCTCGCTAGTAGGCACCCGCTTTCTCTCCTCTCCGCGAGGACGTAGATGCCCACAATCTTGAGATGGAGCTTACTGTCAGAGCTGCTTCCAGATCCTAGCTCACAGAGGATCACGCTAGCCAGCGATCATTAAATAAAAGTCTTTATTGAGTTACAGTTTCCATTCTCAAGCTGCTGCGTGCAACTCTACGTCTCATGGTTAGATCGGCGAAGCTCCATCTGAGTCTCCGCCCCTTGTACACCAACTTAATATCCTAGCCTTGCTCCACCTTTTCCGCCTGACTGTTCTTCTCTGGGTCCCTCTGCCCCCCGGGGTCTCTTCCTTCCGGGATTCCTCTGACGCTGACGCTGACCCCCCTGACTCTTCTCCCTCCTTTCGGCGGGCTTTAGGACCTGGCTCCCTTTCCGGGCTGCCTACTGCGCCACCTTCCTGTGCATTTGAACTTGGCACGCGCGCCCAACCTTCCACCTTCCGTCTGACCGTTTCTTCGCTCCCCGATGGAGGTGTGGCCACTCCTGACTCGTGCCCTCCCCCCTGTGAGCTGCCAGCGCTTGATCCCTGGCGCCCTTCCTCTTCCCTGCTCTCTGGCGGTGACGCTGGTCCTGATTTCCAACTGCTCCCCTCTGAGTCCCCTCTGGCTCTATCTTCCTGGGGTGTCCCCCTAGGCCCCCCCTTGCCCTGGCCACTGGTGCTCCTTTCTGTGAATCTTCTGATTCACTGGAAAGACTCGGAGATCTCGGGTCGTCGTCATCACTCATCTTTTCTTCTGCCTCCTCTCCCTCGCTCTCTGTTTCCTCCCTTGCCCTTGCCTCTGCTCCTGAACCCCTGACAGGTGTGCAACATCATTATCATCAATTATTCCTGCCGTGGAAATAACACCTAAGATTTCACCTAAGAAAATCTGCACCCAGTACTTTACGAAAAGGATTCAAGAAACAAAGAGCTGCTTTGGAGAAGGCCTCACAACTTCCTTCTTCCTGTCAGGAACTTCCTTCCATTTGTCTCCTCTCCATCATTTCCCCTTTCTCCCTCCACCATCCATCTATCCCTGTCCCCATCTCCTCTCCCCTGGAACTCACCAGATTTCTCCAAGGGTTCTGGGAGGGAATGCTCAGAGGTTGTGGGGAGGGATGCGGGAGACAGCCTGACCAGGTCAACTGTCCATCTTCCTCCTTCCATCCTGGCCAGCGTTGCAGGTTCAGTCTCAGCTAGGATTGCAGGTTCAGCTTCCTGAGGAGCGCAGAATCCAGAGCAAGTTGCAGCTTCCTGGGAGGGAGGGAAGAAGAAGCCAAGGGAGTCTCAGAGCCCTTTCAGGAATTCTCCTGCCCAAGACATTCTGCTGCCCCTGGAGAAGCCCCAATTGGGCATCCCCTTCCCAAAACCCTCCACCCATTTTCAAACACCTTTGGCAATTCCTTTCACCTGCCTGTCCCACCTCCCTTCCTAAGGCTGGCATGGTATGCACATTAGTGGCCTGAGAGTAGATCCCATAGAACTTAAGAGTTAATTTGCAAAGGACTGCTCTGAATACATGGGTGGCCCTTGCATGGAGAAGAAGGAAGCCCCTTGCTTGCATCAGGACCCCCTGGAGAGGCGGTGGATCCGCCCACTGCTCCCTCTGCCCTCGCTGTCTCCTCCTCTGTCCTCCTGCCCTGCAAACACCCTTTTCTCTTGTTCCTCAAGGGAGAGAGGCAGCTGAGGGAAAGAGCCTTCAAACCCATCGGTTTCCTCCTCTGCTCCCTCTCCTGTCCTTTTGGGAAACAGGAGCTTTGGTCAGGAGTAAACAACTTAGATGGCAAGTTTGCAAGATAAGCACTTTAAAGCACTGCTTGTTCCTACTATGTGTGTGTCTGTGTGTGTTTGGACGTAGAGGACGACATACATGTTTACATCACGTGATTCCTTAAAGAGGGCAATTCTTTAAAACTGAAGGCCATTTCTAAGAAATGGAAGACTTCCGAAGGCAGCCTTTTACAAGGAAATTTTTGATGGTTTTTATTTTGTTGGAAGCTACCTAGATGGGCTGAGGCAACCCAGTCAGATAGGGAGGATGCAAGTAATAATAATAATAATAATAATAATAGATTCCTAAGCCTGTCCTGGGACACGAGTGGCGCTGTGAGTTAAACCACAGAGCCTAGGACTTGCCGATGAGAAGGCTGGCAGTTCAAATCCCCGAGACGGGGTGAGCTCCCATTGCTTGGTCCCTGCTCCTGCCAACCTAGCAGTTCGAAAGCACGTCAAAGTGCAAGTAGATAAATAGGTACAGCTCCGGCAGGAAGGTAAACGGCGTTTCCATGCACCGCTCTGGTTCGCAAGAAGCAGCTTAGTCATGCTGGCCATATGACCCGGAAGCTGTACGCTGGCACCCTCGGCCAGTAAAGCGAGATGAGCGCCACAACCCCAGAGTCGGTCACGACTGGACCTAATGGTCAGGGGTCCCTTTACCTTTTTAAGCCTGTCCTGCTAGGCATGCTGATCAGAGACTCTGTCCAAACAACCCCTTTGAACGCAACAGGGCTTCCTATTTTTACTGCTTTCAGTGGGATCAGTCAAACCACGAAGCCACTGATCAGCCAGAGTTTCCTGCACAGTTTTAAAGGGAAGTTTTCCTTCTGCCCATAACTGTTGCATTATGGGGAAGCCTTGCTCCTTTTCTCTTGCATTCTGGGAAGTCTTGCTTATAATCTTTTCCCTGCTTCTGCACACCCTGTGCAAACCTGTTCCAAACAACAAGACATTCCTTCCTTGTTCAGTCATCCTAAGTTCATGGAAAACAACATGACCTGCTCTTCATGCCTAGCTGACATCTACAGAACTTGATTATTGTATTCTTTCATGTTATGATCAATCATTAGTAATTGTTTTATGCCATATCAATCTCTAGTTATAATTTAATTAGGAGGCTTCATGCCTGTCTAGTTCCAGCTCCGTTTCTCAGCCTTTAATCTATTAGTGATAAATGAACATATGTAATTCCCACCTCTCACATGTAATCCCCGCCTTGTACTTATGTTAACCAATCAGCAACAAGTTTCTTTGTGTATGCATCAACCAATCAGCCACAGGCCCACCTGTGGCAATGTTTGTAATATTCAATAAAAGAGGCTCACGGGGTCCGCCCTGGCAGACACCTCATGTTACACCTGCCTCTCTCGTCTGTCGTGGATTCATTCCTACACAGTTTGAAGTTAGCTTAATATCCTAGCTTATTCCAAAGCTGGCAGCCGTAGTTTCCTGGTTTGAGCAAAATGGAAAGTTTGTTAGTTATGGCTTCATCACAGTTCCCCATCAGGGCCGGCCCAATCATGAGGTAAGGTGGGACAATTAGGTCAGGAGGCAGATGCAGGGAGATACGGGACCAGCACATTCCCAGCTCCCCTGTTTGTTAGCCTCGCTGCCAGTGCAGGACCACAGCTGGTAAATTTGTGCAACTACCCATGCAGAGTCCTTTTCTTTTGCCCTCTCACACTAAAGGTTGGGTGGGAGTCCTTCCTGGAGTGATGCATTCTGGTTGTGGGGGCCAGGAGACTGTGGTGGCGGCTAGAGTTTTTTGTTTTAAACTTGGGTCAACTTAGGCTTTAGCATAACTTTGCTGCAGCAATGCATTACAAACTGTTCCTATTTTTAACCCAGATTTTCAGGCTGTGATTCAGTCATCTGAACCTGGCCATTATCCTAATAAATCTTGGAACAATCTTGCAAGGTAGGCCAGTGTTATTCTATTTGCACTGCACATGGCAGCGCTGAGGCTGCAAGACGTGCCAAGATTTCTACCCCAGTGGGGGAATGGAGGAAATTTAGAGGAGGAAAACGGGGGTTGGTGGAAGGACCCCTCTTCTGACGTAGCTTCTGCTCTGATGAAATTCCGAGTCCCCTGTGGTTGCTTTATTAAAGTAACAACATCAGGAGATATGATCGCAAACCTCCCATGTGTAAGAAAGTTTGGTCTAGCAAGGCTTTTTAAAGTGGATTAGAGAGGAAGTGAAGGGAGGAGGAATATCCACCACCATAGCTAAACAGAACCTCCATGTCGAGAGGCAGTGGACCTGTGACCTCCAGGTGCTGGAAACCCAGGTGAGAGGAGGGCACTTACCTTTCCCAGAAGCCCCTCAGTGTCTGGGAGCAGGGTCTGGTCTGCTCCCCCTGCTCTCCCACTGGGCCACCGACTGGCATCCGCAGCTCCCCTGAAGGAGAGGACACCATCCCCGGAGTGGGGAGGACTGGGAGCCTGTGGGGTTTCCCACCCTGAACGAGGGGGCTGCATCGTCTTCAGGAAATCCTGCTTCTGGGCCTCCCAGTGCTGCTGCGGCTGCCCCTCCTCTGCCTCCTGCTTAATCTGACATAAATCTGCTCGAGGCAGAAGATCCCTGATGGTCCCAACTTGGCCGGCAGGAGGTTTCTTTCCTTTGCACTCCAGTCTCTCCCTCTCCCTGGGTCCCTGCTCTTCAATTTTTACGTCACCCTCCTGGAAAAGAAATAAACACAAAGTAAAATAAAACTCAAGAATAAAAACAAAAGCACATTTTTTAACCATTAGCCAGTTTTTGAAATATATTATTACTCTTTCTATTTCTGATGTTCAGGCTGTGAATAACAATCATTATGTCACCCAAACGGCTCCACCCAGGGACGAGGGGAACTTATCCAAAGACTGGGGGAAACATCAAGGTTTATGGAAGTACAAATAATATTTGGGGGTGCGGGAACCAAGGCAGTGGAAGGAAATCCAAAAACAACCCAGTGAGAGGACTGAGCATGTTAAGTGGACAGGGAATGCTGATCCTGGCTGCAACTTCTAGCATGTTGGAAAGGCAGCAACAGATCTTTGTATATGATTAAGGCTGCAACAGACCCACCTAACATTGAAAGTACATGACTTCACCCAAGAAATCATGCGAGCTGCAGTTTGTTAGGGGAGTTGAGAACTGTAGCAATAAATTACAGGTCCCGTGGTTCTCTGGGGGAACCCACATGCTTTAAATGTATGGTATCTGCACAGCCCAAGAAACTGACAAAAGGAATATTGACCAACAAAATCAAAGAACTCACTCCAAAATATTTTAAATTTGATGGTCACAAACTCTCTTGACTGAAGACATTCTAACTGGCAGTCCATTGGCTGCATATGGCTTGCCAAGCCTCAGGGTGTGTCCTGCTAGTCCCTGCCTTTTCCATCTCCTGATCTGATCATAGGATGAAGATCTAAAATATATTGGAAAAAATATATTGGAAAGGAAGACACCTTGGTGGATTTCACCAATAGAGGTGTTAACTATAAAAAAATAAATATGGAAGGGAAAAATGCCACCTATGAAGAACTAATTTGGAAGACAGATCAAGGGATTAAACTTAGACCATATGAAGAGATCAAAAATCTATTTACTGGGTGGTTGCAATACCACCAAGTAAATGACCTGCTAAAAGAAGACAAAAAGAAAGTAGGATTTGAAGATAAAAAATCTAAATTTAATGTGGAGGTTATAGAAGGTAAGAACAAAACACTGTCAAGGATGTACAATATTTTGCTGGAGTGGTATACAAAAGATGAGGAGGTGAAGGAGGCCATGACTAAGTGGGCGATAGACATTGGATATAACATCGACTTTGAGAGGTGGTTGGAACTATGGAACAAGAATATGAGATTTACGGCATGCACGGCACTAAAGGAAAACCTGTGGAAAATGATCTACAGGTGGTACCATACACCAGTGAAATTAGCGAAGATTTATAAGTTGAAGGATAAAAGATGCTGGAAATGTAGAGAGGTAGAAGGTGACCTCTACCATATGTGGTGGTCATGTTGCAAAGTGAGAGGCTTTTGGGAATTGGTCTATAATGAACTTAAAAAAATCCTGAAATATACATTTCCCCAAAAGCCAGAAGCTTTTTTGTTAGGAATGGTCGGTAAAGAAATTAAAAAAGAAGATAAGATCTTGTTTCTATATGCCACGACAGCTGCAAGAACTATGTTAGCACAAAATTGGAAATTAGAAGTAAAACCCAACATAAGTGAGTGGCAGGTTAAAATGATAAACTATGCTGAGCTTGATAGAATATCAGGAAGATTAAGGGACCAAGATGAACAGAAATTTCATGACAATTGGAAGAAATATTTAATGTATATGGAATCTAAAGCTCAGGTGACACTGGCGGGGTTGAAATAACTCTAACAGTGGGAAAGGCCTATGTAAAAGAGTTAAAAAGTACGCGACTATATAATTTATTCGATACTTACCAAAGGAGTGGAGGGAAGTCCAAGGCTCAGTTGAGACTAACTCAGTTATGTATTTTATTTATGATTTGTGAAGTGGATATAATTTGTATAAGGTATGTGGTGGATTTTTTGTTTATGTTTTTCCTGTATATATGTGCAAATATGAATATAAATTTATGGAAAAAAGAAGATCTCTGTCTGTCCTGGAGAGAAAGATGCCTAAGGGCCCTTAGAGAGATCTTTTAAACTCCAATTTCAGCACAAACCAGCACAGTGCTGAAATGGGGTAAAAGCCCTGATCTGGAAATAAATGATCCCTCTGGCTGCTCTTTAAAGAGGATTTCTAAAGAACAATCTGAAGGGTCTTTTTTCCTCAGATCTCACTGCTAATTCAGCAGAGTCTTCTTGTGCTCTTATTTCTCCTCCACCCCAGCACTGGGGTTGGAAGGTCTAAACATGTTGTTTGTGTTTGCAAGACTTGTATGTATGCTAGATGGCATGTCTGGTGAGTGCGTGCAGCACCTCTGGCGTGTGTGCATGTGACTTTATGGTCTGCATCTCTTTTCTGTGTGCGCATGCATGTGCATACATTGGCCACAAAGCTCACTGGAATGTGGCCTCCAGAATCAATGCAGCTTTAAGCCCATAAATGTTTCGTTCCTCTTCCTTTATCAGAACGAAAAATCAGATCCGGGACTATTAGGAGGAGAGAACTCCTGGATCTACAGAGTTAATGTTCTTAACATCCTATGGACACAAACTGCAACGAGATTTCTCTCTAATTACTTTGAGATTTTTTTCCTTAAAAATATGAAGCAGTATAGAAATGAAAGGAGTAATAATCTGAACATGAATAGCTAATTTCAATTTCGCCTTCCTCAGTCTTTAACAATACTGTCTTCAATGTTTTTATTATCATTAATTCATTTCCATATGCCACACTTCTTAAGAATCCTCCTTTCCTCTGCATTCTCAAAACTGTCACCCACTTCAACCCTCAGCCTTCATCTGAAAACTCAGCTGTATTACTGGGGAAGGAGGAAGATAAAACCTTTAACGAAACAAGCTTAAGGCTCTCTCACTTATTTACATGCAGACACAAGAGGTCACCAGCTTTGATAGCTTGGGAAAGGATCAGATGCGTTCTCCGGGGAAAAGATCTATTAGCTGTTTTATTAGCTATGACAGATCAACAGTGCCTCCATGTGTAGGCACAGTGTACCTTGATTTGGGGTAGGCAAAAGAAGCCATTTCCTTGCTAAATGAATCAGATAGACATCATTGCCACAAGATGCGGTGATGGTGGTGGCTAAGAGGGCTGTATATTGTCTCCCTGCTTATTTAACATATGCAGAATTCATCATGCGAAAGGCTGGGCTGGATGAATCCGAAGCCGGAATTAAGATTGCCGGAAGAAATATCAACAACCTCAGATATGCAGATGACATAACCTTGACGGCAGAAAGTGAGGAGGAATTAAAGAACCTTTTATTGAGGGTAAAAGAGGAGAGCGGAAAATATGGTCTGAAGCTCAACATCAAAAAAACGAAGATCATGGCCACTGGTCCCATCACCTCCTGGCAAATAGAAGGGGAAGAAATGGAGGAAGTAAGGGATTTTACTTTCTTGGGCTCCATGATCACTGCAGATGGTGACAGCAGTCACGAAATTAAAAGACCTCTGCTTCTTGGGAGAAAAGCAATGACAAACATAGACAGCATCTTAAAAAGTAGAGACATCACCTTGCCAACAAAGGTCCGTATAGTTAAAGCCATGGTTTTCCCAGTAGTGATGTATGGAAGTGAGAGATGGACCACAAAGAAGGCTGATCGCCGAAGAATTGATGCTTTTGAATTATGGTGCTGGAGGAGACTCTTGAGAGTCCCATGGACTGCAAGAAGATCAAACGTATCCATTCTTAAGGAAATCAGCCCTCAGTGCTAATTGGAAGGACAGATCCTGAAGCTGAGGCTCCAATACTTTGGCCACCTCATGAGAAGAGAAGACTCCCTGGAAAAGACCCTGATGTTGGGAAAGATGGAGGGCGCAAGGAGAAGGGGACGACAGAGAATGAGATGGTTGGATGGTGTTTTTGAAGCTACCAGCATGAGTTTGATCAAACTGCGGGAGGCAGTAGAGGACAGAAGTGCCTGGTTTGCTCTGGTCCAGGGGGTCACGAAGAGTCGGACACGATTAAACGACTAAACAACAACAACAAGAGAGCTTTAGAAGGCGATCTGACCAATCCACGAGGGAGGGCGATAGGTTTATCAATGGCACTCTCAGAGGAAGGGGGGGCAGGAATAGTGGCCTGCAAAGGGTGTCAGGGGGAGGACAGTAAGAGACCCACCCCCCCGTGCTGCACTGCTCTTCCATTCCCCCCTGCCTCACCTTCCCTCTCCGCCGTGGGGAGGACCGTCGAAATGGGCTGGGCTCCCTGAGAGGAGAGGGGAGAGTGGCGGCAAATGTCCCAGGTAGGCCGCTGATCCGTGAGCGACTATATGCATCGTCCATCGCGGAGCAGCAGCTGCCTTGGACCCCTCATTCTGCCCCTTGAGCTCAGGACTGAAGGGAGCAGCTCCCCAGGGTCTCCGGCAGGGTCCGTGCCAGCCTGAGCCAGAGATGTTTGCCCCTGTGCCCTCCTGCAGATGCCCTGCCCTTCAGCTGCGCCCCTTCCCCTTCCTGCCCGGCTGGGGGGCGCCCTGCAGCCTCTGGCTGGGCTCGGGGCCTGATCCTGCCAGGCGCACGTGCTCTCCTCCTCCTCTCCCGCTTGCTCCTACCTCTTGCACCTCGGACTCCTCGCTCCGTCCCTGCAGCGGAATCCGGCTCCTCTCCGGGGAAACTCGCCAGGCCACGGGCCGCTGCTCCTCCGCTCTCCTCGGCGGGGGACAGGAAAGTGCAGCCGCTCTCGAGTCCCCCTGGCTGGCCCCGTTTCCTGCCTCTCTGAGCATCGGAGCTCGCTGGCTGTGGGTTGGGCCCTGGGAGGCTGCAAGGCTGGATGCGCCCCCTTGCAAGGCGAGGGCTGCGAGACCGCCCTGCTGCTTCCCCTGCCCTCGAATTTGCAGCCCGCTGCTTCTGATCCTGGAGGTTCCGCTCTTAGCTGTCGGGGCAAATGGATTAGCCCTATGAGATCCGGTGCGCCGCAACCACAGTGTCGTCCGCGACTGGACCTAACGGTCAGGGGTCCCTTTATGAGATCTGGTTCATTCCTAGCCCTGGAAGAGCAGCAGGGAACAAGTCTTTGCACCCTTCTCTAGGGGTCTCACACGCCACCATCGTGTCCCTGCGCCCACAAGTCGCTGAGCTGTCCTAGCTCAGTCGGTAGAGCGTGAGATGAATAATCTCATGGTTGTGGGTTCAAGCCCCACGTGAGAGAAAGTGGAAATAAAGTGTAATGTTAC